TCTACTGGACAACTGTCAGCCTCTCTCTCGGGCCTGTTCCTAGAACCCGGCGTGGAAGGGCGGAGCAGACGTACCCATCCGTCAGAAGGCACCGAACCCCCCTCGCTCTCCCTTGCCTAGGAGGGTGGGTACAGGGAGAGCAAGGCCAGGGCCGTAGAGGACGGTGCTTCCACACGGTGGGAAAATCAGGAGTGGGAAGTGTTACTCTTCCAACAGTCAGCAAAGCTATAATCTAAGAGCAATACTTTTTTAGGGGCCAAAAGTTCATATCCACAGTTTTTGGACAATAGAGTGTTTTTTGCAGAAAATCAAACTACACATTTTTAAGTCACATTGACGTGAGCATTGTGGAACATGGTTCTCACCAGGTTTTATCTGGGAGAGAACAGACGGCAGAATAGCTAGGAAACGAACACATGGCTTTTTTTTTCATTTATGTTACTCTACGGACACCATCATTAGATTACAAGTATTATTTTTAGCTCTTTTGGACTCGTGTATTTAATGCACCGATTCCCTGGTAACTGTTCTTGTATAATACCTGTATTTGTTCAATTTGCTCTCAAAGATAGCATGCTTGCAAGAGGAGGTATAGTGTAGGGCGTATAGTAAGGTTTATTACCGCCCAACCTCCAGTGAGCACGATTTCTGTGCTCCTTAGTTTATTAAACATTTTCGGTTCCCTCTGATAGGAGTTAGTGACCCAGCCACAGAGATGTGCGATGCCCCCAAGGAGCTCAGGGTCCACGGGGCAGGCAGATGCAACAGCTAACTAACAAGCGATGCCGGAGCAGTCCGGTCCCCGAGGAACACAGGGCCTCGAACCACCTCTGAGACGAGGGACTCCGACAGGTTAAGTTGCACATGTTCACAAAACCTGCGCTTGGCCCTGAGTATCTGCACTTGGTCTGACTTCACAGCCACCCCCACCTCCAGTGCCACGTGGTGACGACAGGCCCTCACGGCTGTGCCTGCTCCGGGTGGGCCGAGGCTGCCGAGGGTGGGCGGTCTGCCCTGCAGACCTCAGGGGGTTTCTGTCCTGGTGCTGGCATCCGGCCTGGCTCCAACTGACTTCATCCCTGCCTCCCACCCTGAGCCACCAGGGTCCCGTCTGAAGGGCTGCTACGGGACCTTATAGGCCAAGCTGATGGGCGTTCACTCTCTGTAAGGACCCCATTTTCCTTAATCCTGAGCAAGCAGAGGCTGCCCCGTGGTAAGCCTGAGGCCCGGAGAAAGGAAATGCTCGGGAGGGTTGGGAAAGAACAGTGAATTGGCTAGAGATCTCCATCGCCCCCCAGCCCCCATCAAGCTCTGGCTCATTCATGAGGGACTTATTTGCTCGAGATCACCTGTAAATCAGCAATGTCAAAAATGATAAGAAAACCCCAGATTCTATGAATGTAATTTGTAAGTCCAGGGGGTGGCAACTTGCAAACATGTCTGCCTCAGAAGTTGAGCCGCTGAAATCCTAGATCTATTTAAAAGCAGGCAGGAGAGAAGCATGAAGAAGACAAGTTGGGGCAGGCTTTGATCCCCCTAACCCAACTGCACATGAGCACGTTTTAAAACAGCGAATAAATGGATGCTTGTACCGATGGCAAGACAGACATTTTAAATTATGAGCAACTCTGCTTAAAGCCCTATTACTTCTTTCCTTATGGGCAAGCCCTGCTTTTCTTGAATAAAGAAACTGAAATTCCATTATTAACAGAAATAAAGTGGAAGCTGATGTGGGGTTAAAAGAAACGAGAGCAGCTGAGACCTGCAATAGCCATTGTTAGGTGTTCTAATTAGGGCTGAGTTTGAAAATGCCGCCAGTTTATTGAATGGGTCCTGTCCAAGGGCCCTCTGCGCGTCATTCCTCACAGTGCCCTGAAGGGGGCGTGGAGCAGGCAGCAGACCCCGAAGCTCACGCCTGCCACTGTGTTCTACCGCATTTCGGTCACCGCGCGTACTCGTCTTGGTCTTGGCACGATTCACATCAACGGAGGCGCCAAGGCTTCTGAACCGTGCTGACGGCTTCTGAGATGTGCTGGCTGTAGAAGAGCATTTGACGGTGGAGGCATGGAAGGAGCGCTGTAGCGGGAGGTGGGCTGAGTATTCAACAAGACCTTCAAAGGAAGGAAGTGTGCAGCCTCAGCCTCGGCCCCCAATCAGCAATGGGTTCCCGCCTCTGAATCACAGGAATCGAACTTCCGAGATACTACTGTATAGACTGTCAGCTCGCGGATTTGCAGTGGTAAGACGCAGCCTTCCAGTGAGTGAGCAGAGGAGTGCTCCTCAGAGAACTTTCTCCAGAATCGAGGGTCACAGAAACCTTAGTCACATGAAGGGAGAGGACACGCGGATGTTTGGAACCCAGGAGTGCAGCTGCCAGCACAGACCCATAGGGCGCCCAGGCCCAGGGAGTTCAGAGGCACTGCAAGGGAGCCTCGGCTCAGCACGAGCGGGCGAACCGCACAGTCCGGCGAGGATCCACACAGCTGCCCCCCCGTGCACTGCTGAAAGATGCCCACCAGAAACTCCTTACGCTTCCCGAAAGTGCCTTCTCCGAAGCTGTGTGGTGAAAGATAATCTCCTACTAAGAAACATACCACTGACTATAAACTATTGGCAGCGTGATGAATATACTGCCAGCAACCCAGGGTGGCTGCTGCTAAAATAAAACCAGTATTTGGAGATAGTATCATATAAAGAGAGAAGGGCTTTGACCAAGAGCTCCTTGAGAACCTAGAATACCTAAAGACATCAAAGCCATGGTCTATGTTTACACATAGGTCACATTCTTCAAAAAGCTGCTCAAAAGTCCATGCTTCAGTGATATTCGTACCTAATCCAAACACTGTACTGTGGTACTGCTCATTGGTACTTAGAACACACATGAAGGACGTCGTGATAAACTAAGTATTTTCCCACTTGTAACACGCAGAGATGTAATTTACTAAGTTGGCGCTAATCAACAAGCAGGGACTGAATTTTATTTTTAAGAGAATTACAGAGCATGAAAACTAAGCAATTTAAGTGTTCTCAAAGAGGAAACTGACGTCCTTTTATTCTACCCAAGTAAAGACAATTATGAACCCCATCAGTTCATGGGAACTATAATAAATGACAACCAGCTAAACCAGACCCCTAAGACCAATGCTATGAACACACAGATCTCACACAATTGCTCTGTGCTATAGTTTAGTTTTAAATCTTTAAAACCTCAATACACACCTTAATATTTCTTTTAGCACACAAAATTAATTTACACATAAAAGTAACATCTATTTATAGAACTCTATTAAATTTTTTTCAAAATTTAAAAATAAATAGCACTATTTTGCAATTCTGATTTTACAGAGAAATAAAACTTGTTGCCCCGTAATGTTCTATCAAAATGGAAAGTTAAGTCAATTTGCTCTGCTTTTCACAACAGAAATAAGCATTCGCACTATCAGCCTTGAAAAATCAACTTGGTGACAAGAAAAATTCCTTAAAAAATAGAATCACTGAAAAATGGGAGCTGGTGCCATCTAGTGAGAGGTAATGGTAGTGGGACCTTGGGTGTCAGCCATGAAGTCAGGTTCCACTATAAGTTTAGTCACGTGCAACTCAACAGGCGCACACGAGGTCAAGGCCTGAAAGTTACATGCAAAAATGAAAACCACGACGGTGTTAGGACTGAGGAGTAATGGATTTTGTTTTTTCTTTCTTTCTTTCTTTTTTTTTATCCTCACCCGAGGACATTTTTCCATTTTTTGTACAGATAGAGTGGGAGGGAGAGAGAGGAAGAGAGAGAGAGAGAGAGAGAGAGAGAGAGAGAGAGAGAGAGAGAGAGAAACATCGATGTGAAAGGGACACATCGAGTGGCTGCCACCCACACAACCCAACCAGGGCCGGGGACAAACTGCAACCGAGGTACATGCCCTCAGCGGGAACCGAGGACCACAGGTGGACGCTCTAACCGCTGAGCCAAACGGGCCAGGGCTGTTTTTTCTTTAAATGCCATCCTACCTTTAAAGGAAAAGAAATCAAGCAGGTAGTTAAAAATGATTACTGAACATGAGGGATACTGGAGGGGAAAGACTGGCCAATTAAGTAAATGAAAACTTCCATGATTCACAGCAAGTCAGGCAGTAAGTAGTCTCTTACTCATTGGGAGGCTGGTGGAAGGCAAATTTATGGTAGGCCAGAATTAAGGATTTAACTTCTTTCTCTATTTATTTAAAGAGCTGGTTTATGTGAAAAAAAAAAAAAAGCATCTACCCAGACTCCCAGTAAAGCAGCACTCAGGACTATGATCATCAATGCTCACTCACCATGACCGTCAGGGAGGCGCAAGACCCCAGAATGGTTTTTTTGGTTAGAAAACCAGAGTTAATTTTTGAGTTTACCCCAATAGACCTCCTCAATACTAACAATGCTGAGGAGAGCTGGGCTACAGTACCAAAGGTCTCAGAGAGGTAGACTTCCTGCAACATTTTCATGGACTGGCAAGTTTATTACCAATTATTATTATTTTGGTAGGAGCTTTTGAGAATGCTGCTTTCCTATAAGGCCGGGTGCCCGAGAACTCCGAGCATGCCTAGACACGTCTGTGCTGTCCTTCCATAGTCCGCTTCTCAGCTGGCCCTCGAGAGGGCGGGGCCTTGTGTTCTGTTCATCACCACATACCCAGCACTTCATTATGTCGGCACATGTAAGTGCTCAATGTCAGTTGATTGAGTGAATAAATCAATGCATGAATGAATCTCATATAATCCAACTGGTCTTAGGGGAAAAGAGGGAAAAAAACACCCTCACAAAAGCGAGGACAATTATAGACAGGAAGATAAGCACAGGGGCAGACCTGATGCCAACATACTGCCATCGTTCAACACCTGACAACACTTGAAAGAGTTTAAGTCCAAGTTAATATAAAAACAGAGTGTTTTCCGGAAGACTCATTTACAAATAAGTTAATGAAAACCCAGTTACTACACAAAGATGTAACAGGAGCCTAGTGTTCTATTGTTTCAAGATGAAGAGGACTCCCCCGAGTACACCAGGTGAAGGTCTAGAGTCCCATAGAGGGAGTGTAGCACATCAAGGACTTTTTCTTGAATGGTGTCAACTTGCTCAGAAGGACAGTATTCATCCAGACTTGACCTAAAACCAAGAAGACAAGACACTCATAAACAGGATGAGATCACACTGTGCAGCGAGCAACGGCCTGTCCGTGTTGATTTCAATGGGAAGTAGAAGCGAGTGCTGAATGGGAAGCTGCTGACGTTTACTCGTGTCAGGCACATGACACCAATGATGCTCTTTAATGTCCTCAGCCACTCTCTGAAACAGGTCCATTTACCTTCCCTTTAAAGGACTCTGACAATGAGAAAGATTAACCTGCACAGGTCACATAGCAAGCACTGGTCAGTAAGTGCCTGGACGGCTTTAAACCACAGGGCCCGCCTTCAAAGCCCAGAGCTTGATCTCTAGACTGCCGTCTCCCTGAAGGGAGCTGCTGCCTGGGAATACTGGGCTTATTATCTGAGTGACACCCTTCTCCTCCTTTAATGCATATGTGGGGGCTAGAAATTATGAGGGAAGAGGCTTTCCAACTGATGAGAGGGTTCTGCTTCTAAAAACAGTTTGTTAACTACACAAGTGTGCAGGATTGTCCAAAATGAAGTGTGGGGAAGTGCTGGTGTAGGGATTAATTTCCTAGGTTGTAAGTATTGAGAAAGAGCCAAGTGGGATGATGGGACAGAAACAGACATTCTGGGAGTCTTTCTAGAATTGCCAACTACATGGTGAATGGCCAGGCAGTTGAAAGGTCACTGACAAAGACATCTGGATTAAGGTCTGAAATGATTTGATCAGGGTCTCCTGATTATGAACTGGGGAGACGAAGCCATTTAGAGGGATGGGTCGGGAAGAGTGGCTTGGGATTTCTATAGACAGAAATGAAATTAGTTATCTAGCTTACTCCCTATCACAAGTATGTAGAAGTAAAAAAATAATCTATAAGATTTCTGATAAACTCATTCCATTCTCCGATGATTGGGTTATTTTTGAAGCTTGATGTATTTAACACATAACAAGTTTGTTAAATATAGAACAATTTAAAATTTTTAAATACTGCCCCATGTATACATATGGATAAAGACTTACTTTATGAAAGTATCATAAGATTAACTTATGACAAATAAGGGTACTTGAATGCTTTCAAAAAAATTTCTGGCCTCGTTAACACTATTAAAGAGTGGTTCTTGATGGGAGGACCCAAAAGGGAGTTCTGGTTGTCAATCCCAATCAGGGAAGGAGGGCAGGGCTGCAAGAGTGCTTGCGAGGTGCAGGACGGTCCTGCAGCGTACACGTGAGTAACTGTCCTGTGTCCTGCCTGCTTTCCACAGCCCACAGAACACCCAATAGAGAACCTGGGCCCTGCTTATAATTAAAATCAATTTTTTATTATTTTTAGAGAGAGAGGAAGAGACAGGGAGAAAGAGAAACATGGATGTGAGAGTGAAACACTGATCCGCTGCCTCCTGCACGCCCCCTACTGGGGATGAAGCCCAAAACCCGAGCAAGTGCCCTGACTGGGAATTGAACCAGCAACCTTTCAGTGCACAGGATGACGCCCAACCAACTGAGCCACACTGGCCAGGGCCTGTTTTTAATTTTTTGAACCTAGAATTTAACACTCTTCTACATATGAGCAAAATGTTTTTGAAAATGGATTCACTACGTACTAAATTTTTCAGAAATGAAAGTAACTACTCTGTTAAATGAGGAAAGATTGAACTTTAAGTTCAGAACTTTAGCAAGAGGCTGTTTTGACTAGAAAAACCATGTCATTATGGCAGCACTGTTCGTGGTATTTGGCTCATATAACCTGCGAGTATCTGTCTGTCTGGAACTGTTACCTTTAGGGCCTCTGCGAAGATGCAAGTCTAGTGTGGCATTTTAATACATCTCACTTTTACCAATCACTTTCATTTCTCCTTTATGTTGCAGTGATATTTTTGTGTGTGTAAACATATATAAACATATTTAAATTATGTGAATAAGTAGTGTATTGCTATAGACTAAGACTAAATGTTTGAGTACCCCCCCCCCCAAATTCATATTCCCCAATGTGATCACATCTGAAGGTGAGGCCTCTGGGAGGTGATTAGGTCATGAGGGCAGACTCCTCAATGTATGAGGTTAATGCTCCACAGTAGAGTCCCAGAGAGCTCCTTCACACCTTCCACCATGTGAGGTGAGGTCACAGGAGAAGGTGGCTGTCCAGGAAGTAGGAACCAGGTCCTCACCACGATACTGCATCTCCTGGTGCCTTCATCTTGAACTTTCCAGCCTCCAGGACTGAGAAATAAACTTCTGTTGTTTATAAGCAACAGGTCTATGATATTTTTCTTATCGCAGACTGAATGGACTAAGACAATTACATTAACTATATATTACGTATAATATCTACATATTTTAAAAGTATGTATGTAGGTTAGATTATCCATGAATTCTGTCGCAGGATGGTAAAAGATGTTACAAAATGCTTGTCATAAAAAATAAAATATTATTTATTTAAGGTACTTATTTTAGAATTTAAGTTTTATATGAAACCAGCCCAAAGGTTAACACAGAAAATAAAATTTTAATAAATTGTTGTAACTATTCAGCACATTAATATGTTTAAATTTAAAACATGGCGGCAGCCAAATATTCCTCTGTAGGACACAAAAATGGGAATTCTTGTGTTTATCTGAATAATATCTCCAACTTCAAAGACAAGATAAAATGTTGTTTGCCAAACATTACTAATAGGAAAGGGAAAATACATATCTGAAATTTGAGCTGAGGTTAAAAACTGATAAGAATTATTGTATTAGTAATCATCAGATACGGAGATTGTATTAGTTCCCTACTGCTGCTATAACGCATTGCCCCAAACATAGACACTTACAGCCCCCAGATTGATTATCTTACCGTTGTACTGGAGGTCAGAGTCCTAAAATAAAGATGCCGGCAGGGCTCCATTTCTTCTCCAGGCTCTGGGAAGAATCCTTGCCTTGCCTTTCCAGACTCCACAGCCGCCTGCATTCATCCCTTAGCTTGTAGCCCCACCCCCTCCTTCAAAGCCAACACTCTAGCACCTTCCAATCTCTGATTCTACCAGCTGTCTTCCTTGTAAGAACCCCTGTAATTACATTCGGCCCACCCAGATAATCTAGGATAACTTCCTAATGTGAAGTTCCTTGAGTTAATCAACATCTGTAAAGCTGTCAGTGTAAGCCAACACAGTCACGAGCTCTTAACACTGGGACGTGGGCAGCGCTGATGCACCACTCTTCAGGACACCACACTTACCTTGCAATTGTCACGAGAGTAGGTTTTGGTAAGTTTTTCAGTAAATAACATACAGACTGAATAAGACACTCAATTTCTTGTTCTGTGCTAATATGGTGAGGAAGCTCTGAATAATCACAGGTGAGACCAGCCTGGTGAACCTGAAAATAAGACAATTAAAAAACTACACTGTAAGGCTCTGCTGTCTTCATATGTAACATTCCTTAACCATTAATGGACTTGATGGCAGATCTTTTAATATTTCTGTGAACTGGGATTATTTCTTCCTTAATAATTTCTGTGCCATAGAAGTGATCTCTTCTCTCTTTGCTGGTAAGAATTGGTCTATATACCTGTTTGGGACTGATGCCTTTTCTAGAAATAATTCTTTACTTCTTAAATTCATTTCATGATTATGGATTCATTAAGTTTTTTTCCTTATTGAGTCTTTCTGACAACTCACATTTTCTAGCAAATTACCCATTTCACCTAGATTCTAAAAGCTGATATAAAACTATACATAATATTCTCACTTTACCTATTCTTCCAATATATTATTGTATTTACTTTTTTTTTAATCCTAATTTGAGGATTTTTTCCATCAATTTTCAGACAGAGTGGGAGGGAGGGGTAGAGAGAGAGAAAAACACTGATGTGAGAGAGACACACTGACTGGTTGCCTCCCACACGACCCTGACCAGGGCTGGGGACAAACCGCAACCGAGGTATGTGCCCTTGACCTGAATTGAGCCTGAGACTCTTTGGTCCACAGGCCAACGCTCTAACTGCTGAGCAAAACCAGCCAGGGTTCCATTGATTTTCTTTTAGATAGACTAGAAGGTAGGGAGGGAGAGAGAGAAACATCGATGTGAGAGAGACATATCAATTGGTTGCCTCCCACATGACCTCAACTCAAACTGGGGACTGAACCTGCAACCCAAATACATGCCCTTGACCGGAATAGAACCCATGACCCTTTGGTCCAAGGGCTGACGCACTAACCACTGAGCAAAACAGGCCAGGGCTATTTTATTTACTTTTTAAATACATGCATTTAGTACTACATTCAAGGTTTCAAGAGGATACAAGGCAAAGTCTTCCTCCTACCTTATTTAACCTACTGTTCCCAGTTTCTTGTGCATCCCTTATGTAGAAGCACACGCTATGACATCTATACGTGTGTTTTAAACGTAAAGGACTGGCACAGAACTCAGTATGCCTGAACGCTGAAAGTGGCTCACAAGCTGACATTTTGTAGCTTCTGTTTTAAAGTTCTGAAAACTGGATCTCAAATATGTCACAGTTGTGCCTAGTGTACATGAGTGTAAGCATGGAAAAAAACACCAATCTGCTATTTTATTGGAGGCTCTGGGTTAAATTCAAAGATTTAACTGGCAATGATCCGTCAATGCAGTGAAATGACAGACTGTGCATGATCTTTTCTACTACAATGATGGAAAGACTTCGTGTTCAAACCCTGTAGCTATAGGCACGTCACATCTGATCTCAGAATATGCGACCAAGCCCATGACATCCCTTCTCTCAACGAAGTGTGAAGCCCTCCCAACCATCAGAAAATCCAGATGCGATGGAATGATTAAAGTAGACCTACAGGAAGACACAGCACTGATATCCCGTGAGCTCAAAGCAGTTTAAAACCCTATGTGTCTTCTAATTCTTTCTTTCTTAATAATTGTCATTATGCCCTGGCTGGTTTGGGTCAGCAGTTAGAGTGTCGACCCACAGACCAGAGTCGTGGGTTCGATTCTGCTCAAGGGCAAGTACCTCGGTTGTAGTTCGATTCCCAGTCCTGGTTGGGGTCATGCAGGGGCAACCAATCGATGTTTCTCTCTCTCACCCTCCCTCCCACTCTATCTGAAAATCAACAGAAAAGTGTCCTCCGGTGAGAACATTCTTTTAAAAAAAAAAAGAAGGATGACTCCCCAGGTCAGGTGGCTTAGCTGGTTGGAGCATCATCCTGTACACCAAAAAAACTGTGGGTTCAATTCCTGGTCAGGGCACATAGCTAGGTTTTAAGTTTTGATCCTCAGTAGGGGTTTATGGGAGGCAACTGATTGATATTTGTCTCTTACATCAATGTTTCTCTCTCTCTAAAAAACCAATGAACCATCTCTTCCCGGGGGGGGGGGGGGGAGGATTAAAAAAAAGGACAACTATATATGGTGCCAGTTGGGTACTAGAGATGTCAGAGGAACACTTTGTAAAGTATATGATTGTATAACCACTATGTTGTATACCTAAAACCAATACAAAATAATACTGATTGTAAAAAAAAAAAATGTTTTTAATAAAAAAGAAGGGTGAGTCTTAGATTAGGCATGATTGAACTAAAACATTATTTTGTTAGTATTTTTTATCATATTAAGTTAGCTTTAAATCAACATGTAAACTTCAGTTCAAATGAGGTGGTTTGATTGTATCACATGACTAAATAAAACATTAAAGCAAAAACACAATCTACTGAAGTATAAGAAACATTGGAAGTGAGAGAACAGAAGGCTGGAGGTCTCAGCTCTGGCACAAAATCTGAGAAAAGGCACATAAACTTCACATGGAAAAATTTATGCTTCAAAGACTGCAGAACGATGTACAATAACAGAGATGATCATTAGAGGTATTCTCTGTTGCCACTGTGGGCACACAGAGTCAGTTACGCGTGCAGCTGACGCAGATAAGGTGCATCGCTAGAGCGCCTTCTTGTGCTTTCTGCTGGGTTTTTATAATCAGAAGTTTGCAGAGTACGGAAAGACAGGTGGAGGAAAGGAGTAAGAAAAGTAAATCAATAAAGAATGAACAACTTTAGAAACTGTATTCTTTCTTTTCTCTGGGAAAAAGAGATCTGACCAAAACAAAAACATAAAAACAAACAAAACCCCCGAACCACAGCACTTTTGTCTCACAGATAAAATTCGGAAAAGTATGTTTTTTCTTAGAAAACTGAAAGCTTCTAAAGATCATGTACTTTTCCCCCACTACTTTTTTACAGAAAATAATCCATTCACACCTCCAAGGAACACAAATAAAATAACCTACATTAACAAAAAGCACTTTTTTCCCCCTAGCCAGAAAAATGCTTTTGCAAAGGGTCAATTTTTTACTTCAACATAGAATATTTACCATTTCGTAGTCCGGCACGTCCATCCGTTTTTTCAAACTCTGTACAAGTGGAACTAGTGCATCCATTCTGGAAAACAGCCAGCCCTCGGTTAACCCTCACACCGTCTCCTCAAAAATTACAGTCGCCAATGATACATCACCCTTGAAATTCCCCATTAACAATATGTTTCATATGATTCTTGGGAAATGAAAGTTAGAGCTGTTCAAATATCATCTTAAAATATTAAGAAATAAATGTTCCCTGCTGTTTTCTTACCTAAAAAGGTTACAGATTGTGTTCAAGACTGAAAATTAGCACTTTGAGAAACAGAGATTTTCCTTTAACTTAAAAATGCAAGTTCTACCGTGACTTTAAAAGTCATTCTGATCAGCAAGAAAACTAAGTGTCTTTAGCACACTGTTGAAAAAAGCAGTTTCCTGAAGGTTTAAAAAAATTAAGGTTGCATTTATTGACATACACAATTATAACTGGGAAAGTTCTATACCGCTTGATATCACAACAAGGTGCTTTTAAATGATTTAATTTAGGTGGAATTCTTTGGAAGCCCTGATTAATGAATGATTCTAGTATTTTAATGCCTCCTCCACTAACATCCACTTATGTGCTGGGAGGGAAAGAAGAAAAGAAAAAGGAGGCATGGACGCCTGTCTATCCAATCATCCTACTACTTCTTCCTTTGTATTAATGACACTTTCTGGACTTCTGGACCCTAATCACCCACCTCCTCTAGGGTCTGGCCCTTTAGGTAAGCTTGGGGAGACTTTACTTGCTGTATGACTTTTCCTTTGTGTTATTCTTTTTTCCCCCCAATTCCAACCACAGTCTCAACTTGCCACTGTTGTGGTCTCCTTGTGTCTTCAAGTCTGAGACAGAGCTCCCTGCAGGAGACAAAGAGCTACCTGGGCACGTTCAGCAGGTCCAGTGGGTTTCAGCGGAAGGAGGCCCCATCTAGAGGCTGGACGCAGGATTCTAAGGTTTTCAGGCTATCTTTTTTGGTTTTAAGTTTTAAACTTGGATTGAGACTTCAAACAAATAATCATAAAATAGTAGGTACTCTTTAATATTTCTGGGAAGAATCATGCGACTTATTTCTATATCCCCCTATTCCATCATCATTCCAAAAAGGAGGGAATCATTTTTAGAATTATTTCCCTATACTGAAGAGAAAAACCTTTAACTGGTGTTAAGGTGCCAGGCTAATATTTATTGATATGATTAATGCTATTATGGTTTATTCTTCCAAACTATTGCTTTCTTTAGTGATTAAGGTTTTATGATATTTATATTTCAAGGATGTTTCTGAATATTTTAAAGTAAAAAATTACAGTGAATATTTTGAATAAGTAATGCATAGCACAAGAAGGTATCTCTCCCTCATGTACATCACCATTTAGCCATATAATTCCTCTCTGCAGAGGTAACTGCTTTTCTAATTTCTTCCATATTCTTTCAGAGATCTGTTGAAGTATTTTCAATAACTGTCACATAATAAATCTTAGTGTCTCGAAGTACTATGCTTCCAACTCTCTTTTTTTTTGTTTCTACCTTACAACTGATTTCTTACATTTACACTGTGGAGAATACAGTGTGTGGGAGACAATTTGAAAATAAGCTAGTTCTGGTCTTCTATGCTCATGGGGACAAAAAGTTTGTATCTGATAGTTTTATTTTAGCTACTTGGTCTTTTGAATTTATATAATTTAAATAATTATTTTAGCAAAAAATATGCTATTTATATCCCTATTCTTTCAAACTAAGATTAATACTAAAGGCATTCTTCACTCCACCCCCAAATGAACAGATGATCACTCTAAAAAAGAACTTTTCCCTCCCTGTTTCCAAGGTCAGTCAACATTGAGAGAATTGGCCAAATAAATGACCTGATGAAAAACGCAGCTTTCAAATCTTGCTCCTTGATGCTATGGACAGCTTGAAAGTAAACTCTTCTACTCGTAGCTGGCTATCCTTACAGAGGCAAGTGTTTACATTATAATTTACCAGTCTAGTCACTTATTTTTCTATTGATAGGTTCATTTTTTTTTTCTTATTCTACTTAGAACAGGGCCTGTTTTCCTCATCTGTAATCCTCCATGAAACCTACCATCACACCTGTATATAAAAGGGGCAGCTGCCTCACAATGGCTAAAAGCATACCCATTTACTATGTGATTTGGGGCGACTTAAACTGTGTGCCCTAGTTTCCTCACCTATAAAATAGAAATAATAATAATAATAATGAAGCCAGAAGATTGTTAAAAGAAATAAGTGAGATAATGCAAGGAAATATCTTAGAATTAGAACAATATCAGGCACACAAAAATACTCAATAAACGCTAACTAGTGTTAGTAAATTTGTGTTGACATTTGACACTAATTTTTAAAAGCAATTTAGTACATCCAGCAATAAACTAAGACTGAAATACAGTAGAGCTGGAAGGAAAATGTGTGAGGGTCTTACCCAGGGTTTGAAGCCCATTTCTGTACAGTTTCCTCATCATCACCATCACACAAATCAGCAAAAGCAGCTTCTAAATCTTCTAATTGGTGAATTTGAGTATCAACACAATCTACCAAATCTTCCTTTAAATGCACAGAAAAGCCGAAATTAGTTATTTTATTGATGTCACCACAATAAATTCAATTAAAAAATACCTTATTTTGTAAAAGGAAAAAAAAAGTCTCAGTTCAATGAGTTAAAACATGATTTTCAAGTACTGATCACAGACTTCCCCAATAAACACACACACACAGATTTTGGACAGTTGTTTGAGAGTATTCTAATAAGTTATAAGGTATTATTCGATATATGTGATAAATAGATAAAACCCAAAGGGAATAAATTGCGGATACCTCTGTCAGGTTGGTGCCAGGCTTTTTAAATTGGTACAGCTCTTGTAAGATTTTGTACTCCTCCTAAAAACAAAACAAAAAATCCACACATTAGAAAAAACATTACTCTTTTTCAAGGATATGCTTTAAGTGAGAAATGGCTGTGATACAAGAACATCATAGTCATTTAAAGATTAGTCTCAGAAAATCAGGCAAAATGTCCAATTCAGATTTCACTGTAAATATTACCATTTTTTCAGGGTAAGTCCATCCATCTGGGCATGACAAGCAGAGGTCTTTGGTTAGTTAGATAAATCAAAGTGGCTTTCGATACGTATACAGAATAAGAACTGAAGAAGGTAGCATCCTCATTATAAATCAACTACTGAACTTAGAAAAGAGACAGTTAATTTGAATCCTCCCAAATAGATCTGGAACAACCTCCTGAATACTAAGGTAAGCAGATACATGTGTCCATAAAATATACCTAGGAATGCTCATTTGCACTATGAATTTATCAGTTTCTTAAATGCATGATTCTATTTCAGATCTATGCCTACTGACAGTGCCTGGTGATTTGCATTTAAGATCTGCTGAAGTACCCTAAGGATCACAGGCCTCAATGATTAGCTACAAATAGTACACGTGTAACTAGGCACCTTATTATTCATTGAAAAATTTGTCACACAGGGTTTTATAGACATAGAATATCTCTGGAAAGATACCACAAAAAACTGGCCATAGTTTTATGTCTGAGGTCAGAAACTGAGGGTACGGGGATGGGGTAAGAGAGTGACATTCTTTCATGTCCATGCTTTCTTCTTTTATATGACTTTGTTTCTTTCAACTTCCCTGCACACATTATCCCAATTAATAAATGCAAAATGATAAATACTATCTAGAGCAGGGATCTGTTTTTATATGGCCCTCAAGTTATGAATGGGATATACAATTATAAAGGGTTTGAAAGAACAACACACAAGGAAGAATATGTGGCGGAGGCCATACGGGACCCCCAATAAAGTCATTACCATCTGGCTGTTTGCATAAAGCCTGCAGATCCCTGATCTAGAGAAATGTCATATAACTCTCAAAATCTATGTTTTAAAAATAGCACATTTACCTGAGTGAACATTTCTTTGAAGGGATTCTTGACTGAAAAAAAATCTAAGTCGATATCTAAAACAAATGCATCCCCTTTCTTCAAGATGTCTGGAATTTCTCCAGTGCTGACTACTGCTGGTCACTCCTGGCTCTCAGGAGGGTAAGAACACAAAGGTCCTAGGCCAGTTTACAGCCTTTGCTGTGCTGTGATGTCTTTTTCCAACCCTTCTGAATGAGAGGCACCGTTCACAGAAGCCATGTGTCTTGCATCTTTCCGTGCTAGCTTTGGTTTCTTAGCAGAAGACACTGCATCGCTTTCTTCCTGACTGTTACAGAGTGTATATGGTTTCACCGTAATTACATCTAGTTTTAAGGGTTTCTGGTTCTCTAGCTGGTCTTCAGTGACATAAAGACCATCACTTAGGAAGTAATGATCTGTACTTGTAACCCTGGATCAGAGGAGAAAACTATTTTAAAGATGAAGGAACAAATTAGCTGACATTTCATGTAGCATTTCCGAACTATTAGAAAGGACACATTCGACAAAAACTGAGAGCTGTCTCTAATATCTGTACTTCCTGCTCTTCTGCAGAAACAGCATTCCCCAAATTTTTAGCTGGGCACACTACTGCCCACAGTCATAGTCTGTCTTGTAGCTAAGTGTGGCCACCTGACTAAATTCTCGCCTTGCTCTCCCCTCCTCGTTGACTGGCATATGACATGGAAGTGGCAAAGCCCACCTTGGACTATGAGGACAAAGACAATATCCTAGAGATGATGGAGCAAACAGATAGAAGGAACTGAGGTCACCCAAACCATAGAACTGCCACATAGGCCCTGGACTGTATGTGGTAAACTAACTGAGAAAGAAAATCTTGTTTAAGACAGTCTTTGGCTTTCTCTCACACCACTTGAAACTTTACCCAAAAAAATCACTTAAGAAAAAAATTACATCTGGAAATGATTTCTCTTAATAGAAGCTCCCTCCGACATATTTCAAAACTTCATTAAATTTGATATAATCTTTTAATATAAAAAGTAACTTAAAAAAATGTCATACATGTGTAGAACATATTTCACAAGTTTCAAATTTCTGATTTTAGGCATACTGGCATGACCTTAGCTTTTCAACTATATTAAATATTTGCCTTGGTAAGTATTATGAACAGTGAAATCAAACGCTTTTTCCAGAGGTAGGCTCTATCCAATTAAAATAACGGTTACCAGTTATTTCACACCTACCGGACTCCAACATATACATCCTTAAATTTAAAAAGATATAAATTTCTTCAAAAAGATGAATGACACAATGAAACTAATGTCCAGGCTTATTAAAAACTATACCATCCTAAAAAAGACAAAGGTTGTATCTTAATCTAAATCTGTGTTCTTCTTTAATAATGAATGTTTTACTGTGTTCATATCAGTACAAATACACATTTCAGACTGCATACCTAATTGTATATGAGTCTCTTCCATAAATTTTTACTTGCAGGATTAAAATCATAAAATGACAAAAATCTTCCTAGTATAATTATACACTAAGTTTCAAATGTCTGTTTCAGATTGCTCAAAATGATTTGATTTTGCAGAAACCTGTTACAGGTTCAAGTAGGACTCCTCACTGAAGTGCTCAATAAAAACCCTACTGCTCTTTCACATATACCAGTATTATGTGTGATATTTATTATATGAGGGACCCTATTTATTTAGCATTATATCCTCAATAAATACAGTTTCATGTATGCACAATTAAGTTGTTTATGTAATTGATAAGAATATACAATAAAAGTTAATTGTATCATTAAGAATAAGTCAGAAGTAAAAAGTATTATTTGTAATAAGAAATATTACTTCATGTTCAACGTATTACCATCTAATCCCACTATCCTTCAGGTTATAGAAAGTTAAAGTTCCACTACTTAAAACATTCATCCAATCACAAGACAATTTAGAAGATACACAAAACATTGGTTACACAGCTTCTGTAACAAAAATAATTGCACATGTAACCCAAGTCAGAGAATCCTGCAATTTAATTTAATTATCTAAAGCTAATTATATTAATAAAATTAAAACCCAAATCTACTTTTTAGCCATTAGATTTATAAAAAAAAAATAAGCAAGATAATTTTGCGGTTTCACTGTTAATTGCTCCATTCAGTAGACTATAGTTATAGTAGAAGGAATGTATCATCAAATATATAAATCTAAAAAGTACTTCAATGATTTAATGGAGTTAGTCATCAATAGAGCCAGAATGCTACAGGTAAAGATCACGTTATTCAAACACAAACTTGGTGCCCTGGCTGGATGGCTCAGTTGGTTGGAACACCATCCCATATATCAAAAGGTCCAGGGATCAATCCCTGGTATTTCTGGTCAGGGCTCGTATGAGGCAACTGATAGATATTTCTCTCTCATATCAAGTTTTTGCTCTCTCTCTCTCTCTCAAAATCAATAAAATAAAAACAACCAAACATACCCTTGGGTGAGTATTGGAAAAAAACGGTAACAACAAAACTTGGTCAGCAACAAAATATAAATGGTGTGTGAAAAAGATTTAAAAAAATTGAAAACTTAATCCTGGGGTTCTAAGAACTCTTTTTGGAAGAGCTGAAGCTTAATCTGACTTCTCTGTGTGTGTAGAGATACTTAGGAGTTATTACAAAAATCCAAAATAAGATAGAAGAAACATTCAACCCTTTCAATACTTAAATATGAGGAAATTACCTGATTGTTGTGGTAGAAGTGTCTTTGCCTACCAAAAAGTGATGTTTGCCCTCTCTGATTTGCTGAGCCCATGTGGGATGAAGCCATATTACGTGAGAAAAATGGCCAGCATAGACTGCAGGTATAATCCAATTCTCAATACTTAATTCTCTGGAAAAGACAGAGAGAAAAAGGATGAAAACTATTAGTGAGTGATTTTTTTTTTTTTCCAAATGTAATTTAATTCACAATAATATTTTAAGACAGCAGATCTCAAACTATGGTCTGGGGGACCCTTGAGAGGTTCCTGAGACCACTCCTGTGGCTACTAGTTAAAAACAATTTTCCTAAAACACTAAGGCACTGTTTCCCTTTTTCATGGTATTGACGTTTGCAGGTGGTGTAAAGTCGTGGTGAGTTGATGTCTTCACATTAATGAAAGCCAAACTCTACTAGTAGTCACTGCATTCGTCTCTACCAAGCACTAACCCTCCCCCTACCCCACCAAAGCCAGTTTCAGGTAAGACTGTCCTGCATGATTAAATCTTGACCCTAAGTGTACATTTAAAAATACTCCATGTGGCAAAATGAGAAGTGCACAAAAAGTACATCTTTCTGCTACATACTTTGAAGTACATAGTTGTCTCAAGAAAAAACACTTGTGACTGAATTATAAGCTAAACACCAATGTTCTTGAAAGAAAGACTGATTGATATTGGTTATTCATATTTAAATCTGAATTGTTGGATTTTACAGTCTAGGCTGTAAGAAATGACCGCTTGTCAAGTGTTAGTATAGTAGTAAAGGATATTCACATTGATCTAAAAAGGCTATGAAAATTCTCTTCCTGAATTTTTTTCATATACTTCCACCGAAACAACATACAGCAACAGGGTGAATGCAAAAGCAGATGTGAGAACCTACCTGTCTTCTATAAAGGCAAATATTAAAGAGATTTACAAAAATTTAAACATTATTACTCTTTTCACTAGATTTTTTTTTTTACTTTAGAAAACATATTTGTTTTTCATAAAACATCTTATTTATGTTAACATATAAAGGCCTATGCGGTCCTGAGAGACCCGGGTTCGGTTTCCGCTAAGGGCACGTACCTCGGTTGCAGTTTGTCCCCGGCCCTGGTCGGTTGTGTGGGTGGCAGCCACTCGATGTGTTCCTTTCACATCGATGTTTCTCTCTCTCTCTGTTCCTCTCTCTCCCTCCCACTCTACCTGAACAAAAAATGGAAAAATGTCCTCGGGTGAGGATAAAAAACAAAAAAACAAAAACAAAAACAAAAAAAACATATAAAGGCCTATTGTTATCTTGAAATGAATTACTATTTTAAACACTTCTCAGTTTTAATTTCAAATATGGTAAATATCAATAGATATAACCCACATTAAAGAAAAAGCTCAACATTTTTTAAGGGTAATATGGGAATCCTGAGACTAAAAAGTTTAAGAACTATTATTCTATGACAAATTGTATAGTCTACATACCTGCTTTGTAATTCTTTTCAATTTCTGAAATATAAAATCTCTAAATACAGAAGAAAAGTAAGGACAATGGCACAGCTACCATGCTTCTTTAGAAACCAAGGCTCTGACTTGGGATTTTGGAAAAAGTCAAATGCAGTAGGCTAAAATTAATTAACACAAGCATCTATCTTTTAATTTTATATTAAAACAGGAAATTGCTGCTATGTAACTTTTTGTTTTGTACAAGTAGGTTACATTCTAACAAACATGTACATAAAGAGACAGCAACAGAATTTCAGGGAACTTTCTTACAGAAAAGAGGCTAGTAATTATTTAGAGATACATTAGGTATAATCCTTTTTGATGAATAGAGTACAAACTACCAATTTCACTTCCATCTCTATGATACTATATAACGGAAAGTCAGTAGGATTTGTGACCTGAAAATAAACTAATTGGGAGATTGGAAAACTCAGTACTGGAAGGAAGCTATACAAATTAAATTATTGAACTATGTATTTAAGACACATTTTCTTGTGCCTCAGTATCCAGACTTTTAAAGCAGAGAGGATGAAAGAAGTGGCTCAGGTAACTTTCCAAGTCTCTTCTATTTCTGAAATTCTGTATTTTAAAGCAGAGTTTGGCAAACATTGGCTGGGCCACCTGTTTCTTTGTAAATAAAGTTGTGTTGGAACAAAACCACAGCCATTTGTTTCCATAGCGTCTATGACTGCTTTCACACTAAAAGGGAAGAGATAAGTAGTTGCAACAGACCAGCTAGCCGAAAATATCTACTACCTGGCCCTTTAAGAAACAGTTTGTCAACACATGCTCTAAATAAAATATAAAAGGCAAACAAAACAAACTCATGAGCTTAACATCTATTTCCCTTAATTGCTTATCATCTACTGCAAATTGTATTTCAAGCACATACAAGATCATAAACAAAATCATATATTACCCGAAAAGAGTTTCCTTATCAAATACAGTGTCAGCAGGCATATTCACAGGAATAAGGAGATCTGGATGTGAATCAAAATGCACAAAACTTATATTACTGTCAGGAAGATGTTTTGAGCCAATGGCCCGGTATATAAAAGGCAGAACCTGTAAAAGATACATGCACACATTCAGAATTGGCACTGAAATCATGAGCTTACACTCAACTGCAGACTGAAAACAAAGCTAAATGTAACTACACGTAATTCTGACCCACACCAAGTAGGAAAATATAAGTAGGAAAAAGTGTTCATTGTAGATGATTTAGATAATGATCTCAAGTTTTATTGCCAACTTGCACCTCCATCTCTTGCTGTCATCTTGTCGCCACAACAAACTCAACAGAAAATGTGAGGAAACTGACAAGGGCTGACGCTCAGAGAAAACCTGCTAGTGAATACGTGTTCTGGCACTAATGATGTGTTCACGCTACCCTGGGCCCTATCCATACTTCAGGAAGATATGGTTGGGCTAGGTGGTCTGTAGGGCTTTGTCCTGTTACAGTCTTTATAATTCTATGTTTAAGACTGAATTTGATTAAGCAAAGAATAAAAAACAAACCTGCATAGACAGAAAACAGTATGGTTATTACCAGAGGGAAAGGGGGATGGGAGAGGTAAAAGAGGAGGTGTAAGTGGTGATGGAAGGAGACTTGACTTGGGGTGGTGAACATAATACAATATACAGATGATGTATTGTAGAATTGTACACCTGAAACCTATCTAATTTTATTAACCGATGTCACGTCAATAAATTGAATTAAAAAAAAACAACACCCACAATGAGTTATAAAAAAAAAAAAAAAGACTGAATTTGAAAGCACTGCCTAACTCACACTTGCTCTTTCTCTCAGGTCCATAAACACTATCCAGGTCCTGAGAAGCCCAACTTCCTTCTTTTCTTCTTAACTTTCTCCATCCATAAACCCGGAATCACCCGTTTCCTCTTTCATATCCAGAGATCTCCCAAGGTTTATTAATGCTACTTAAAAAAGAAGTCTCAGATGCACGGACCTCCCCCGTAGGTTTGCAGAAGTCTGCATTCAGACGCTGTTCTAGCTACTGTAAAATAGCCCTGCCATAAAAATAGAAAGTATCTTTAGCGTGTAGAAACGCGGGCCCCGGGTTAAAAATGTTTGTACACACTATGCACACGAGAAGACTAACGGCCCTAAGAGTGCCAGGATGACTGTCCTCATTTCACATACGACAACGCGCATTCTTAACCAAAAGCATGCCACCGCCATAGGAGGGCTGTGCTGGAGATGCCGGAGGGCAACCCCGTGTTAAGGTGCAGGGCAAGGGTTCGGGGCTCTGCAGTCAACTGCCCAGGGTTCGAATCCTGACACCACCAGTTGTTGCCTGTGGGATTTGGGGACAAACCGTGCGAGTTAAATGAGTTGCCCGAGGCAGGCAAGGGCCCTCATAAACGCCTGCGCCCCCTTTTCCAAGTTAGCTTCCAAGGTAGTTCTGGGGCGCTCCCCTGCTGCAAAGCGGCTCGCGCAGGTAGCACACTCGTGCAGGGAGGCGCCGCCGCCGCCCGCTCACCTCCTGATGATCCTCCACCACCCACACCGGGAGCTCGGGGTAGCGCCGGAGGCGAGCGCGTTCTCCCGCCGAGTCGGTCATTTTTCCGCGCCCGGCTGCGTCCCAGTGAACCCCGGACGCGGGGCGAGGACCGGCCAACGCCGAGAGTCGGGCCCACGGCCTTCCCGGGCGGCAACGCGCGCTCACCCGGTTACGGTTCCGCATTGGAGGGCGTAGAGGGCAGGGGGCGGGCGCCGGAGTTGCAAACGAGGGCGATTGGCTTATATGTCCATCGCTTTTGTTGGCGCGCCAATCACCGTGCACGAGGCGCTGCGGGGAGTCCAGCTTCGTCCCTCCCGGGGTCCGGCTTTCTCTCAGGTTTGCTTTTTAATTCTCTCGGTTTCCTGTTCCGGAGGTGCTGGCGGCACTATGGATTTGGAGGCTGCAGAATAAGCCCGGCTTTGCTCTGACGGCGACCTCGCCTCCCGGGAGCGTTCTTGGAGGTAAAAGGGAAGGGCCACCTTGCGGGTGTTCGAAGAGGGAGCTTTTGCGAGTGTCTGGATTTGAACGGAGCTGTTGGCCGGGGCTGCGGCGGCAGGCGCCTGGAGTTAGGCTCGGATAGCCTCTCTTCGGATCTGCAGCCAAGGGCAAGAAAGCGACCCTAGGCCCGGACCCCGTACACACAAAGAAGTGGCAATTAGGTCCTTTCATTCATTTGTGGAGCGCGTGCTGGTCCAGGCCTGGGTCGCCCGCGTTTCGGATGGGGGTAGACTGAGCCTGTTGCTTGCCTGGTTGGGCTCTCAGCCTGGCGGGAGATGCGAACAGGGAAACATGCAAATCGGCCAGAGGAAGGTGATGGGATAGCGGATTCAGCTGGGGGGAAAGAGGACGTCTTAATAAACATGTAGTCACACTTTGCAACTCTTTCTACGTAGACTGATGGTAACTATTCAAAACAGCTTCCTCATTTTCCCTGCTTCCAAACACCAACCGAGGAGTAGGCAGATGCAGAAAGTGATTACTTTTCCAGTTGCAGTAAATTCCTTGACTGTTGAATTAAAGTTTGCAACCACAACACAGCCTGACTGCCTTTAGTAGCTCAGTTTCATAATCAGTGTTTTAAGATATTCTATCTATAGAACATCCCGGAGGATCTCATAGTGAACGTGCACCTGCTACGCACTGAATGAGTGTTAGTGATTGTGACTGTGGCCCACCTCTAGGTCCAGCACATTCCTTTGTGTTCCCCTAGACCCTGTGCATACCTCTTTTCTTGTGTTTATTGCAGTATATTGTTATTTTTGTAGAAAATGTATTTGTATTTCGGTTCTGAGCAGCCTGTGACTGTGCCCCGCATGTATTGCCTCAATAAATGTTGTGTGAATCAGTGGAAAGGTCTTTTTGTCCGGTTTTGGTAATGCATATCTGTTGTGGATATATGTGAAAGGGAAATGTACAGTAGCAACATAGAAACATATACCTTTGGTGAGACAGTAAACATTTATTCACCACCTACTGTGTGCAGGATGCTCTGCCAGGGACTGTGAAGGATTCAGAAATGACTATGAATCAACCCATGTCATCAAGGAGCTAATAATCTAGTGGAGGAGTTAGACATGTGCACACATGACTATAATATGAGGCAGCCTCTGGTAAGTGCTGTAAAAGAAGTAAGTACAGACTAAGAGGGAAGTCTAGAGGGAATGAGATTACTTCTAAAGGGAACCAGGAAAGGCTTCATAGAAGAGGTGGCATTTGACATAGGTGGATGGGTAGAATTCAGTGGGCTAATTCATAGTGCAGTAGGTTTCAGAAGAGTGAGCAAAGAACAGGCTGGATGATATGATAGTATTTGGTATGTTAGGCAACTGAGAAAATTTGAGGTGATAGGTGCTTTGTGGGGAAGATAATGGAGGATAAGCATGGAAGAAGTTGGGTTCAGACTGGAGGACCATAAGTAATAAGCATGGAGTTTGAATTTGATTCTGTTGGCAGTGAGTAGCCCATGGTGGCATCAGCTGTCTAAGCCTTAAATTTATCTTGAGGGCCTTAGTCTGAAAAATAATCATTACTCAGATATTATCTGGTGCCCACTATTTATTAACCCCTGTGACTGATAAAACTAAATAACCTGAAACTATTTTCTTGAGCCATTTGAAAATCTGTCTTAAGCTTATTGGTCAAAGTTTAGTAAGAAAGACTTTAGGGAGATGTTGTTACATTAAAGCTTTTTGTACTTAATATTTATTTAAGTTTTTTATACAGTTTTTGAAGTTTAAGTATTTGAAAAATTATTCATGTTCACAACATTCTTCTATGGGAAGAGTGGAGAATGAAAATTAAGGATAACTTAACTCTACAAGTTATAGTTATGTTTGAATTTGAACGCTGGTCTCACTGTGAAGGAAACTAGAGTGTGGAGAGGGGGAGGAGAAATGATTATTTTCCCCTAATCTTTTAGCAAATTAGAGATGGAATATGCCCAAAGTTTCTGTCTCTTTAGCTACTGATTGTTTCGAGTCAGCAAGATAAGTATTAAGGACATTTTAGAAGTTAGTTGTAAACTTTAGTTCAGTTTGACATCCTCTTAATTTTGTTGGTATGCTAAGTACATCGGAGAATGCAAAATTTGTGTTAAGATAATTGCAGAAATATTTCCTAGCATTATCAGTTTAGGAAACATTTTTATGTCCATTTTATTCTTTCTGTCCTCTAGAATTTACAGTCTCTGTGGAAGATGTGACATTGACCCAGACAGTACGGCACGATGCAAGGCAGTACGTGGTGAGTGGTGTGATAGGAATGGCAGTAGTTTGGGGAGAAGAGAGAGAGGAGTGAACACTGGTGCTAGATCACAGACTGTGGGAAGGACTTAGATATGTGAAGAGAAAGGGAAAATGTGTTCTTTTGGGCTGTGTACATGGCTAGGAACTCAGACCTGAGCAGTTAATGAGACAACCCAGAGCCCTGAACTCTTAGTTCTGAGGTACGGGCAGACATTAAAGAGAGAATTAGGGCCCAGCTGGTGTGGCTCAGTGGATTGAGCATAGCCCCATGGACTGAGAGGTCCCGGTTTGACTCCTGGTCAGCATACATGCCAGGGTTTGGGGCTTGATCCCCAGTAGGGGGTGTGCAGGAGGCAACTGATGGATGTTTTGCTCTCACATCAATGTTTCTATTTCTCTCTCCCTTCCTCTCTCTCTAAAAAATCAATTAAAAAAAAAAAAAAGATGGAGTTAGGTAATTGGTTGGTGAATTGTAATTCTTGTGGGACCTGCCAAGAAGAGAAGCACAAAGTGTGTGAGAGCAGGAAACCTAACAGGCTTGCAGGGTGGTGATAGTGATTATAGAAAGTCCCGCAAGGGTGTCATTGCAGTAGTCAGACCAGAGAGGATGGTGTGAAGTGGATGAACTCAAGAAATGAATAAAAAATGGTAGGGATTTTTAAATAAATTTTTAGTTTAAGGGGGTAAAGAAGGAAAAATTGTTTGATAATTCCCTGGTGTATGACTTTAGGATCAATATATGTCTGGTATTTTCACCACAAGCAAACATTTTCGCCACATTTTTCTGGGTGACTAATTGGCTAAAAGGCAGTTTTGCTGTAAAAAAGATAATGACAAATAAAAAGGGGCATTAAAAAAGACGTAATGAAACATGATAAAATGAAAAAACAAAAATGACTTTTTTGTGAAATATGAAATATTTGAATACATAAAAATGTGTATAGATTCATGGAAATACTATGCAAAAAAATGATTTTATTCTGTGGGTTGTACCTGAGCACTTGTCTTCATTCTATGGGAAATGTGGGTTCACCTCTGCACTCAAAAAGGGCCCTCGGCCTCTCTTTTTCTTCCCAATGTAGTGTGTTTCAAAATAAGAAATCAACCCAGTTGGTGTGGCTCAGTGGTTGAGTGTTGACCCATACACCAGAGGTTGCCAGTTCGATTCCCGGTCAGGGCACATGCCCAGGTTGTGGGCCCAATCCCCAGTGCAGGGCATGCAAGAGGTGGCCAGTCGATGTTCTCTCTCATCAATGTTTCTATCTCTCTCTCCCTCAGCCTAAAATCAATAAAGAACATACAATATTTCAAAATAAGAAATTAACTCATGGGGCAAATCATTGTCATCTGGAAGAAATGCTAACTATTTTAAGACCATGAGGTGTTGTATATTGGTCTGTTATAATTTGAAATCCACTTGTTCATGACCTAAGTAAAGTTGTTTTGGTCTAAGGGTGAATTTGCTTACATTGAGGAAGATGTGCTAGGATGTTATTAGACTCTGTTGTCAATAAGCACTGAGCTATTGACAGGCATTGCTGGGGACTTACCATTTGGAACATGTGGAGGACTGAAAATCACACAGCTGAACCCACACTTCTCATGGCATGAAGACAAGTGCTTGGTTAGGTGCAATCTACAAAGTTAAAATAGCTCTTTACAGATCTTAAGACACGTATTCCTGCCATGGTCAGGTCTGCCTAACCTACTCTTTTTTTGTTGTTAATTCTCACCTGAGGATATTTTCCCATTGATTTTTAGATAGAGTGGAAGGAAGGGAGGAAGAGAGAGAGAGAGAGAGAGAGAGAAACATCTATGTAAGAGAAATACACATCAATTGGTTGCCTCCCGCATGACTCCGACCAGGGCCGGGGAGCGAACCTGCAACCCAGGTACATGCCCTTGACCAGGAATCGTACCTTGGGTCCAAGGGCCAACATTCTAAGTGCTGAGCCCAACTGGCCAGGACTTCCTGACCTATTCTTGACTGGCAGTAGGCCCAGGAAGAGAAGGAACATCTGTTTCTGCCATTGTGAGGTGGCTACTCGTAGGCAGTGGTGCAAGCTATGTGTAATGGTCCCTGGTGTAGCAGTCACCGTGCCTGCCAACACTGGTTCCGTCACCTGCTAGCTACACGCACCAGCAGCGAGGGACCTAAGCCAGCAGTTGATACCCAGCTTTTAGCTGGAAGGACTGACTTTCTGGAGAACCAACTTGTAGTACAGTACACCTCAACTGAATTTGGGCTACATGTTATCATTTTTATGGAACACTGCCTGAGGCTAGTTAGTTATGCAGTGAAAGTGTTTGTGACAAAGATGTCTATGGCAAAAATGACAAAGGTGAAAGTACCTAGACCCTAAATGGTGTCTGTTGAGATAGAAAATGCATAAAGATGAGCAAGTGGTGTTGTATTGGAGGGGAAGATCATTCATTCCTTTTAGGACATGTTATATTGTTTGCAGAGTCTATGCTGAGTGGGAAAGGAGGTGAAGACAGGAAGATGTTGGTACAGATATAGAAAACGTGAAATGTGCAGACATGGTGAGGTTAAGAGTTTGGGGGAACTTAAGGATACAAGAGCAGATGGTTGAACAATGGGATGTTGAGTTCGTCATTCTGGAGTTAGAGCAGCGTTAGGGAGTGACAAGGACCAGAGAGTGACCATGGCATTGGGTTGGGTGGCTGAGACAGGGGAAGAGAAGTTTGCTGGCCATGAGGTGTCAGATATAACAGAAAACTCACTTAGGTGGGTGGAGTATTCCAGTGGCCTAAGGGGTCTGTCTGTTGCTCTTGAATCTATTCAGGCATTTGTGAAACCTTGTTTCCATAGTGAGGTTTTTTTTTTTTTTTTTTACTTCTCTCTTTTTCTTTCCTCCAACAAAGTCATAGAATGTCGTTCCACCCAGGACGAGGGTGTCCCCGAGGGCGAGGAGGACACGGAGCCAGACCTTCAGCACCAGCTTTCAGGCCTCAAAATCTGAGGCTGCTTCACCCTCAGCAGCCTCCTGTGCAATATCAATACGAACCTCCAAGTGCTCCTTCCACCACCTTCTCAAACTCTCCAGCCCCCAATTTTCTGCCTCCGCGTCCAGATTTTGTACCCTTCCCTCCACCCATGCCTCCGTCAGCGCAAGGCCCTCTTCCCCCTTGCCCGATTCGGCCCCCCTTCCCCAATCACCAGATGAGGCCCCCCTTCCCGGTACCTCCCTGTTTTCCTCCCATGCCGCCTCCGATGCCCTGCCCTAATAACCCCCCAGTTCCCGGGGCACCTCCTGGGCAAGGCTCTTTCCCCTTCATGATGCCCCCTCCTTCCATGCCCCATCCCCCGCCCCCTCCTGTCATGCCGCAGCAGGTCAATTATCAGTACCCCCCTGGATATTCACACCACAATTTCCCGCCTCCCAACTTTAATAGCTTCCAGAACAGCCCCAGTTCTTTCCCGCCCAGCTCTAACAACGGCAGTAGTCCTCATTTTAGGCATCTCCCTCCATACCCACTCCCAAAGGCTCCCAGTGAGAGAAGGTCCCCTGAAAGGCTCAAGCACTATGATGACCACAGGCACCGGGATCACAGTCATGGGCGAGGCGAGAGGCACAGGTCCCTGGATCGGCGGGAGCGAGGCCGAAGTCCTGACAGGAGAAGACAAGACAGCCGCTACAGATCAGATTATGACCGAGGGAGAACGCCGTCTCGCCACCGGAGCTACGAGCGGAGCAGGTAAAACACGTGCGTTTTTTAATGAACTGCAGAGGCCATTTCTGTTTATCAGCAAACCAAACCAAAAAGGTCCAGCAGTGCATTTCGATGTATAAAAAGAAATACAGCTTTTTTTTTTTTGAGCTGTTTTAAAGAGGAAGAGACAACTGACAAGTAAAGAAATTGATGTCAGAAAAAGCCACTTTTGAAAAGCATTCCAAAATTATCAAGGTAGATTCATTTCAATGGATGTAAGCTGATTACTCTGCATAATACAGATGACATTTTAATGATGATCCAGTGAAAAGTCTTACTTTTTTTTTTTTTTTTTTTTAGTTAGATTTAATTATGTTCAGTATGAGCATCATATCAGATTACAGCACTTGAATTCTTTTGGAATTGATCTGCCTGTGTTATGAATTAAGAATCAAACTAGTTAACAAGCAGAACTTGCTTTCTGATTTTTAGGATAAATGGAAGTTTATTGTACATTGTTACCTTCTTGCTCTGTTTCCTTGTGAAATGAAATTATATTGATTACATGTTATCAAAGCTATAGTTTTCAAAATAGCTTTAATCTGCTCTAGTTGCACTAAAACAAATTCATACTGAAGAAAATTGTATTTAAAAAATACTGTTTCATTCCAGATTATAGTACATCTTTTTTTCAAAAGACCAAATATCTGTATATATAAGAGAATAAGGTTTTCAGCAGGTGTGTTCTTAAACTGGAATTCATAGATGGACTTCTAGAAATGCTCTGAAGTCATATGCAAAATTTTATGTGTCTGTGTGTTTTTCTGTAAGTAAATTGGTACCTTACACCAAATCCTCAAGACTATTACCCCAAAAGTCTAAGAAACATTGGTTTAGATGGAAAAATAAAAATACACAGGTAATGACTGTATTACTGTTTATCTGTACCTTCAGTGAACTCTTTATATTGATAAAGAGTTAAGGTTTTCCACTTGTCAAGCTGATAACTGCTTCTCCTTCTGTCCCCTGTGGTGTGTTTATCTTCATTGTCTTGAACTTCCGTGCTGCATATGTTTGAGCTCAGCAAACCAATTCACGTCGTTGTTGGGTTTGTAGAGAGCTGGTCTTGTCCTGTGCAGCGAGTTCACGTCTCGGTTTCCATGTTTTTCTCACGGCTCTCGGTTTGGTTCTCATTGAACATTTTGCCAGTAAAGGTGATCGTCATTCTCAGCCCCGAAGAGAGTATCTGGTGCTTGGAAGGTTTGGAAGGAAAATGTTGTTGCTTCTCTCTGATGCCAGTTGCAGGTAGAAGGGCATGTGTTTCCTGTGGAGATGATGGAATCCAGAGTGTCATCTAAGTCTTTTCAGCATGAGTTACTGTTTCTGGTCAATTTCATTCTTAATTATTCTGTGATCAGCTAGTTAGCAGAGGCCTGTGATAGTGTATTTTATAGTTTTATGATAAAAATCTAAACTGAAAGAGTTTGCTCCAGACTTTAAAGTGATTGTTAATAATCCTGTCTCCTGGGGAAACATTTTGCTGCAAACTTCAATATTCTGGACAGTATTTGTTTTTCTCTTTTGGGGGCTTCAGTTAGAGCTGAGTTTTTAGGGCTCTGCTGTAAAATCCTGAATTTTTCTATCCAGGCTTAAACTTGGAGTTATGTGTGTGAAGAAACTCGGATGTAAACTGAGAGTGTCTGTAATGTGAAATCAAGTGCCAAAAGGACCACCACCCCTTTGCCGTGAAGGACCTACCTGGGCAGTCAGCTCTGCTTTCTCAGTGGCCTCTGTTGACACTGGAGTTGCTCTGTACTCGGAGCGCTGGCCCTGGGGCTGCCTTGGTGTCACAGCCGCATTGTAACCGGCTCCCTTTGGGGTCTAGGGTGTCAGTCATCTGTCTCATATGGAATAAAGGTGGGGCCAGAAGTCCTAGTATATATACCTTCTAGAAATATATTGGAGAAAACCCAAACTTCACACACTTATGCATTCGATTGTGCTCAGTTTATGCAAATTCTGTAGTCTGTCCTCCCGCCACTTCTCCCCTTGCTTCTTGGGATAAGTGAATCTATCCTTTTTCAAATTCCATTTCTTTCTTTTTCTCCTCCTCCAAACTATGATTGATTAATAATGACAAGACTGTTTTAGGGCGAACTATTTCTAGAGAAAGTTTGTGAGGAGGTGGATATATGCATTTGTTATCATGAAGGATCTAGGTCACTGGGGAAGGGGAAGAGAAGTAGCCGCGGACCCATGCACTGGTCGTGTTGTGTGACGCACTGGTCAGTGAGATGTGAGGTTCGGCTCCGTGGCTGCATCGCTGAGGGGTGCTGTACGCAGTGACCCCACAGCTGCCCTGCTGGGTGCAGGTGTGGCCAGCAGAGAGCCAGTATTATGCACCTAAGGAATACCTTAGTGCTCAAAAACAAGGACGAGTCTTCGGAAAAGTAACCCAAACATTGTTTTTCTTGCTTTAAAGGAGTTCGTTCATCATATTGTGTTTCTAAGGTGATTTATATCCAGACTGGTCTTTTCAATTCAAACCCAGAGGTAGCACTCAGAGGTAGCACTTATCAGCAGTGCTGTTCTTGAGTATGAAATTCTATTGTCTAGATGTTAAAAAACAAACAAAAAATTAGGAATATCCTCTAAATAGTTTTTATTTGGAAATATAGGTAATTTAAATTACTCTTTTTAGCAGCCATGCCCCTACAGATTATATCTTTGTCATGTGGTCTTGTTCACTAGTTGGGATTTATTGCCTAAAAGTAAATTGTAATTTTAGAAGCGTGTCAGATAAAGTATGAAGGATCCCAGGCTCTGGCCACTTTACTTTGGACAGATGGTGTATACCTGAGGCTTATGTATATGTCAATGTATATTATTTGAAGGAGTCGTCCTTGAGGAGGGGGGTGATCTTTAAGTGAAAAAATAATTTTTGTTTTTTTATATATAAGCAGTGATGGATTTCTATCAGTTTTGTAAGTTTTGATTTCAATGTATTTATATTTCTTCTATTAAGCTGTAGGTTGGGGGATATTTTTGAGTTCAGACATTTTTATAGTCTTCTTGCTGGACTCAGGCTAATATAGCATTTTTTTTTTTTTTCTGAGATTGGGTGGTTATTTCCCTTAGATTTTGTTCTGATTTAAACACACAAGAGTTTAGATTTTTGTTCCAGATCTTCATTGTACTTATTAAATAGAATCAGACATTATTATTATTGTTATTGTTATTATTATTATTATTATTATTATTATTAAACGTGCCTAATTTTACATTGGGAGGTTTTAAAATCCCTCATTCTGTTTTTATAGTAAATAAACTCAGGGTCTCCACTGAGAGTTTTTTGCTGATGAAAGTAGCATTTAAAGGTAAAGTAACTTACAATGTCATGGCAATTAGTGATAGCTAGAACTACACCTCAGGCCTGCAACCTGTAAGAATTCAGAACTCTTTCATCATAGAACCTTGTTCTAATCTTTACTATCAAAGCTTTAATTTACATTTATTTGATGGATGCAATTGAGAATTTCTTAGAAATCAATAGCCAGTGGAATTCTTTAAAGTTTTCTCTGTAGGTTAGATAACCAAGGATTGGCTGGTTGGAAGGTCTCTAGAGAAGATTATGATACAATTCCCTCTGTGGTTTAGCATCAGGTATGACTTCTTTCTTTAAAGAAAATGGCAACAAATGTTCAAGTTAACGTCTGTAAAGTGAAAAGCCCCTTAATTCTCTAATAAATGATGAATAAAAATGTCCCATAAAGAATAGTGCCTGAAAAATTCTTAGGTAAGGTCCATTTATTTAGAAGATGAATTCAGTGAAAAGAGATGGTATTTTTGAGTCTTTCTGTTGAAAACAGCTCTGTGTATTAATTCCTTTAAGAGAGCGGGAACGGGAGAGACACAGGCACCGGGACAGCCGAAGATCACCATCTCTGGAAAGGTCCTACAAAAAAGAGTATAAGAGATCTGGAAGGTAAGCAAGGAGTTCATACGGAAAGAAGTCAGAGGATTATCTCCTTGAATTCAGATTTTGTGCTTATGCAAAGTATCAGCCACGTCTTCAAAATAGCCTAAGAGTCTTCCAAAATGCCTGTAAAGAGCTAAAGCAGCCACTGACTTAAAAATCGTTACTTTCAAGATGTATTGATTATGCACAAGGAGAATCTTGACAAATCTCCAGAAATTAGAAATTATATGGGCCACTTTTTCTGACGTCAATTGCTATAAAACTATACATTAATAGTTCAAGTTTTTTATAAAGAAACCTTGAAAATTCATAATTATGTTTTTAAATTTACTTGTTTTGGAAAAAAGCAAAACTGCAGTCACACTTTATTTAGAAAAATGATGTTGAGATTGTTACAAATTCAAAGTTACAGGAGGTAACCAATTCTCTTTGAGAAGTAAAATACATGGTCTTACATAATGGTCATTAAGAACAACACTGTGGAGTCTGGCAGATTTGGGGTCAGTTATTAGTTCTCCCAACTTTGTTATTGAATTAAGTTATCTTACCTTTTTAAGTTTCAACGTCTGTCTAAAATAAGGACACTTATAAAGGCCTTGAGTGGTGAGGGATCTCTGAGATAATACAAATAAACATTAGAAGTGGGCCCGGAGTTAATGCCAAGTAAATGTTAAATATAATATATGTATAACCATTACCTGATCATTCGACTCTAGAAATGGGTAGAGTACAAGAAAAGCAGGAAAAAAGATTTAGAGATAAAACAGATTAATGAAGTAGAAGACAGGACTATAGCACTATATCAGCACTTGTAAATAAATGCAAGACTTTGAAAGGTTATACATTTTAAAAAGGGGCAGATCAAGAAAAGAAACACACACATTGCATTAGGTCTGAGAAAGAACATATCATTATGGGAATGCAGGAGATTTAAAATTCACAACACATTGGCATAAGTACAGATATTTTATTTTACAAATGCAGAAACTTGGATGTGATGGGTTGATTTCTATGTAAACAAAAATTGCAAACTTCACATGAGGCAAAACATTTTAATAGGTCAATAACCATGAAACAGATGGGAAAAAATTGAATTCATGCCACCTTCTAAAAAGTTTTAAACTGTTCTAGAACACTGAAGAAGACGGAAGGAAAGCTCAGCTCATGATGTGATATCAGGAAAACACAGATGGCAAAATCTGACCAATGCAAAGCAAATGAAAAAACAGTCTCTGTTATGAATATGGATATGAAAATCTCATTAGTAGATTAGCAAGTTGTTCCCAGTGGTATATTAAAATAACTAAGAATGTATTCTGAGATTGCTTGGACAAATAGGTTAGGATTAGGAAATCTGGAACTAATTTTTTGTGCCAAAACCCATAGGATTTCCTCAGTACCTGCCTATTTGATATTTCAAATAAAACTAGAGTCGATTTATGAGTAGAAACTTCAGTAAAATAGGAATATAAGCAAACTTATTTAACATGACGGAGAACATTATCCCATGATGAACATGCTTGTCACCATCTCAAAATAACCAAATGTAACATTGAAACCTTACAGCGCTTCCCATGTAATTGAGAAAACAGGTGAGGCTCCATTGCCTGTTGCCACCTGGCCCTGTACGACTTAACACGCAATGAAATAGGTTACATTCCTGTGTCCCAGGTATTGTATGGTGTGAGTGATACAGTAGTTGACAACAGTCCCCACTTTACAGCGATAAGAAAGCCAAGTGCTGGGAGAAGTGCTTTTGATAGAGCAAGGACATGTTGCTCTGGGAACACAGCAGTGAGAAACTCAGTCTAGGGTAGCCACAGAGAGCCTGGCATTTTACTGATTCGTGAAGTGTGTGTAGGGCTGCGCTGGGGCCGGGGATGTAGGGGAAGAGAACAGAGCATGTGAGGCTGCAGTGTGGAGGAAAGCTCTGCGAAGGTCAGTCTGGAGGAAATAGTTTAGAAGGCATTTGTGGTGATTCAGAAAGAAACGCTTGTGCCTAGACCTGGGCAGTGACGGTAGTGAGGGGGATGGTGAAGGTAATTGAGAGATGCTTCTGAGATAGAGTCTTGGTAACTGATGTGAGGGAAAAAGACTCAACAGTCATCACCTGAGATCTGTCAGTAGGATGACTTCAGTTTGGGGCGTATGTAGTTGAGAATCTGTGAGACAACCAAATGGAATTGTGTGGTAGTAAATGGGGTATTCAGGTGTGAAATTCAGAAAAGAGATCCCAGATGGGAATACTAGATGCCATGGATTAGATGAGGTTAAGTAGGAAGAGTTTGTTCAGTGAGAAAGGACCTATGGAGGCGGAGATGAGGGAGGAGATAAGGATAGGAAAATGCCAAGATACTGTTTTGGTGGAAACCACTGGGGACCCATTTGAGGCTGATGATTTTTCATGTAGAGTGTTGGAAATTTATTCAGTCTAGTGGTTTCTTCTCCAGTGCCCAGTAGCGTGTGGAGAAGGCAGAGACCTGGGTTCTATGAGTTCTCACTAAAGTAATACACGAGAAAAAAGTTAGAGATGTAAATACTGTAAAGGAGGAAAAGTTATCATAGTTTGTGTATTGTTAAGAAACAATTTTGAGTTTGGATTTTGAAATTTGGAGTGCCTGAGATACCTAAAAAGATGTCCTGTTAAAAAAAAAAAAGAATACTAATTGACGTTCACAATAGTCAACCCTGACCATCCATCATCCAATGTTCCTGCCTGAAGGGGAGGGGACGAGGCTGCCTTTCGCCTGTGTTTCTTGATAATAATGAACATTTGGTGGGATTTTTAGTACATATCAAAATGTGTGTGCCAAACAACTATTTAGCATTTACGACTTACTAGCTTTGCGATATTGGACAAGTGACATAATTTCCAATTCTGTTTCCTCTGTAGGGTACATTCATATCTGCCTCATAGCATTCATGTAAGGATTACATATGAGTATCAGTATAGAGCTTAGCAGAGTATCAGGCTTGAAGGAAGCACCAAAAACAAACATAACCACACCACCGGGAGCTACGTTGCCATTATAAAATAATGGTGTTATGAGGAAAATTCAAGTGGACTTATTTGTGGAATATAATGAGCAAAAGAAGCTGACAAAACAGATCCAGAGACATGGAAGCAGGGAACAGACTGACAAGCCTCAGGGAGGAGGGGGGTTGGGCGGGAAGAGATACACCAAAGAACTTAGATGCAGATATGCACAGTCCGTGGACACAGCACTGCGGTGGAGGTGGGCAGTGTCAGTGGGGAGGAAGGAGGGACATCTGTAATACTTTCAACAACAAAGATGAAAAAAGAAAGAAAGAAACAATGAGAATTAACTCACTGACAGTTATACAAACACCCTGACATTAATAGCCTTCCTACTTAGAAAGTGTGATGAAGGGAAATGTAGATTCACTACAGAAAATTTATATTAATTAAAATTAAATATCTTAATAAAACTTAAAAAATATATAGATCAGTGGGAAGAAAATGTAAATGTAGCTGATGACAAAGGTGATATAAATGAGTGGAGGACATGCCATAATCCCACAGTGAAAGTGGAAGATGGTTATAAGAATACCAGTTTTCTTTAAAGTAGTCTATAATTTTAATGTAATCAATTGAAGTATGGGTAATAGAACTCTATGAGTCAAAAAATTTGGAAGAGAAGTGAGAACAAGGAAGAAAAATGAGAATGTAGCTTTAGTAGTATTAAATGTTCTATAAACATGTAAGAATTAAAACAATTTGATGTGGGTATAAATAGGTCGATGAAAAAAATATCGAAATGAATATTGAGCAATAGTTAAGTATAAATAAACATTTACATCTACCATAAAATTGTTTTTTCATATCAGAGGAAAAACTGATGTGGCAACAATTGGTGAGCCATTTGGAGGAAAAAAAACTGAAATTTCTGCTGTATATCCTGGAGAGATTGAGTAAGAAAATTTAGTGTTATAAGTAACTGAAGAAAATATAAATATTTATTTAACCTTGAGATGGGAAAGGATTATAAGTATAATGCTAAGGAGGAAGCATACATTAAAAATCTCTAGATTTGGCCATATAAAAGTTATAAGTAGTTGTCTGGCCAGTGTGGCTAAGTGGATTAAGCACTGTCCCATGGACTGAGAGGTCCTGGTTCAATTCCCGGTCAGGGCACATGCCCAGGTTGTGAGCTGGATCCCTAGTAGGGAGTGTGTAGGAGGCAGTAAATTGATGTTCTCTCTCACATTGATGTTTTTATCTCTCTAAAAAAGTAATAAAAACATTTTTTAAAAAGTTATAGATAGCAATAAGCAGATAGACTTTAAAAGGAAAACTGAAAAAGGTTACATCACATATGGCAGAAGGGTGATTATCTTTTTTTTGTGTGTGGTATGTGCCCCTAGTGGGAACGAACCTGGGACTCTGGTCCGCAGGCCGACACTCAACCGCTGAGCCAAACTGGACAGGGCAAGGGTGATTATCTTAATAAAAAAGTATTTCAATAAATAGAAAAGACTCCAATCCTAATTTAAAAAATACTGGCATAGCCAGTATGGAAGGTTTATAAAAGGAGAGGACATGAAATGTGTAATTTTAGTAGAGATAAAAATTAGCGAGTTAAATTTAATGAGGTACTTTTTTCATCAGAATGGCAAAGATGAAAAATACCCATGTTGACAGGGTGTGTGGAGGTAGGGACTGATACGGTTTCGAGGGTAGTCTAACCTGGTACCACCCCTCTGTAGAGAAGCCTTGAGAAAAAGCACACACACTGTGTGTGAAATGATCTGACAAGTGTGCCAAGAACACGAGTGTGTCTATGGTAGCATTGTTTATAATGGCGGGAAAAGAAATGCTGATCATTTAAATGACTGTGAAGAGATTTGTTAAAGTAGTATATGCATGTGAAAGAATAATATGCCTTTATTAAATGTTCAGATATAGAGTTATTGAAATAGAAAGGTGTTGATTTACCACTGAGAAGGACAGGCTATAGAGTTTTATTTTTGTTAAAGCTTGTGTATGTTTATATATATTACTGTATCTCTATGTTTTAACACAGTTGTGAAACAGAGTGGTTATGTTATCTCTCTGATGGTATGGGTGATTTTTGTTTCAATTTTGTTAATGCTTAATTTTTTTTTCTAGTGATCGAAGATACATTTTACTTTGCAGTGACTTTTTTCTTCTGGTAACAAATGATGTACATTGTAATATTTGGAAGTTTCATCAATAAGTTCAATATATGTAATCTTTCTAATCACCCAGCCCCTCCCCCGATGTATACACGCCTACACACTCCCACTGTCCTGTCATAAGACTGGAAGTTAGCCGTAGAGCTGATGGAAGAGTTCATCTCTGACTCGGACCCAGACACACACTTGCTTGGCCGACAGCAGCTTTGCCAGAGGCGCTGCGGAGGCTTCCGGCCCCACCTCACACAGCAGCCTGTCCTAGCTGGGCTCGCAGGGTCCGTGTGCGCCCGCCTGCACTTCACGGACTGAATTCAACATCTGTCCTGTAGCTCTCTCTCCAAGCACATCCGTAGGATGGGCCTTTGCAAATTTCAAGCCCAGAAATTCAAGGAGATAGAGTTGTTTCTATCCTGTGGGGTCACAGTTAGGGAGAGTGGTGGTCCACGAAGCAGTAACACCATGCCGGGGAGTCCAGAGAAACGGTCAGGGTGATGTAACGGGTTCACCTCGGATTATGGTCCTCAGGCTAAATTTACGTCCAAGTTGAGACCATGTTTTGAGAAACCTTTTTTTTCCTGGCAGAGCAGGATGTGGAGACCCAGGACTTGTGTTGTCACCACAACGGCCTGTGCGTAGAGATGTCCAAATATTTTCCGAGTATCTTTCTCTTCTAGGAGTTATGATTTGCCAGTTATTCCTGAACCTACTGGAAATGCACCAGAATTACCTGGGGAGAGTATTAAAAATACAGATTCTTGGGCCCCACCCCCGGAGACTGTGAATCAGTAAGTAGATCTGGGGTAGGGCCTGGGAATTTGTATTTTTATCAAGTAACTTCAGGTGATTCTGATGCCACCAGACTGGTGTTTGGGACTCGCTGGTGTAACGAAAGTAAATGCAGTGGTTTGGCATGCATTTTTATTTTAGGTAAAAAATGAACTAAACAGGTGAAGTAAAATAATTTTACAACAGAAGAATTTTTTTAATAATTAGCCTCCTTTACCCCCTTTTGAAGTCGCTCCCCAAGCAGGGAGAAGAAGAGGGCTCGTTGGGAAGAAGAAAAAGACCGATGGAGTGACAACCAGAGCTCTGGTAAAGAAAAGAATTATACCTCAATCAAGGAGAAGGAGAAGGAGCTGGAGGAGACGCTGCCTGACAAGAACGAGGAGGAGGAGGAAGAGCTGCTCAAGCCCGTGTGGATTCGATGTACCCACTCGGAAAACTACTACTCCAGTGACCCCATGGATCAGGTGGTAGGTCTGACGCACGAGAGCGGCTGCAGACCTGGCTTCCAGAGCCCGGCCCCGTTGGCGCTTTGTGCTGGTGATTCTCGGGGGAGGGGGGAGCTGCCCTGTGCGTTGTGGGGTGTGGAGCAGCATCTGTGGGCTCTGCAGGAGCCAGGAGAGCCCCTCTCCAGCTGTGTAACCAAAGCTGCCTGTAGGCATTGCCAAATGTCCCCTGGGGGGATCCCCACCCCATTTGAGAATCACTGCCTTACACAAAAGCTGTTTCACAAAAGCCAGAATGCAGATTAATTAAAGTATTCTTCATTCTGCAGTTTTTACGACACTGGTGGTTTGTATACTTGCACTCATAAAACTACTTTATGCAGTTTGTGGGGTGTGTGTGTTTCCCCCAGAATGGGAAGTAAGCAACAATTTGAGCTTGTGTCTTACAAGTCTATTTTCGACCAAAGATAAGCAGGGGAATTTCTCCAGCGTATCGGCTGGTGTGTGGAATGGCAGGTGTGACCCCTTGAAGTGGGCTCTTGAGTGACTCCGGGTGCGTGCTGCGAAGATGGGGCTGGGCGGCCCCCACTCGTGGCCATGGTGGACTCCACGCCTCCTCTGTGTGCTCGACTCCGTTTGCTTTCCTTAATGCTCCGTTTTATTTTGTCTCCCTCCTTTGTTTTTGTCTCTCTCCTTTGTTTTTTTCTTCTTCTCCTCCTGATAGGTGTTATGCCTCCATCCCATTAATTTCATCATATTTGCCACAGGATAGACACACAGAGAGATGTTCATGGATTAAGTGAAAGAGTAAAGGAATGAGTAAGATTTAGGACGTGTGAGGTTGCAGATGTTAGATTTCGTGCACGGTCAGATGAGAGAGTATTCTGTTGTTTGGAATTTTGTGAAAATAGCTTTTACTGAACCCTTATTTATGGGGACTCCCTTGTCTTTGGAAAAAAAGGGTTTGAGGAAACTCATAGTGGGGTATTATTTTACTTGGCAAATTAGAGCAGGGTTTTAATCATAGCTCATGTGATACAGGGTAGGGAGAGCTCACATGCTGAGCACTTTCATGGTGCCAGAACTTTATGTTTCTCATATCATCCTATTTAACCCTCAAAACATCCTGGAGAAAAGGTATTTGTCACTTAATGCTGCTGTAAACACAGTCATGCACTGCACAAAACATCCTGGAGAAAAGGTATTTGTCACTTAATGCTGCTGTAAACACAGTCATGCACTGCACACCGGCGTTTTGGTCAGTGACGGACCGCACATGTCCCAGATGGAGCTGAAGTTTTGTCATCTAGTGACTTTGTAGCCGTTGTGTGCTGCAGCACAACACACTCATGTGTTTCTGGGGGTGCTGGTGTACACACACCTACTGCGCTGCCAGTCGTATAAAAGTGCAGCAGATAGTTATGTACAGGACATGACACTTGATAATGAGTGACGGCATTGCTGGTGTGTGTGTTTATGATACCATGCTTTTTATCACTGTTCTAGAGTGTACTCTCTCTACGTATATAAAAGTGCTGGACACACTATGCCATGCTACACTGGCAGAGCCTCATGTCTTGTGTTCGCTGTGTCATTTCCTCTTGTGCTTGATTTCTTGTGTTGTTCTGTGTAGTAACATGCTGTGCAGGCTTGTTGTGTAGGAGCAATAGGCTCTCCCTGTAGCTTAGGTGTGCACCGGGCCAGACCCTCCGGGTTTGTGCACATGCTCCCAGTGATGTTCACACACAACAAAATTGAGTGGCGCTGCATTTCTCAGGACATGCCCTCGTTGTCATGCTGGACATGACTGTCACAACACCTGACCAGGCATGACTGAAACGCACCCGGTTTGGTTTTCTCAGTAAGATGTCTGGAGGGAGGTGGTGACCAGTGCTTGTCCAGTGGCTCGGTGATGGCAGGACGCCCTGCTGCCTTCTGGAGCATCCTGGTTGCAGGGTGACTGCAGCAGCTCCGGTGTCACGTCCTTGCACACCAGGCACAGGCTGCAGAGGGCACGTTGGGTGGAGCCGTCCTCCAGTAATTTGCCCAGAGCTCCCACAGGTCTCTTCTTTCACCCCTTCTTCAGAGCTATGTCTTCTGTTTTCCTCAGGGATTCATTTTCCATTGCTGCCATAACAAATTTCCACAAACTACGGCTTAAAACAACACGTGTTTATTATCTCACAGTTTCGGAGGTCAAAAGCCAAACTTGGGTCTCCCCGGCTGTATCAGGGTGTCAGCAGGGCTGTGTCCCTTCTGGAGAGCATCTGCTTCTGGCTCATTCATATCGTTGGTTGGCAGAGTTTGGTTTCTTGTGGCCATAGGTTTGAAGTACTTGTTTCCTTGCTGGCTGGCAGGTAAGGGCTGTTTCCAGCCTCAGAAGCCATATACGTTCTGTGGAACCCCTTCCTTCATCTTCAAAACCAGCATCGAGGGTTGAGTTCTTGTGCCTTGACTTCTCCAGCCTCGTCTCCCATGGCAGCTCTGACTCCCACTGAGAAAGGTTCTCTGCTTTTAAAGGTTCGCGTTATACTGGGCCCACCGAGCTAATCAGGATCATCTCCCATCTCAAATTCTGTCTCTAGTCACATCTGCAAACTCCCTTCTGCCTTGTAAGGTAACATCCGTTTCCAGGGATCAGAACGGGGACTCCTTTGGGGCTAAGGGGATTGTGGCTCCGCCTACCCACCCTGAGATCGGGAGTTCTCTTTCCCAAGTCCGAAGAAAGTCATGGTTCCATTAGCAGGGAAGAAGGGGACAAAGGCTGCCATCGGTGTCACTCTTAAAACAAAACAAAACAAAACCAACGAAGTTGAAGGCTCTGGGGGTCAGAGCGTTTAAACACGGAGAACTTTTATTTTTCTTACATTTTTATGGCTGTGTTAAACCAGCGTAGAAGGAAGGCTGACTGACTGGAAGCCCAGCGTTTGCTTTTGCGTCTTGTCACCTGGTGCGGTGCATGCGAGGAATGTCAGTGTGGTCCCAGCATCGCCAGCGTCAGTGATGAGGTGGGCCGAGGGAAAGCCGTCTCCTCCTTTTGGGTATACCGCAGATTTTAGGATTTGTTTTAATTTTCTTTTTATGTCTCAAAGGTCTGGTTCTTAGCATTTTTAATTATGTCAAAGAATATTGACATTTAAGACGATTTTCAACCTGGGAAGAGAGGGGAAAAGTGGAGAGCTTCCTCTGGGAATGTATTGCAGAACCCTGTGTTTGTGGTTTGTGGAGTGTGTGTGTGTGGGTGTCCCTGTGTTTATGGGGTGTATGTGTGTGGGCATATATAGGATATGTCTCTGATCATTGGATTAACGTGGAAGATAGACCATCAGTGATCTTCATTAGGGGGAGTGTGTCTTTCTAGGAGCGTGTCAGGTAAAATGAGTTCCCAGGGGGTCAAAAGGCAAAGACAAACAGTGGTCATGTGTGTGAACAATGGCAAAGACCTTCCTGAGGTCTGTGTCAGCCGTGGGTGTGGTTGGATCCAGAGCACGGCTACCAGCATTGGGCATTTCGTTTTTACCTGTTTGTTAAAGCGAGGGTTCAAAATGGCACCTTGCTGTTACATATCTTTGATTACTTGTGAGGTCTTGTTTCTTTGGAAAGACTATTTTTAATATAGTTCCTGATACTGAGCCTTTTTTTTTTTCAAAGGGAGATTCTACTGTAGTTGGAACAAGTAGGCTCCGTGACTTATATGACAAGTTTGAGGAGGAGTTGGGGAGCCGGCAAGAGAAGGCCAAAGCCGCCAGACCGCCGTGGGAGCCCCCCAAGACGAAGCTGGATGAAGATTTAGGTGAGTCACATGCTATCAGACCAGACCCTGTGCTTTTATTATTGCTTAATCTGGACTTTAGGAATGTGTCCTTGGGTGTCCCAGATTGAAATTTCTTTTTTTTCATTTTATTTTCCTTAATTATAGTCAACAAAACACATAGCAATTTTCTTCTTCCTTCTTTTAATCCTCACCCGAGGACATTTTTCCATTAATTTTCAGATAGAATGGGAGGGAGGAAGGGAGGGAGAGAGAGACATTGATGTGAGAGAGACACACTGATTTGGTTGCCTCCCACATGACCCCAACCAGGGCTGGGGATCAAAGTGCAACCTAAGTGTGTGCCCTTTACTGGAATCAAACCTATGACTCTGGTCCGTGGGCCGACACTCCAACCGCTGAGCCAAACCGGCCAGGGCAGAACTTTCTTTTTTCTGATGTTAGTTTTTCTTAGTCACATTTAGCAGGACACATAAGGGATCTCATTTGCAAGGCATGCTAACTAACAATTGTGTCCCTTATAGAACTGTCTAGTCTTAGAATCAGAGGCACCACAGTCCAGCCTCCCATCAAAAGCGGGGACCTGTTCCCAGTTCCTCGTCCCTCTGATGGGCAGGCACCCTTCGTGGCCCTGCCCACTGTCAGGGTGCTCTGGGTTTGACCAGGAAATGCAGCTGTAGCCCAGCTCTAGTAGGTTTCTCTCTACTCAGACACTTTGCACATGTGGTGCTCTCGTTTTTCATGTGTCTGCGGTTCACGTCGATGCTGGGATCTTTGAGGAGGGAAGCTGCTTTTTGCCACTTTGTGTCCTTGGCCCATGACAGAATGCCCCCCGCAGAGAGACGTTCCTTATGTGTCTTCCTTTGTTCTCTGGCTCTCCGCCACCTCTCAGCCCTGTGCCTCCCTGCTGAGAGGCAGAGTCCGTGGTAGTAAAAGCACTGACTGAACCGGCTGGCCTGGGTTCGAATCCCTGCTCCTCCACTTGACATGTGACCTTGAGCAAGTGATTTAGTCTCTCTGTGCCTCCCTTTTGTCCTCTGTAAAAGGGGATGACAGTAGCATCTGTTTCATGCATCTGTACACTCAAAAATACAACTGTGGAAGGGGTGGGTCTTATTACTGTGCTGTACTAATTAATCCCTTGTGGGTTTAATCTAAGCTCTAGGTCTTTTTTTTTTTTTTAATTGTGCTAAAATACAAATAACACAAAATCATTTTTCAGTACAGTTCAGTAGTGTTAAGTACATTCACATTGTTGTACATCTCTAGACTCCTTCATCGGCCAATCTGAAACTCTGTTCCCATTGAACAGTAATTCCCACCCCCCTCCACCAGCCCTGGGCACCCACCCTTCTCCTTTCTGCCTCTATGACCTGACCACGAAAAGCACCTCACATAAGAAGAATCACACAGTATTTGTCTTTTTGGACTGGCTCACTTCATTTAGGATAATGTTTGGTTTGTTTTTATCCAGTCACTTCCAAGGTCTGAAATCTTTTATTGCTACTATTGAGAGAAAACAAACTCTGAGTCTGGCTTTCAGAGCCTTCCGTCTGGCAGTCATGACCCTTCGACCCTCACCTCCTGGGGTTTTTCTGCGGGACCTCTGCTCCAGCCAGTGTCTTCGTGCCCTTGCCTCCGTGCTTTGCCCACAGTGCTCCCTCTGTTCCCCCCCTCCTCAGCCCGCCCCGCCCCCTGCCTGGGTCATGCACACCCCTGCCAGGGAATTGCTGGTGGCCTTTCCGGATCAGGGCACTTGCACTTTTCTGAATTGCTGCACCTTTTTAAATGTGCAACCCCATGCTACTGTGTTGCATTTTCTCGGGCATCATTCGCTGAGTCTTTCTCTGTAAAAATCTTTGCTTGCTTTCCCAGCCAGATCGTGACTTAGCATTATGGGCTGTATGACTCTCCACAGTATTGCTGAGCAGTGTTGCTCTTCTCTGAAAGAATCGACAACTGTTCTTACATTGAAAGGTTTCGGTCATTTGGAGGTCTCCACGTATAACCATCCCGTGAATTTCTCCAACCTCTCTCCATGTTTTCCTCCTCACCTCTTAGAAAGTTCCAGCGAGTCTGAGTGTGAGTCCGACGAGGACAGCACCTGCTCTAGCAGCTCAGACTCTGAAGTTTTTGACGTCATTGCAGAAATCAAACGCAAAAAGGCCCATCCTGACCGGCTTCACGATGAACTCTGGTACAATGACCCAGGCCAGGTGCGCATGTGTTTTATGTTCTTGCTGTGAAGGTTGCAACCCACATGTCACATTTATGACTCCAACCTCAGAAGATGCATGTTGGCTGCTATCAAAACGGGATTTTACTCCCAGGGCCTGCGCCGTTCTTCAGAGCTCATTTCCTCCTGGCTCCGGGCAGAAGCACCAGAGCAGTTGTCCCCTGAATCACATTTGACGATGTTGGTAAATCCTGAGTTAGGGAACCGGGTAATGGTGCTGCCTCGTTAAACTTGCAGTTACGGAAGGAGACAGATGATAGGATGAGGGAGAGAGGACTTGTAGGTTCTAAAGCCCTTCATCTGGAAGGTATCTTGCTGCATTATATCAGTGTCTGTAGTCCTGTACGTCCTCATGTTTCCTAGTTGGTAATAGTCACTATTTCATGTAAGTCCTTTTCCTTGTCAAGTATGTTTGAGCTAATGATGTCATAACTGGACATATTTTTATTTCTACTTAGTGTTTTACTGTGAAGTACTACATAATACAAAATCATATCTTTATAAGAGATTTGTATTTTACAAATATACAACACAAATAAAACTAGCATCATCTAATGCATGTGAAGTTATTAAGCATAATATAATATTTTGCAAATAAATTCATACCATTCTGTATTAATTTGAATGCTCTTCTTCTGGCTCTTGTTACATGGTGGCTACCTAAATTTTTTTCTCGATAGAGTATGGTGAGAATGCCTGACAGAAATGTACTTTGTGGTCCCTTTGCTCTCTTGGAATTGAACAGAAATGTTTGCAGTTGTAAGTGCATTTCGAAACTTACTTGGATATATGAATTATGTACATTATGTTTATACTCACTTAAACAGCTTCAGTGAGTTTTAATTCACATTCCATATAGTTTACACACTTGAACTGCACAATTCAGTGTTTTTTAGGATATTCAAAGAATTGTACAAGTATCATCACAATCTAATTTTAGAGCATTTTTGTCTCCCCTAAAAGAAATCTTGTTTCCATCATTAGCCACTTTCCTCCCCCCAATGTGGTTTTTTGAATGGCCTGTTCTCCTGTCAAGAACCTGCCCCTTGGTGCCTGTGGGTTCTTAGTCCTATCACAGGATTCTCTTTGGCCTCAGGTCTGTTTGCTCTTTCTGGTTTCGTGTCGTCTGTGTAGTTGAGCCTTGTAAGGGCTGATCTGCATCAGGGCCCAGCCCCTGATGAAAGGCAGGAATGTAGAGTGTCTGTGTCTCCCCTGAAAATCAGTGAGCACAAGGTCATTCTTCCACATTTTTCATCACGAGTCGTGGCATCATTAGGGATGTGCTGTGACTTTTAGGGGGTCCCATCACATCTCTGTTTGCAGCTTTTACTTTGGATAATTCTCAACTTGATATTTTTAAGGTGGCAATGTTATTTCTCTGCTATACCACCTGGAGCTCTAGATTTCCCAAAAGGTTAAAGAAAGTTATAGCTTTTCACTTTAATATTTCTTCTCAAAGTTTTATTGATATATTTTCATTGGACACAATGAGTTATAAATCCCTAGAACTTTATTTTATTATTATTTTTAAAATCCTTACCCAAGGATATTTTTCCATTTATCTTCAGATAGAGTGGGAGGGAGGGAGGGAGAGAGAGAAACATCTATGTGAGAGACACTTCAACTGGTTGCCTCCTGCATAACCTAGACCAGGGCCAGGGAACAAACTGCAACCGAGGTACGTACCCTTGACCAGAATCGAACCCGCAACTCTTTGGTCCATAGGGCGATGCTCTAACTGCTGAGCCAAACCAGACAGAGCCAAATCTCTAGAACTTTAAATTGTGTAAATATATGTGTTATGATGTGTTATGTATATACATTTTATTATTAATACAAAGAAAGTGAGAAATGAAATTCCACTTCCGCATTCTCTGAACTGATGCTCTGGTCTCCTTTTTGATCCTTATTGCCATTTACGTTGAACAAAGTCATGAAACTGGCTTTTAAGGCCCTTTAAGATTTTGACCTCTGTTCTGCTTGTTTGGTCTTCTTGCTCACATTAACGATCCATTCCATTTAGATGGCTCTCATGTCCCGGGAGCATAACATAGTGTCTCCTCCTTCTCTTCTTTCCCCATGCCGGTGCCTCATGCAGAGTGACCATCTTTTTCTCCTGCCCTGTCCAGCTGTTTAGATGTTTTCTCTCTTAGAAGCCAGTGATATCTCCATCTGGACTGCCTTTTTTCTGTTTTCTTTAAAATTACTAAGCATGTTATATGTATGGTATGTCTCCTATCTAGGGTAATCATCCTTCAGTACATGGGCCCTGAGCTGATTATCACCCTCCACCCCTTAGCCGTCATCTTTCTACCCAAGAGGCATTCAGGAATGATTCACTCACTGAATCTTGTGAGTGGAGCTCAGGGCAGTAAAATGAATTCAGGTGAAAAACCAGACATAGGCTTACCTGATCAGTGTTGAAAGTTGTTCTGGTTCTAATAGGCATTTTCTTCTCTCTGCTTCAGGTACCTTTAAGTTTCTCTTTTGAAAACATTTAATCTGGTTCCCTTCAAAGCATTTTGTGTGTCCTTTCAGTATATAAAGTATGCTTCTCTTTTGTGAAAGAGTCATTCTTCCTGAAACAAGAAATAGGAGAAGCACTGGAAAGCGGTAGGAGAAGATGGGGGGACAGGTGCTGACACTGATGTTTTCTGCTTGGCTGCACAAGTAACTTGGGGGTCCAGGTTGTCATACAGTTTCCTCTCATCAGACGATATAGACAGTTTGCAGCTTTATTGGTTTTGGAACATTCGTTTAATCTTCTCACCGTGACAGACTCTTCAGAGTTTCAGGACTCATGACATTAAAACCCACACAGTTTCCAAAGCATCATTGTGCGTGGTGTGAACTTTCCCCCAATAAAAACGAATCCCCTTCTGTCTGACAGATGAATGATGGACCACTCTGCAAATGCAGCGCAAAAGCCAGACGCACAGGAATCAGACACAGCATTTATCCTGGAGAAGAGGTAACTGGTTAGGGTTGTCCCATTTGTAAATACCAAGAAGCAGAAGTCGACCAATGCCGTTGCTGTTCTTTTCCCCATAAATGAAATAATACAACTGAGAAAGTTTTTATCTACCCTAGTGGTCTCTGTTACTGATCATTGGGGAAGTCAAGTACTTGGGTTTGTATTTGGAGGGGGAATGTCATCAAGGAAACTATAAAATAGGCCAGGTTTCTTTTAGTTGGTTTTTATTATTTTAAAACTGTATGTGTTGTAATTTTTTTTCATGTTTTTTATCACAATTGGTTATGAGTCACCATGGAGAAATGATCTCACACAGGTGCTGCGAGGCACCTGTCCTCTTATCTTTGGGGGCTGCTGTTGTCTTGTAGTTTGTTGTTCCCTCCACACTGTGAGTATGGCATGGACTGTCCCAGCTCTGTACCCCAGGCCTCCGCTTGTTGGGGACACTCCAAATACGTTTGACTTTCACATGACAGAGTTGTATATAACTACTTCGTTTGGATTCTTTCCCTTAAATTTTCCCCATTATCTTTGATTTTTAAGTTATTCTTGTTAATGTCAGGATTGCCTCTTTATGATTCAGCATTTTATGCTTAAACATAGTTTATATAAATTCTTAGTTTCTATTTAAAACTTATTTGTGGTCATAACAACAGGAATAAAGACTACGAGACAGTGACGGATATTTTGAACTACTTGCCTTGCTTTTCCCTTATTTGTTTTTGAAAGTTGGCAGGTGTAGCAGGGAACTCTGGGACATGAGCTGCATCTTGTGCATGTCCACACACACGCCTTGGGTTGGGGTCTCTGAAAGCGATGTTGCGATGGAGTTGGGATGTGAGATATTTAGGGGGAATTAGGCAGGAGAGGAGGCAGGATGGAGCAGAGGCAGAAGCCCACCTGATGGGCCTGATCAAAGCCTGGCTTGTCAGAATTGCCTTGCATGGAGCTGGAATGTCCTTTATACCCCCATCTCCCTGTCCCCAGAGCGGGCTGCCCCAGGGAGGGCACACTTTGGGGAGGGGTCTCTGCGGTAGAGACTGACCTTGAAGGGCTAATGGCTGCAGGCTCTGTGCTGCCTGCTGTCCTCACAGGTGGGCAGCGGGCTCTTGGAAGGGAGATCTGTGGACAGTGGTGCTGGCTGAGGACCTGCGGGCCGGCAGACCCATGCTCAGAGTACATGTGTATTCCCGTGAGAGCAAGCTTGGCCCTTTCAGGATGGATGGGGCCTGTGTAGGCAACTTCCTGTTGTGACAGGTCGGTCTCCTCAGGAATGGTGCCCTTCGGGGGCCCAGCACTGGTCACTGCTGGTCACAGTTGGATGTTCTGCAGTGGCAGTTATTTAGCTAGCGTAGCCCTGGTACCTGTGTCCATGCTGTTGGGCGTATGTGAAGCCTCCGCCGCGCTGCTGTGGCCACTTCACCCATCCTGTCAGCTCTGGTGGCCGGGGGCTGAGGCTGGCTGGCACCTTCTGGCTGAAGCGTATGCCGACTCGGTGGTTTCATACCTCTTCCGTCGCGGGTGCTCTCCGATGGATATCCACGTTGCCATAGAGAGCATTGTTCTCATGCCCACTTGTCCACCCACAGGTCTGTGCCCCAAGGCCTTCTTAACCCTGATCTTCCCATCTTTTTCCTTCTAGGCCTTTGACCAGCTGGCATGGCCACGTGCTTCTGCCATGAGTCCATCTATATTCTAACCTCAGGCTACTGCTCTTTCCACACATAGTGGATGGCCAGGTATACCGCCTGAGATTCTGCCCTTTGGGAAGACTCTCTCATCACTGTCTTTCAGAGCCGTCCCCGAGCGTGGCTGCAGCACAGCCTGTTTGCAGCTTGCACCCCTTCCTGACTGGTCTGTCGCAAACCAAGCTTGGGCTCTATCCTCTCCTTTCGTCCTCCCAGCCTCAGGCATCAGCTGAGGGAGGGGTGCTAGTGCACCAAGGATGGGCCACCTGCTCCTGCAGCTTGACTGTGCCTGCAGCTCCTGACTGTACTTGATTCTGGATGTAGCATCTCATGATGGGTGGTTCTTGGCCCCACCCATACTTGAGCCTGGGTGGGACTGACAGAACCCAGCCTATGATGGGCATTTCCAGTCACATGCCCATTTGCTGTCCCTGGGCCTCGCCTTCCATTTCTACCAGGGCTCAGTAGCACACCAGGAGTGGTTTTTCGAAGGCATATAATTCTTCACTCCAAGTGGCATGGCTTTGCTCCAGAACCCCAGACGGGCATTGTGATTCTCTCAGTGTGGCCACCCTGTCTCAGCATCTTTTCCAACCAGCAGGTGACGGGTGGCGTGGCCTCACAGCAGGGCTGCTGGCATTGCGGCAGGGCTGAGGCCTTTCTTCTCACCTGAGCCACACTGGGCCGCGGCCAGGCACCATGCTACGAGTGGGCGGAGCCATGTTCCTGTCATACTGGGTGCTGCCCCTCCCCCTAGCCTACTGTTAATCCTTCTGAGATGATTTTTTTGTGCCTATTTTTGTCTATTGGAATTTAGCCAAATCTCAATTGCTGTGTTGTTTTTCAAAAAAAGGAAGATAGTAATATAAATTGAGATCTAGAAAGATCCTTATGTTGTTCGAACCTGTCCTATTGCACATGAAGAAATGAATTAAATACTGGGGGCCAGCCAGTCCTTTTTTGTTCATCTAGTTAGGGATGAAGTGAAAACAGTTTCTTCCTACCAGCCTGCGAAGGAGCACACAGAAGCCTCCTTAGTCAGATGTGCAGCTAGAAAGTACCGTCTGTCTTTAAATACAAAAAACTTTGCTTATTTACTTTTAATCTCACTTTTGTTTTTCCCTCAGGCCATCAAGCCCTGCCGTCCCATGACCAACAACGCTGGCCGACTTTTCCACTATCGGATCACAGTCTCCCCACCTACAAACTTTTTGGTGAGTTCCTAACAAAATCAGATATCATCTATTTTATTTTTTTTATCCTCACCTGAGGACATATTTGCATTTGTATTCAGATAGAGTGGGAGGGAGAGAGGGAGGAAGAGAGAGAGAGAAACATCAATGTGAGAGACACATTGACTGGCTGCCACCCGCATGACCCTAACCGGGGCCAGGGACAAACTGCAACCCAGGTATGTGCCCTTAGTGGGAACCGAACCCAAGACTCTTTGGTACGCAGGCCGATGCTCTAACCGCTGAGCCAAACCGGCCAGGGCAGATATCATCTATTTTAAAATGTGAATAGGGTACATGTGTATAAATGGGTTAATGTATCAATAGACTAAATACTGATTGCGTTCTTAAATGTTCTTTTTTTTTTAAACTATTCTATTTTTATATTGACAAAATTGGCCTATATCATAATGACTTTTATTTTTATTTTCTACTAGACTATTTTTGGTACCTTTTTTCATTCATATTGTTGGTACCACATAATAGCCAAAAAATTATGGAGCTGTGGAGTTGGAAGGATGCGTAGAACATTCTCATGTCTCTTAAAAGTCAGCAAGTAGTTTATATATTATCTAGTGACCCAAACAAGAAGATCTGTTGTATTTATGACAGTAATATTAATAGTTAATACTTGTTGACTATGGTATTGGGCACCATTCTAATTATTTGACATATATTAACTTATTTCTCACAACAAACTGATGAAGCAAATATTATTATCCTCACTCCGCAGATGAGGAAGTAATCCATATTTTACAGGAAGTGAAGTAGCTTGCTCAACATCGACCCATGGACCAGGAGGTTGCCGGTTCGATTCCCGGTCAGGGCACATGCCCAGGTTGTGGGCCAAATCCCCAGTTGGGGGCATGCTGGAGGCGGCAAATCGATGTTCTCTCTCATCGATGTTTCTGTCTCTCTCTTCCTCTTTCTAAAATCAATAAGAAAATTTTTTTTCTATTAAAATAGCTTGCTCAAGATTATCCAGGTAGTAAGTGCAGAGTGGGGATGTGAACCTAGGCAGTCTGACTCCATCGAGCATGGCTGTGTGTTATTCCACCATACTATATTGCCTTTCGCAGTACAACATTTATTAGTACTGGTTACTTGTATCACCAAGAGATTTCAATTTCAAAATTAGATGTTAATAATTATATATTTTAACAACTTTATTGAGATATAATTCATATACCTTAAAATTTATCCATTTAAAGTGTGTATTTTATATTTAGTCTTTTCACAGGATTGTGACACCATATCACAATCTAATTTTAGAACATTTTCATTGTCCCCAAAAGATACCCTGTACTCAATTCTTTTCCAGTCCCAGCCTTCAGCAACTACTAAGATGCTTTCTGTCATTTGCCTGTTCTAGATATTTAATATGAATGGGATCATACAATATGTGAACTTTCCGGCTTCTGATTTCACTTAGCATGATGTTTTAAAGATTCACCCATGTGATAACATGCGACTTTATTCATTTTTATGGCCAAATAGTATTCCATTGAATGGATGTACTATATTTTATTTATTCCTCAGTTATGAACATTTGGGTGGTCTCCACTTTTTGGCTATTATGAAATACTCTTGTGAACCTTTGTGGACAAGTTTTTGAGTGGATGTGTATTTTCATTTCTCTTGGGTGTAAACCTAGGATTGGAGTTACTGGATTGTTTGGTAACTCTGTTTAGTATTTTGAGGAACTACCAAACTGTTTTTCAGAGTGGTTATACCATTATTATTTCATTAAAAGTTCTTTTCATTGTATTTAATTCAGGCCAACTTTGTTAAATTACTCAAATAGAAAGTAACAGTAATATTGACAAAACAAATAATGTACAGAGATATTCTTTAGTTCTCTTCCCAAGTTCTGTGTGTATGTGTGTGTAAAATGTTTAAAAGAATAACATTCAATACCTATGTAAAAAACATATCTTATAGGTTATCACTCTTAAGAATTAGTTTCATATTTAACATTTAGTAATAAAAATGGTATGTTACAAGAATGGCATAAAGAAGAGAGTCTCTTAGGCATAGATCAACATTTGTATGTTCTAATTACTGATTCAGTTTTCAGTAATGAAAATTTTGGTCATTATGCAAGAGTCAGTTTGTTAAAGCATCGGGGGTGGGGGGTGGCCCCTGCTTGGAGGGCTCGGAACAGAGCGGTGAGGGCCGAGCTCCTGGCCTCCAAGGCCTCGGAGCCTCCAGGCTGTGCTCAGTCGTGACCACCATGGTGCTGAGCTTCTTCATTTTGAGCTTTGAGCCAAGTGTGTTATTATCTTGTTCTTATTAGGACTTCTGTTAGTTCAGAAATATATTTCAGTAAGAACAGGACTGGTAGTATTATGAGATTAAATAAAGCAAGTTCCTAGAAAATGAAGTCATATAACCTTTCTTTTTTTTTCTTTATGGCATCAAACATAACAAACATTCTTCATTATCTCAGCATATAAATATTACTGAGGCCAGAGAATTCCACCTAAAATTAAACTTTCTCATAAAGTTCTCTGTGGTGTTTGGCAAAACATTAACAAAGTGTGTGGAGTCCTTACATTTCTCCTGGTGGTTGCCTTGTGTCCTGATGGATTTCTGCAAGGCCAGTCAGGCCGTGATTCAGGCTTTGTGTTTCTGTTTGCTTTCAGACCGACAGGCCAACCGTTATAGAGTATGATGATCATGAGTATATCTTTGAAGGATTTTCCATGTTTGCACATGCCCCCCTGACCAATGTAAGTATGTGCTCATTGGCTTGCTTCCTGTGTCCCTGTACCCTGCCTTCCCTTTACTCTTTCCTTTCATCCGACTTCTAAGTCACATTTACTCTGCGTCCTCTGCATGAGCTGCAGGAAGTCTGTGTCAGGTGGGAGTGTGATGTTTGTGCTAATGAGTCACAGGTTCAGTCCACATTAAGTGGTTGAGTGAAAGTGTCAGAATAACATTGTGAGAGTGTAAAAGACCGAAAAAGAAGGATAAACTGTGGAGTAACGTGTCAGAACTATTTGGGGTTTGGTGTCCTTCAAAGGAAAGTTGGAAAGTTTTAAGAAGAAGCTACTGTTTAGTCTCTGAGCAATAGAAAAAGAAATAGAGCTGGTTTAGGACACCTGGAGCCTGAATTAACTTTATACAGTTTTCTGCTTTTGAATCCCAGGAATATGTCTTCTTTAAGAGACTTCGTCTGACACACAGATCTATGATGTTTTTATACAGGAATTAAGGCAGCTCTGTTAGTAATCGGTTCAAATGGAAGTTCTGTATTAATGAGTCAGAAGCTTTGTCCTGGAGCGGGCAGTCTTGGGAATTGTCATACTTACCCTGTATCCCAGTTGGACAAAGAGGAGGAGGAGAGAGAGGCAGTGCCCTTGACCCAGTCCAGACACTGTCATGGAACTTACTGAATTATAGCTATGATGTAGCTACAGCAGAATAGAATGTTCTCTAATCCTTTCTGGTTTGGTTACAAGAAATTAAATATGCAGTTTGAAAAGTTATTTTTGTACTGTTTACTTAAAACTTGAAATTCTTTTCCTTTGGAGAGTAAAGATTCAAATCTTTGCCAAACCTTTTTCCATTTTATCATTCTTTTTTTCTCTGTAAGTGGACATGATTCCATTGTAGTGAGTCTAATTTAAAACAGTTTGTTTTCTTAATGAGATTGTTTTTTGTTCCACAGTATGTTTTATCCTAGAGAATTTTCTTTGAGAAGACGATTACATTGTAAATGTAAAAATAAAATCATTTGATAATACATACCACAGTTGTCTCCAGGGTAGACCATAATATAGAAAAAGGTATAATATTGGACCATTCTTTTTATTTTTATTTTTTGAGGTATAATTAATATGTGGCATTATATTAGATTCAGGTATACAACATAGTGATTTGATATTTGTATATATTGTGAAATGATCACCATAATGACTCTAGTTAACATTTTTCAACTTACCTAGTTACAGAATTTTATATCAGACTCTTCTTAAGCAATCTATATGAAAAGGCATTAGGTGGTTTTTGAATTTTGATGGTTCTGTTCTTTTTGTGAGTGTCTCAGTTAAGCACCCAGACCCTGTGTTACACCACATCTAGCCTTAGCGTAGGGAAGGCTTTCAGGAGTCCTCTGGTCCTCCTCCTCCTCCTCGTGCGTGTTTCTCTATTTCCCCCGCGGAGGATTTGCAAACACAAATAATTTAGTCACCGTGACAATATTTAAAAATACCTATCATCCCCATGGCCGGTTTGGCTCAGCATTTAGAGCATCAGCCCGCAGTACAGAGAGACTCGGATTCGGTTCCCGCTAAGGGTACGTCCCTTGGTTGCAGTTTGTCCCCGGCCCCGGTTGGGGTCGTGTGGGTGGCAGTCACTCGATGTGTTTCTCTCACGTAGCTGTTTCTCTTTCTCTCTTCCTTCCTGTCTCCCTCCTGCTCTATCTGAAGATTAATAAAAAAAAAAAAAAATGGTCCAGCTGGTATGGCTCAGTGGTTGAGCGTCGACCCATGCACCAAGAGGTCGCTGGTTTGATTCCCGGTCAGGACACATGCCCAGGTTGTGGGCCCAGTCCCCAGTGTGGGGCATGCAGGAGGCGGCCAGTCAATGTTCTCTCTCATTGATGTTTCCCTCTCTCTCTCCCTCTCCCTTCCTCTCTCTCTAAAATCAATTAAAAAAAAAAAAGTCCTGTGGTGAGGATAAAAAAAAAAATACATCTTATTTTTTAATTCCCTAGAAGTAGTGTAGATCTTACTTTAAGTTTTAGGATCACCTTAATCAAAGAAGGAAAGCAGTTTGGCTTCAGAGAGACCAAGATTTTAAACATTAGTGAATTCTACTTATTATCTGATCTGTATGATTTGAAATTTCAGTCTTCTAAGCCTTGATTTTTTTCTCGTCTTAAGATAGAGGTTTTAGTTTTAGTAATAGGTTTTGTTTTGTTTTTAATGAGATAACACATCAAAAGTGTTATACAATGCTTTGCGTACAATAAATATTGCACTTCTTATTTTGTAAAATATGTCAGACAGACCTGGGTTTGCATCTTTTTTTTTAATTCTTTTTTTTTCCAACTAATTCTTAATATCTATGTGACTTTGGACAAGTGATTTTAGAAGCTTTATTAAAATCCCTCCGGTTTGGCACTGAGAGGCTGTTAATGCTAAATTAATTGCATTTGTGATTGTTACCATACCATGAAGCCAGGACTGAAAATTTTTGGCTTCAGCATATATTTTATATAAAAATATTCAAACTCTCAACATTTGAGAACTTAACTCTGTAATGAGAAGATAAGCCCCATCATTTATGTTAGAGATGTTGATAAAATAAATCGAGTGTTAAGCTGAGTGCTGTTCAGTTCATAGAAATTAGATCCCTCAAAGGCCTCTTGAATTTGCAATAGCTTCCCAAGAAGAGGAATTATTACATCACTTTACGGATCTGATTCATCTTCTTGCTGGAGCACATCAGCAAGAACGGCATGCAAATGATTGTGTGGTGGAATCTCAACCGAATCCAGTTCTGACAAGTCCTCTTAAGTCTGCTTGAACTGAAGTGGGTTGAAAGCCTTGTTGGTGAAGTAGGAGCATTCTGGGATAATTTAATCCTTTTACGCAGTACATTTACAACGATTTGTAATACCTGATGTTACTAAGGGCTTTGACAACATAACTAAAATTATAAAGATATACGTATTAGATGCTTGATATCTTACTCTGTCCTCAGAGGCCCCAGAAAGCTCTCTCCTGCATTTGATGGCTTTCCTTTTCCAGTGGCCTCATTGCCCTGGATTTGGTCATTGAGTTAGAAGTTTAGGGAGTTGTTTTTGCTTGTTTTTGGTATGGTGCGATGGGTGTTAGTAGTGGTCAGTATCCAAAGATGTTTAAGAAATGATGGTAGGTATCTGTATTATTTGATTGGCCAATGAAGCTTCCAATATGTAGAAAATGACAAGTTCTCTGTGCATCTTAGAGAAGAGGAAAGTTTTAATGGAAAAGGCGATCCTGCCTTTCCAGCCTGTGTCTGAGGAGGGCTCCCGTGGTGTGGGTGAGCGTCCAGAAGAAAATATAGTACAGATAAGAGAAGAGGTCAACTCTGGCCGGTTTGGCTCAGTGGTTAGAGTGTCGGCCTGAGGACCAATGAGTCATGGGTTCGATTCTGGTCAAGGGCACGTACCTCGGTTATGGTTTGTCCCCGGCCCTGGTAGGGTTGTGCAGGAGGCAACAAGTCGATGTCTCTCTCTCACATCAATGTCTCTCTTTCTGTCTCTCTCTCCCTCCCTCTTCTTCCCTCCCTCTCTCCCTCCCTCCTTCCCACTCTATCTGAAGATAAATGGAAGAATATCCTCGGGTGAGGATTAAAAGAGAGAGAGAGAGAGAGAAGAGAAGAGTTCAAGGAGAGATCCCAGAAAGTGGTTTTAGTTGAAATGACTTGGGGAAAGGATTGTACTTGTGTGAGTCACCTGTCAGAGCTGCCCTTGCGCGTTGTAGGAGTCAGATGACACTTTGCTCTTTCTCTGCCTGCCTCCCAAGGCCTCTGGTCCTTTTCTCCTTTGGGTACTCTCTCTCTGAAATGTAGTCTCACCCGCGGGTTTTCCTCCTACAGTATTCTGATCCCCACCGAATGGGCATCTATAGCTGTGACGTGCTCTGCGCTCCACACTCCACTTCTGATTGCCTGTTGCATACCCCCGTGTCCCCTCAGGTGCCTCCTCCTCAACTGTACAAAGCCGGGCTCGTCAGCATTCCCACAATGGACTTTGAGGACTCAGGGAGCACCCTGTGAATTTCTCAGTATTAATGTCGTTGTGATGTGTCTGGTCACTTAGGCCAGAAACCTTAGTCTTCTCTTCATTTGGCTGTTTTCCTCCCTTGCTCCCTTCTGAACTATCCTCACACTGTTTACATAGCCACTCATCCAAAATGTAAACTCGGGTAGTCTCTCTCTTAAAGTACTTGAATGACTTCTCATTGCCATGGGATAAGCCCTGATTACATTGTTGATAACATCTGCATAATACAGTTGATACTTTCCTGCCTAAATCACCTCGTTTTCCTCTGTCCACATACTTGACTCCTGAGCAGTTAAATCACTAGGTCCCTTTTCTCTGCCTTGCTAGAAACTAAATACCTGCTGTTCCCCAACTCAGTTTTTTTGGGTGACCTGGAGCATTTCTCCCCATCTTTGAAGACTCAATTCAAATGTTACCTCCTTTGGTTCTTTTGAACTGTATACTCTCTGTTTGCGTATTTGTTTTTAATTATATTTATAAGTTACATCATATTTTGTTCTTTTTTTTTTTTAATCCTCACCAGAGAACATTTTTGCATTTATCTTCAGATAGAATGGGAGGGAGAGAGGGAGAAAGAGAGAGAGAGAAACATTGATGTGAGAAAGACACATCGAGTGGCTGCCACCCACACATCCCCAGCTGCGGCTGGGGACAAACTGCAACCAAGGTACATGCCCTTAGTGGGAACCGAACCCGGGACTCTCCGATCCGCGGGCCAACGCTCTAACCGCTGAGCCAAACCAACAAGGGCTCATCATATTCTGTTTATACTTGTTTATGTGCCTTTCTTCCTCTTTTAGATCCTTACCTTTTAAAAAATAGGTAGAGTTGTTTTAGATAACTATGGACCTAACATCATTGCTACCAAAGAGTAGATATTTTAAAAATATGAATAATGCCTAAATTTGTAGCTCTCGAATCATTTTTCAATATAGGAATAAAAAGAACTTCAAAATGATAGTGGCTTTAGCATGTTGCTTCAACTGGCTTAGAACTCATTTATTACCATAAGAAGGTTCAATATGGATCTCTTATTAAAGTTAATTAGAAATTTCACCCAAATTAGCCATTATTCTAATGAAAAAGCACCTAAGAACTAAATTTCCTTCTAAGAAAAAGATTTCCAGTAGATGGCATTACAAGACTATTTTTGTTTTTCTTACCAGTCCTTTGGTAGAATTGAACTTTGTTTGTTTCTTTCTAATTGCTATGGTTTGTGAAAACGATTACATCTATGTAAAATCGTCTTATGGACAGATTGAGTAGCCAGAAAAGCCTACTTACCACCTCTCTAGGGTTTCTGAGTCTGTTATTTTCCCCAAGTAGTCAGCCAAGCCACTGTGCCACTGTAGTAACTTCACACCCTCCCTTTCTTCCTCCCTTCATTCGAAAGTGTACTTACAGAAAACCTATTATGTCAAGACATTAGGCTAGTGTCTGATGACACATTGGTACAACAGACAGGTGTGGATTTATTTAACATGAGCCTGCCTTCATTTTCACATGGACCCCGAGTATTAGAATAGGTAACGAGATGTACAGACTCTAGTGCCTTAGGGCTGGGGTCTAGAACAAGATTTTCAAACTCACCAGCTACCAGTTTCCTTAGGCAAGGTACCTAATGACTCTGCCTTAGTTTCCTCCACTGTACAAGGGGGATAGTTGTACCTATCTCATAGGGATGGTTACATGAGTGACAATACGGGAAGCATTAGAACAGTGCCTGGTGCAGTAAATGCTATTGTTATTTTTATTATACATTATTATTATTATTACTGTTATTATTGCCACGGTTGCTTTTGCTCCAGACCCAGATAGGAGCATGACTTGTGCACGTCAGTGACATGAATCTGTACCTGAAAGTTGTCTGCCCGAAGGGCTGGAGTTCTAAAAGATTTCAAACACCCGAGAAAAAGAAGCATTTATGTGTGGTTTCATTAATTCTTTAGAGGTGATTTGTTTGGTTTTAATGAGGACTTGTCATGTTTGTGCTGTTGCTTATATATTTAATTCAGCACCAACATTATGCAGGTCTCCCGTAGAGTTCGAGCCAGTGGGGTTCTTGCCATTAACATCCAGCAGTTGTGGTCAAGCTCCGTGTGCAGCACTGTTAGAAGCTTAGATGAAGTGCAGCCATCTCACTTGGTTCTTGGCCTCCTGGGTCAGGTAGCAAAGAAGCACGTGTGCTGCGTGAGCCTGCAGGACGGAGTTGCGGAACTGAACCTCTTCTTGTAATTGCAGATTCCCCTGTGTAAAGTGATTCGGTTCAACATCGACTACACGATTCACTTCATCGAAGAGATGATGCCTGAGGTAAGGCAGAAGCTTGCTTAGCAGCTTTGCCCTTTGGTTTCTTCCACACGTACATCTTTAAAGAAATGGACTTGGCCAGCTCTGGCGTTTGGCCTTAGGAAGACCCCGAAAGTATCGTGTTCACTGTTGCGAGGGTCAGTGAGATGGAGCTCTAGGAGCAAGTTTAAAATTTGGGCCACTTTGCAATGTTTGAACCCATTTCTCCTTGTTTTGCATCTACTGATAGTAACTTTACATTTGTTTTTAGTGGTTTTGCATAGGGGACAGATTTTGATTACTGGTTGTTATCAGAGGAAATTAGGGTAGTGAAACTGAATCTGATAGCTGTTGGAATAATCTTATTCATTATCTCCAATGACAAGATCAATGCTCGGTTCATTTTTCTTCCCATATATTTACATATTTTTCCTAATTGTTTTTCATTGTGGCTGCTCAGCAGCAGATTTATCTAAATATATGCTAGAGGTTTAAAATTCCAAAGCAAGATTAATGTGAATCTCAGAATGATTCATTGCCTGATCTTGAATTTAGTGATGTCAACAAATCACACTAAGAAATAACAACTAGACAGCAAACAAGCTTGTGCACTTAACCTTGTGTTGGAGTCAGGGTCGATTTCCTGAGCCCCTGGCTCTTCCTGCAAACCGTGTTTAACAGCGCAGCTCTGCCATGGGCAGCCGAGCACCAGGGGAGTTCATTGATAGGCATGACACACATGCTTAGCTTGCACCTATTTCATTCAAAGCAAGCCCTGGTAATTCTACCTGTCTTTCAAAAAGAATTAAAGAGAAAGGGCCACCCCCTCATTCTCTAGCTTAAAAGAGCTTTTTGCTTCCTTTTGATTTTTAAGGTCATAAGCCTTCATTTGCTATTGTAAAGGTTTATGAGTCTGGAGTTATCTCACACAGGGTGATTTATGAACCTCAAGCGAAACAAATAGGAGGGAGAATTATGAGACAGGTCTTCCTTGCAAATATATCATCTGTTAAGCTTGTTTACTGGAGAAATTTTGGTACAAAGTTTTGTAGTTTTTCTTAGCCCTTTATTTGCCTTCATTGAGAATTTGAACTTTTTTGGTAGGAAAGATCCCTGTTCATGGTAACCGTGTAACTATTCTGGGTGTGTTTGGGAGATGCGGTGGGCAGGGGTGGGGTGAGCGGGGCTAACCTGTCTGAGCCTGCTGGCATGTGTGTGTCATCTGAATGGACAAAAAGTCTCCTGGACATTCTGATTTCATTATTGGGTTAGAAAGATATATAAAGAAGACTAATTTTTACTAGTACGTTGGGAAGGACTGACTTCACATTTTCTTAGGAATCCCAATGCCTCTCTTGCCTACTTCGTTTGTGTCTCAAGCCAATGAGCTGTGATTTGTAGCACAGTGGTCAAATTTTTTAGGAAATTATGCGGTTTTAGGATAGTTTCAATAGACATTTGAAAGCACGTGACTAGAACAACTTGAACCTTCAGTTCATATATATTTGCAGTACTATAGTAATTTGACTTTGATTTATTTTTCAGAATTTTTGTGTGAAGGGACTTGAACTCTTCTCACTATTCCTATTCAGAGATATTTTGGAATTATATGACTGGAATCTTAAAGGTAAATATTAGGACTTAAAGAAAAGTGTAATGTTTATAGAACATTGTGGTGTATGGAGAGGAGCAGGGAACATAGTTGAAGTTTCTCTCATTTTTTGAAATACCCAGACTAAAGTATGATTCATAGGAGTGCTTGCTGTCATCTGACACGAATAAATTCTTGTGGGTCTTATTTTAATACAATTTGACAGCGTCTGTTGCCCAAGATTACCGTTATCCATTACCTAACTCATCTGTAAGAAGATGCTATCAGTTATTATGAGTGATTACCCTGATTTATGTGCATTGAGGGGAACCTCATTAGTTAATATTTTAAATCTATTGAACTTTACTGTAATAAACTTCCAAGGTAACAGTTTACTAAAATAGCACTTTGCTTTGCCCTTAAACACAATTGATACACTGTGAACTACATCGATTTAAAACTTGGTACTTGGATCATGGATAATAGTTTACTCTTTTGAAGGTGTCTGTATTCCAACAGACAGTTACTTATTTGTTTTCTAAATAGTATATTAATGAATGGCTTTTCAAACCAAGTTTTGTTTTTTTTTAATTCCTCACCCGAGGATATTTTTCCATTTATCATTAGATAGAGTGGGAGGGAGGGAGAGAGGAAGCGAGAGAGAGGGACAGGGAGGAGAAATATGGATGTGATAGAGCCACCTCAGCTGGTTGCCTCCTGTCCAACCCGACCAGGGCCGGGGACAAACTGCAACCGAGGTACATGTCCTTGACCGGAATCGAACCCGCAACTCATTGGTTCGCAGGCCAACGCTCTAACCACTGAGGCAGACCGGCCAGGGCTCAAACCAATTTTTTAATAGTATTTCTCTCTTTTTTTTCCCCCAGTTGTATTGATTAAAATGGAAAGGAATTTAAACACAAGCGTATTATGTCATGCAGTGTAGTTCGGTCATAACAAAAATCTTTTTATTTATTTATTTATGTTTATTTTTTAAATCCTTACCTGAGGACACTTTTCCATTTATCTTCAGATAGAGTGGAAGGGAGGGAGAGAGAGAGAGAAAGGCAAAGGCATCGACATGAGAGGGACACATCGACTGGCTGCCTCCCGCATGACCCTGACCAGAGCCAGGGACTGAACTGCCACCAAGGCACATGCCCTTGACCGGAATCGAACCCAAGACTGTTTAGTCCTCAGGCTGATGCTCTAACCGCTGAGCCAAACTGGCCAGGGCGAAAAAATCTTTTTGTTGTTTGAATTTCTAAAAATAGCTTTGCCTCACAGACGCTGAAGCACATGTCCTTGGGCTTTTATTCCCTCCTTCCATTGGGCAGCCGCCTCACTTCCGTCTGCATGGGATATTTGTGGGTTACCGCAAGACCGATGTCCCTGTTGAGAAGAGGGGTGTTTTGTTTTTTTATGCCCCTAGTTCTGGTGGTATTTGTCAGTAGAATGACTCTTAGGAATTGAGTTGCAGTATTTGCTTTCTAATGCTGTTTTATTTATTTCTCTTCTTTCCTTTTCATTTGTTTGCTTCAGGTCCTTTGTTTGAAGACAGTCCTCCCTGCTGCCCCAGATTTCACTTCATGCCACGTTTTGTAAGATTTCTTCCAGGTAAATCTTTTGACTGGTCTGTGAGCTGTTGAGGTAGTGCCTGCCACTGTCCTTTCAGCCTGTAGGACGGCTTTCCCGCACAGGCGCGGCCGGCGTCGGTGTCTCGGGGCAGGCCCAGAATGTGAAATGCACACGCTGACTTGCACCCTGCATAATTTATGGTACCCCGAATTCGATCAGAGCAGGAGAGTCGATCGATAAATTTTGAAATTCCACTTGATAAAATATCATGCAATGTTAAAATTAATATGGAAAAATGCATGTGGCTTAAAAGTGCATAGAGTTAATTGGAGAATAATGATTATAAAATTTTATATGTAATATGATTATAAGTATGCTAAAAATCACTGCAGTGATAGTTGAATTAAGGTAGTGGTATTGGACTAGTTTTTCATATTTTTTTGACATATACTTTTATTTATTTTATAGTGAAAAACAATAATTTATTTTCTAATTTAAGAAATATAAGTAACTATGTGACATATTTTTTTTAAGCAATATTTTAACCGTTTTTAATTTTTTTTTTCAAGAGTCCAGCCGTGATCACGTTGGCACTATATTTAGTGTTTGTAATGAAATCTTTGGGTGTTGTTTTGTCTGTAAAGTCCTCACCATCCTGAATGAATTCGTCCCTAGGGTCTCATTCTGGTTTCTCACTCACCAGTATTTCCAGTGATATCCTTCAATGCTTCCAGCCTCTCGTGCCCTTCGTTTCTTTGCTTGTACTCGAGCCTTCCCTTCTCTCTCCGCATAGTCCCATCCCTCCGCTTTCTCGATTAAGTCCTGCATTCCGACTTCTGTCTCTCAGCTCTGGTGGCCTCGGTGCCATCTGCTAACCACCAGCCTCCAAGGAAATGTCAGTTCAGCCATTTGCCTACAGATACTGGAGAACAAAATTTGGCTGCTGCGATAAATGCGATTTACAATTTCAGCTGTTGAGCTTTTCAGCATGGACGCTTTCTGGCCATGTCTGTGTATCAGCAGCTTCAGACACTTAGCCTTGTGCCCATGCTCTCCTCCTCGTGCCTCCTGCCCTCCTGGGGGCAGGAAGCCTTCCTCCCGCGTGCCTCAGAACTCCCCTTGGAGCCTGTCAGACCTTGGTCCATTCACAGCCCTCTTTGCTCTGCCCCCAGCCCAACCCTGTCCCCACCCTGCTGCTGCGCCGCTGCTGTCAAAACCAAAGCCAGCCTCCAGAAGACCAAATCCAGGGGGCCTGCTTCAGTTTTAGAGTCCTCCCGAGTGGGGTGCCTGGGCCCTTGACCTTGTCTATGTGCTGAGCTCCCTTACTTTCCTCCGAGCTCTGATACATCCGCTCGTGGTTTTTGTTTATCGCCTTTTCATTGGATTTTCCTCAGGATTTTGTCCTTCCTCAGTCCAGACACTCAGTCACAGGGACTTATTGTTATTTCAGAATAGTGTGACTCATGCTTTCACTATTATTGTCAATGTTTATTTTGTTTGGAAATGTATTCAAAAGCTTTCCCCTTTGTACATCTGGTTTTATTTTACTGAGAAGTCTCTTATTCTTTTCAGGCTAATGCATCTTTGATTTTGTAATGGAGCTTTAGCAGTGAACTTACTAGAAGATGGTGTTAGAGTGAGTTTGTTGAAAAGCCTATTCTTTCGGTATCTATCTGCCTCTAGGCATTTTATGACCAAGCAAATCTCTAAGAGAAAGTAGATGGTTTTAAAGTCATCTTAAACAAAAATCTATGTCAGATGTTTACTTTGTGGGATTTTAACTGTCTCAAAATGTTTTTTATAACTAGGGATAACATTTATGTTGCCATTAAAAAAAAGGTCTATTGGTTTGTTTTTCAAACATGATATACTTTTTCATTAGACTTCCCTTTTTCATTAGACTTCATAAAGTATACATTTTAAAGAAACCTTGCAGATTTCAGGGTGGCTATCCAACTGATCCAGCACCCTTTATTGAGAAGACCATTTTTTATTCACAGGAATTGAAGTGCTATCTTTGCCCTTAGTTGGGTTGACTCGAGTGTGTGTGTGTGTGCCAAACAATATGAAGGTATATATGGTAAAAGATGAACACCCCTTGCTAGACATGTGAAAATGAGCAGGTGCTGTAAGTGGTTTGATTTGTGTTTGTTTTAGCCTGGATAGGGAGAATTAATGAATTTTTGTTTCAGTGGGCCAACACTCACCATGTTACACAGCCTGCCTTTTTACTCAACCGTATCAGACATCCTCTGTATACGTACATTGCCTCCTTTAAAATCTATGTAGAATTCCACAGTATAAGTGGACATTAATTTTTGGACAATTCCTCTAGTGAAGAATATTTTGGAGAGCGCTGTTTTTCCCCATTACTTACATACTTCAGGAATAGTCCTGTGCATCTGTTCTTTTGCATTTATGTCAGTGTTTCTATAAAGCAGAACCCCAGATGTGAAATTATTTGTTACGACAATATGCACATTTTATTTATTTATTTTAAAAAAATTTTCTTTATTGATTTGAGAGAGAGAGAGGAAGGGACAGGGGGGGAGAGAGAGAGAGAGAGAGAGAGAAAGAAACATCGGTGAGAGAGAACATTGATTGGCTGCCTCCTGCATGTCCCCCACGGGGATTGGGCCCACAACCCAGGCATGTGCCCTGACTGGGAATTGAACTGGCGACCTCCTGGTGCATGGGTTGATGCTCAACCACTGAGCCACAACGGCTGGACGACAATATGCACATTTTAAATTGGGAAAGATATTGGCCAAGTGCTCTCTAAAAAGGACATAATTTATAGTTGTAACCAACATTTTTAACAGTACCCATTTTCTGTACATCTGCCAACACTGGACAGTACTCGTCTTCTGTAGTTTTGTCTAACAGGTGAGGCTGTTCTCACTGTAACTGTCTGCATCTCACTTGCACTCCGAGAGAATGAGCAGCTTTCATATGTTTCAGGCATCTCACGGGCCTCATTCTCTGCTTTTCATTCCTATCAGTTTAGTATCTCTAACTGAAAGTTCTGTCAGGCATCATACTTGGTCTCCAGTTCTCCAGTTTATCTGTTTTGAAGATAGCTGTCTCAGATTTGTCCAAAGTTAAGTTTATAGTTTAAACCAAGAATTATTTAATGAAGGTCAGTTTACCAGAAGTCAAACCATACAACAAGCAGTTTATTGAAATTTGTTTTTTTTATTCTCACCTGAGGACATTTTTGCATTTATCTTTAGATAGAGCAGGAGGGAGAGAGGGAGGAAGAGAGACAGAGAAACATTGACATGAGAGAGACACTTTGAGTGGTTGCCAACCACACGACCTCCGCTGGGGCCGTGGACAAACTGCAACCGAGGTACATGCCCTTAGCAGGAACCGAACCCTGGACTCTCTGATCTGCAGGCCGACACTCTTAACTGCTGAGCCAAACCGGCCAGGGCAGTTTATGGAGATTTTAAGATTTTTTTTCAAAAAATTTTTCTATCCCTGCCTCTACCTTTAGTAGTCAAATGGTTGAAGTGAACTCTCCTAGAGCCACTGCCCGGGCCCGGGGCATGCACTTCCAGATAAGAAGGCTGCACTTACGGGGAAGTCTGTTCACTGCTTACATGAGTGCTGTAGCAAAGCTTTGGAAATCCTCCATCAGTTTTGCAAATCGATTATCTAGCAGATTGGCTGTTGGAAATTGCCCCATTCTGGAGAGGTAGTCCTCAGGCGTGGCTGACAGAGGGCCGGAGGTTGGGAGAGTATTTCAGAATTCCCAGGGAGGCAGGTGTGGTTTGGAAAAACATTAATTGACATAGCATCTTAACATAACTTTATATGTGGAAAGTTTAGAAAACACCTGTTGTTAATACAAATGTTCAGACGTGAAGAATATGTAAAGGCATCTTAGCAGGAATGCACTGGAGACGAAGTGATGCAGTGATGCCGTTGTTCTCAGTGTAGGAAGAGGGGGGGTATTTGTGTTTCTTAGAACTGAGTGTTAGGCTGTTGAGAAACACTGGTGTAACCAGCCATATTCTTAACACAAATACCCTAACAAATTGCCCTCCCCCGCAAATAACCATATAAATAATCAAGCAGTATAAATGGAGAGGATTGGGTCTCTAAGAAACAGTTTATAAAGTCTGTCAGTTCATTAATGACTGTCCAGATTCATTCCCTGAAACACAAACTCCAGTTCTTCCCGAATAATGACCCGTTGTCACGGCTCCAGCCCCAGTGCTGGCATGGTTCCTGCTAACCTTAGCTCACCCGTCTAATTTCTCATTTATATCATGTCCTATTTATCTCAGCCAACGAGATAAAAATGACTTCTTAGCCCTGGGTGACACAGTTCCATAAATCCCCGACATAAACATGTAGCAAAGCAGACAAACCAAAAGAGCCAATTCATTAACATTAGTAAATTCATGGCAGTCTGTGAGCAAGTGGCCATGTTATTTATCTGCTTCAGAAAGTCATTCCACAAATATTTATGAGTGTCTTTTACTGGGCTGGGTATGAGGTTACAGCCCTTGCTTGAGCTCTGGCAGGATTCGCTACCTCTTCTTATGTTTCCATAGCATCGCACCCCATCATTGAACCTGGAGCGGAGCCTCGGTCCCCCACTTTAGGTTATCTGCCCTGGGTTTCTACATTTTCACAGTGGTAAATATCTATCTTTTTAGGTTTTAGGTGCTATTTTAAATATTTAGCTGATTTCAACATGGATTTAGACTTTCTCTTTCAGCATTACCAGCTTGACGTTCATTTTTTTTTTTTTTAAGAAAAGTATTTCTAGTTTCTGTGCTGCTGTAAAACTCTCCTCCCTCGTTAGAGCTTGGCACCCAGACTAGGTGGAAGCATTTTTATAAGCATTTGGTGGCTTGCTTTCTCTATCTTGAGAGCATTCACCTAATTTGGGAAATACCCTTAGTTTGCAGGTTATTTCCTCTCCTGGTCACTCTTAGATTTTCAGTCTTTTTGCTTTAAATTCAGTGCCCCTACTCGATTTCACTTTTATTTGAAGTGCGGTGAAGTCAGCATCTATAACTGCTTATGGTGAGATTCTAGTGCTATTTTGTGTACTTGGAGTTGCATATATTTGCTCCATCCACCATCCACCAACCTCTCCAAATAAAATCTGTCTTTTTTCTGATCTTATAGCAAAACAAACCTCTGCCCCTTCTCATGGTACCCTAGACTCCCGAGGCATCCTTATATAGGCCTGCGTCATCTTACCAAATACGAGAATATGAGCCAACTACTGTTTCACTCTTTCTTTGGTTCCTAATGAATCTGATCAGTGTGGCAGTTCTCAAGGCCCTCTAGTTTCCTTCATCCCTGCTGTTCTGGGTGCACACGTGCGTGTAGGTCAACACTCTCCGGCTTGGAGCTTCTTGTCCACCTGCTCACCCCAGGGCTCCTAGAAGCAGTATTACCGTGGGCTCAGACCAATGACAGACATTACGACAAAGAGGCAGTATGGGTCGCTGGGCTTCTCTGCGAGAGCGGAACCTCACTGAGGAAGACACATCACATGCAGGCAGATTGAAATGTCTTTTGAGACAAACCGAGAAAAAGGTCCTTAACCACAGAAGTTTGTTAATTAAAGGTGATTCCTGGGTCTAAGGGAAGAAGTTTTATAATGAGACGTAAAAAATGTCACCACTGTGAACAATACCTGAACCAGCAGACAGAACATGCCCTCGTGTGGATTGATTGCATTTTGCATTTTAGTTATTTCTTGGACAGTTTTTTCAGAGAGGCTCAATGTCTGGTTACGAGACATCTGTTTTCAGGATGTTATCTACAGAGATTCCTCTAGGAATTGTGACTAGTCATTGTTAGCCCATGTGCTTCATGAGGGCCTAGACCTTTTGTTTTGTTTGTATTTTCCCCCATGATTGCGATCTGGTCCATGCGTAGTGGCGCACGTGGTGGAAAGCTCCCGCCTGAGAATCAATCCAGGGCTTACTGTGCTCTGTGAAGCTGGCCGGCTCGGCCGTTCCTGCTGCCGCCCTCACACTCACCTCACTTCGCTCCATCCGCACTGGCCTCTTGGCAGTTCTGGAACACGTCCGTCTGACTCCACCTGTGGGTTTCCGTTTCCTCTAGCTGAGGCTGCCTTTTCCCCAGGCTGCACCTGGTGGGCTCCGCTGCCTCTTTCAAGTCTCCTCTCACTTGGCACCTCTTCACAGGTGCCTTTCTCGACCACCCATTTAAACACAGCCGCATCCTGCGCCCAATTTGTGCCTCATAGCCCTCGTCTCGACCTGATCTATTATGTAGTTGTTGTTTATTGTCTCTTTTTCTTCGTTGGAATGTAAGGGGCTTTGGTTGTTTAGATGGCCACTGTGTTTCCTGCATCTAGAAGAATGCCTGCTACACCACAGGTGCTTAGTAAATATTTGTTGAATGGATGAACAAATAATTTAGATTAATGAATAAATGCATGCCTACATATAGTAACTCTAGCAGCAATGCTATCTAGTTTCTGAGTAGCATCTGAGAATAAAAAGCAGATCAAAAAGAAATCTTGATATGTACTCTCTTCTTTCTCAGATGTGTAGCCCTATCCTAGTTCTTAGCCATAGCAACTTGTAGTTACATCTTTTATCCTTTTCCATGTTCTGGTACCCCAAATTCCTTCGGTGTCTAACTCCTCCGGCACAAATAGGACCCTGTCATTTGTGCCTGCCCATCCCCACCATCTTGGTTCCCTCATCCCTCCGTGAAGTGTTTGGTCCTGTACTGCTGTTCCTAGCATATCTTGTGACCTGGGTAGGGTAGTCATTGTCCTCTACACCTTCAGGGCTCTTGTCCTTTTGGGTGGGCCTAACCAAAGAAAAGGGATATAAGGTGGTTACACATATTGGTCAAGAAGCTAAGTCCAAAGAGCAGGCAGAAGCCTGGGCACCTAAAATTAATGCCCATATCAAATGAGTCTTTGGTTCATCGAGTACCAGGTTAATTGGCTTTTTCTAAGGTACTTTAATTATGTCCTTTGTTGTTTTTATCTTCTGCACTTGGTAATACGTGCTCTGTACGCCTCAGAGTACTTGGTATTTTTCTGTGTACTAACTCCATAATGCTTTTCTTGATATTAGTACAGGCTCTTTAGTTCTATTCATCATGGCAGGTGCAGCAAATTAGCACCAAAAAATTAGACTATAACACAACAATAGCATTTTGAAAACATCCATAAATATCTCAACAGCTTGGAATTTCCTTAAGACAATAGCATCACTTCTAAAGAGCTTTCATCTGTTACCCTAGAAAGACTGATGAAATATTTAAGTTCTGTGTATTATAAACTGTGGTTCTTCATGCTAGATGGTTTTAAATTTATTTAGGTAGACACCTTTTTTTATAGTCATACCTTACAGGTGGAGCCTTTTATCATTTACAATATTGCTCTTACCGTTTTAGTAAATGAGGTGGTTTATGAGCACTGTTCATCAATGAAACAAATGGCTTTTGGAGTAGTTGGCACCTGGTTAAACCATGTGAATTCTAAATTACCTTTTTATGAACACTCTTTTGTCTCTATTGTCTTGTTTTTCCTTACTCAGCTGGTGATTGGCTGTTCACTGAGTAGCCTTATTTTTCTTCTTTCTCTCCACCCTCACCCAAGATGGAGGGAAGGAAGTGCTGTCCATGCACCAGATCCTCCTGTACCTGTTACGGTGCAGCAAGGCCCTGGTCCCCGAGGAGGAGATCGCCAATATGCTGCAGTGGGAGGAGCTCGAGTGGCAGAAATATGCAGAGGAATGCAAAGGCATGATTGTCACCAACCCTGGGACGGTATGTTCTGGGGCTTACACGGTCAGAGACCGAATCGCCTTCTTTCCAGGTGTGAAAGTTTCAGAAAAATGACGACGGCATTTTCAAAGCTCTATGTACTCACTGTTTCTTGTCCTTGAATAATTTTTTAATATTTAGTAAATATGAAAAATATTACAATGTAGGCATACTTGGTTGTAAGTTCATCTTATTGGTAGATTTATTCTGCTTCCTATGGAGAATTTTGAAGTGTTTAGGTACATTCACATCTGATTTTTTTCTTGGTATAAAAGTAATACATTCTTCGCCCTGGCTGGTTTGGTTCAGTGGTTAGAGCATTAACCCGCGAAGCATCTCGGGATTGATCCCCAGCCCCAGTTGGGGTTGTTTAGGAGGCAACCAGTCAATGTGTGTCTCTTGCATTGATGTTTCTCTCTCCTCCTCCCTCCCTCCCTTCTACTCTCTCTAAAAAGCAATGGAAAAATATCCTCGAGAGAGGATTACAAAAATGTAATATATCTTTACTATAGAAAATTAGAAAAATATCACCCAAGGCAACAGAAACAAAGGAGAAAATGAACGCATGGGACTACATCAAACTCAAAAACTTCTACACAGCAAAAGATACAATCATCAAAATGGAAAGGCAACCCACTGTATGGGAGAGCATAATTGCCAATGATATATCAGATAAGGGGTTAATGTCCAATATATATAGAGTGCTCATACAACTCAACAAAAGGAAGACAAAGAACCCAATTAAAAAATGGGCAGAGGAACTAAATAGATACCTCTCCAAATACAAAAGGCTAAGAGACATATGAAGAAATGCTCAACATCACTAATCATCAGAGAGATGCAAATTAAAACAACAAAGAGGTATCACCTCACACCTGTCAGAATGGCCACCATCAACAAATCATCAAACAACAAGTGTTGGCGAGGGTGTGGAGAAAAGGGGACTCTGGTACACTGCTGATGGGAATGCAGACTGGTGCAACCACTATGGAAAACAATATGGTGTTACCTCAAAAAATTAAAAGTTGAACTGCCATTTGACCCAGTGATTCCACTTCTAGGAATATACCCTAAGAAGCCTGAAACACCAATCAGAAAGAATATATGTACCCCCATGTTCGTAGCAGCACTATTTACAATAGCTAAGATCTGGAAACAGCCCAAATGTCCATCAGTAGATGAATGGATAAAAAGCTTTGGTACATATACACAGTGGAGTACTATGCAGCTGTAAGGAAGAAAAATCTCTTATCCTTTGAGACGACATGGAGGGATCTGGCAAGTATTATCCTAAGCGAAACAAGCCAAATAGAGAAAGACAAGTATCATATGATCTCACTTATTTGTGAAATATAATGAACATAACAGTCTGAGGAATGGGGTGGTCCCAGAGATGTGGAAGTGGGGTACAGACTGACAATCCCCAGAAGAGAGGGTGGTGGGGGAGAGTTAAACCACAGAACTTATATGCATATATACATGAATAATGGACATGGACAACAAAGCTGGGGACAGGGTGGGGAGGGAGAGGGAGAGGGGAATTAGTGGGAGACAAAGGAGAAACATCTGTAACAAAAATAAATAAATTAATTTAAAAAAAAAAGAAATTAGGAAAATAGAAAAGCAACCCAAAGAAGGCAGTAATAATGATCCATAATTCCATTCTGCAGAGATGATACTATTCATTTTTCTGGTCTCTTTAGGATAGATGTATTTCATATTATTTGAAACAAAATTGGCATCCTACTATTAAATATTATTACGTTAAATATTATATATTCAGACTCCTTCCTTCTCATTCCCCTCCAGAAACAACCACAAAGTATCATTTTTCCATAGTCTTAAATTTCTTTAGGATTATTAAAAAAAAGACCCTCAAGTTATAAAATCACCTCCTCATTATTGGGTACCTAGGTTGCTTCCAGACTTTTGCTGTAATAAATAATGCCATATTGAATTTGTATATGTGTCTACATATGTATATGTATATGATGTATCCTTGAATATTTATCCATTTAATTCCATAGGAAGAAGTCCTATAAGTGAAATTAGTAGTCTGAATATATGCACATTTTAAGGCTTTTGATACATAGAGCAAATACCTTCTAGAAGTGTAAAATTTGTGCTCTGATTGAGAGAATATGAGAGTGCCCATTTCTTCATATTGGTTATACTATAACAAAAAAAAGTTTGTCAATTTGATTGGGAAAAATATTATTTAGTTCAGATTTGCATTTATTTTGGTTTCTAACAAAAGTTGATATTTTAAGTATTTATTAGCCTTTTATGTTTTCTTTTGATAATGGCCTATTAATATCTTTTGTCTAACTTTTTTTTGTGGTATTTATCCTTTTTTATTGATCCTTTTATTGATCTTTTGCCATAATTATTACACATATTTCCCATTTCTTTTATGTCTTATTATTTTGTTTTCTTTTTTAATTCCTCACCCGAGGATATTTTTCCATTCATCTTTAGATAGAGTGGGAGGGAGAGAGAGAGAGAAACATTGATGTGAGACAGACACACTGACTCGTTGCCTCCCGCAAGACCCCGACCAGGGCCAGTGACCAAATGGCAACTGAGGTACATGACCTTGACCAGAATCGAACCCGCGACTCCTTGGTCCGCTGGCCGATGCTCTAACTGCTGAGCCAAACTGGCCAGGGCTCTTATTATTTTGTTTTAAAATTAGCTTCTAATATTGTTGAAATAAAAATATAAAAATTAAAAGAGAGAATTAAAAGATAACTAGTTTTATCTTAAGAAAATTCTGTTTTATATATTATATTAATTAGAATTGTTTTTTTCTTCAAAATATGTTATTGTTTATAAAGTAGTTATATTTTGACATCTTATCAGGATGAGATTTTTCAGAAATGGAAAATTAAAATATTTTCATGTAAAGAAACAGAGTAATCTACTTAAACAAGGCTTTTGTTTTAAAAAGGCTGCCAAATTGTTTAATAGCCATGATTCATAAAAATAAACACTTCTGGATCAGCTTTCTGAAGCCTGACAGTGCTGTTCGCACAGACCAGATCAGACATCCCAGCTGATGCTGAGTGTTCTAAACTGGGCTCAAAAACGAAAGTGTTTAACGAAAATGTTTTCACCATAAAACTTATTTAAAACTAAGTGTTACATTGTAAAGCCACAAACATAATTGTTAAAGTAACTGTAAAAAAAATATACAAGTCATAGCACTATGAGAGAATGACTATGAGTTTAATTTTTCTTCTTTAAGCAGCTGCATAAATTTACATGTCTTTTGTCAGGTTTATAGCTGGGTCAGAAGATGGGTTGTGGTGATGGCGGTGGCAAACAATCTTTTCATCTTGGTGGGTCCACTTCAGGGGTACCATGATTTACAGTGGACACTTTGGGAGCACTTTTACGCTGTAACTTCCTTCCATGGCATGGTTAAAATTTTCTGAAACCCTAGAGCCACTTGGAGAGCTTTTGAAAATGTAAGACTGCCATGACTGACCCTACCCCATAGGGTCTGTAGTTTATTTTTATTTTTATTTAAAAAGAGTTTTTTTCCTTTATTGATTTTAGAGAGGGGAAGGGAGAGGGAGAGAGAGATAGAAACATGGGCGAGAGAGAACACTGATTGGCCGCCTCCTGAATGCTCCCCACTGGGGATCTGGCCCACAACCTGGGCATGTATCCTGACCGGGAATCGAACCGGTGACCTCTTGGTGCATGGGTCGGTGCTCAGCCACTGAGCCACACCAGCTGGAGAGGATCTGTAGGTTAAAAAAAAAATCCACATGTGCTTCAGATTCACTCATTGCTCGTTATTGATCCAGTGGTATGGAGGACGTTTACTCCATGACCAAGATCATTAGTCAACTCATTGTTGAAGGACAATTGTGTGAGCCAGATGCTCGTGAAGTGTATGAAGGTATGTGATGCTTGTCCAGGTGCAACCTCACACAGACCCATATGAAAGGAGTCTGTGATGAATCCTCGAATCAGTGGACCAGTCAGTAAGATAGCCAGCCAGGAAAGGTCACTGTTTTAGACCATATCACTCGGCTGATTGCCGTGAGACGCTTCATAAACACTATGGTGAAGTCTTTAAGGAATCAAGAAATTGTATAAATTATTGGCCTCTTTAAATATACATACTTGGCATGGTGTGTGGCCAGTTTGAAGATAATGAAGAAACCAGGTTGGTCAGGATGAAAGGTTTATATTGGAAAGTAGTTGGAAATAAATTAAGAAAGGTAAATTTGGATACTAGGCTTTAGGACATATTGAAGTTAATTCCTTTTTAGTATTTAGCTAGAAATATGTTTAAAGGAGGAAAATATCCTGAAAACTTAGTATCATTCAAACAATTGTATTCTTTTGAGAATGGGGCAGAATATACATGGTACCACATTTTATCCTCTACAGTACTTGCTTTGAGAGATTGCCCAATGGTATGAATATTGGGGAATTTATTAAATTTTCAAGCCATTATGGTCACATTAAGTACATTATTGCTGCAGAACTTAAAAGAATTAATCTCCCTCTCTCGGCACTTTGCCTCTGCCAGGGAATACTTTGGTCATTAGTGAGAATGATTTTTCTTCTGTTTCTACAAAGATGGTATGATAGATATTGTGTAGGGTGTGGGCAAATTCTACAACTTCTTTCCTTCCTCTCCCCCACACATATACATTTAGAGATACTATAGATATTTTAAATTACTGTTTCCTCATTGATACCTAGCATGGTGTTTAAAATTACGGAAACATGAATAATTTACTAGCACTTTTCAGTTGTGCAATTCCTCGTTCAAAAACAAATCCTGCTGCTTGGGTGCATAAAATACTGGAAACAATTCTTAGACCTAAATAACATGTTGCTACTATTGATAAGCATTTAAGTAATTTCATATTAGATTACCTATGACCAAAGTCTTCTCTAGTTAATAATTTTGGGAGCAGAGGTCAACTTTTTAAGATACTGGTGAAATTTTAATTGTTAAATAACATTTAAATACTCTTTAAAACTTGCAAGTGTAGATTGTTTCTTAAAAAATGTGGCTGAATTTATTAGTTTACCTATTCACTTTGTTGCCTACTTGGATTTGTCAGATGGCAGACAGGTGGCAGTTGTGGATAGGATAAACAGCTCGTCCCAGTTGCTGGGGGCTCTCCCGCTGTTAGCGTGGAAACCCCTCAGTCCTGGACATCAGCCCACCAACCAGGCTCTAGTTGGTGGTCATTGCTGTGTGATAGAGTGAAGCTGTTTGGCGTCCATGTGGGTCTGTTCTATAGCCTTTAGCTGTAATGCCGTGGAGCCAAAGATCCCGCAGTCTCCTAGTAAGAATTTATTTTCAGCTGCCCAGAGAGTTGGGTATAAGCAAGAATGTCGTTCAAACATTCTCTCCATGATTTTACCATCTTTTCACAAACATAAGCTCTCAGGATGAAAGGCATTTTATAACTGGGTCGTCATATTTTAGTAATTCAAGAAAGAACTAGCTGTTCACTTCTTCCTTTATTAGACTTGGAAAAAAAACATATGAGGCTTTCTTATTAAAATTAAAAATAGCCTACATGGGCATAATAAGAGAAGCTTAACCATTTGGCCTTTGTAGTACCATACCTTCTAATTTAAAGATGTGGAATTAAAGGAATATATAAGGTACAAAGAGAACTAATGGGGGGGAAATTATGTAGAGGCATCTGTCTTTGTGTCCAGAGTAGAAGTAAGCTGTTCATTTGAAATGTGAAATTAAAGCAGAATAAGCTAGTACATCTCTTCCCCATGATGTGGAATACTTCCCCTTTGCCTTTGGAGAGGTTAAGGAAAAGTTATATCTGCCTAGATGTCCTTTTAGAAGTTTAATTTTTAAAGGTTTCTATGTGGACTACAAAAAAGACAAGATCATTGTTCATTATGCCAAATGGCACAGACTCATTTACAGGGATGACCTTATAGTTTTATATAGTATAGCAGCTATGATTAAAGGGTTTGAATGACATTTCCCTTTGGGGATGAGGCTTTCCTAGAAAAAATCCGATTAATTTCTTACCTACTTAGGTTAAAGTCAATACTTAAAGACTTCTTATGGGAATAAATGGCTTTGATTTTTCTCTGTAGAAACCAAGCTCTGTCCGCATCGATCAACTGGATCGTGAACAGTTCAACCCCGATGTGATTACTTTTCCAATTATCGTTCACTTTGGGATACGCCCTGCACAGTTGAGTTATGCAGGAGACCCACAGTAAGATATTTCTCGGTGTTTGTCTTAGCCAATTTCACCTTCTACTAACAGCTGAATTAGCAGAAGAATGCCCTTTAGTGGATGTTTTTCTTTTTAAAAATTAAGAATGAAAATGAGCCGTGTTTTCAAATTTAGGTCACCAAATGAAACAAGTTTTGGTAGCTCCTGAAGAATTATTCTCTCCATATTTGACTGCAGGAAATTATTATTCAATAGATTATCCTTTACAATCTTGGTCAACAAGAGTCCTGTATGTTTTTAGCCTTTATTCGTCATTATAATACTTACTGCTGTTATTTCTATTTTTTCAGTGCCCTCTAGCGGAAAGTAGCACCATGCTGGTCCCTAGCACTGCTGAGTTTACGCAGAGCTCTGATTTTTTGGAGCATCTTAATAAGAGCTCAAGATCCCATGCAGAGTTGGGAGGAGAAGCCGTGGCTTCTGACTTTTAAACTTGACACTGCTTTCCACATCTGGGTTTTCTAACTGGCATGTTAGTGTTTTTCTGGGAGAAGATGAGGATGTGTGGGATTATTTTCTTCAGTAGTGTTTGAATTTCCTACCTCATTAAACAAACGAAAGTTTTCCTGACTTAATTTTTTAAAGGATTCTTAATGGGAGACAAGGGCATGGGAGATTTTTCAATTCATACATACAATTCTGGCTAATACATTAGAAGAGGCTAAAGGGTTCTGTTCTCCCCCCTCCCCTTTGGATAAAAGTATGAAGCAGTGAACCAGGCACTGTGTAAGTACTTCTTTCTTTCCTCCATTCTCTAATAACTTGTTATGAAAAAGGAGAGACCCAGCTGAGGCCAAGAAAGGAACAGTTTCAATGACAGAAGCAGTTTCATGATGACAGAAACTCTTTGAAAGTCCCTTGTCAGAAAAATGTTAGTAGAATGTGATTAGGCTCTCGTGGGCTTAGGGGCAGGAGTGTGAATTGATAAAGGACCCCTTATTCTTTTCATTCCCAGGACGCTGTAACTATTCTTTAGTCTGAGCCAGGCTGTCATTTATATGGCTACGAATATGCCTATTTTTGTCACGGTATATACAAATTGGTGTACACCATTTGTTTTTTTCCCTCCCCAGTGAAAAAATGGGTACACATTTGTAGCTTGGATATTGGCACAATGGGGCTTTCTTTTCTAATCCTCTCCAATTTTTACTTTCAGTGTAGGCAGTTTAGATCCTTATTTAGTAAAGAGTTTTTCAACAAACATCAGAAAGTGTATATTTAAATAAAATGTGTAACTTTCAAAGAGGTAGCATTGAGAAACAGCATATGTTTCTATTGGGTTTGTATGTCTCCTTTGGAATTCTTTCCAAAGAGATTCACCCATAGAGGGACACCTCATTTTCAACCCAAATAAGCAATAATCAACTTAATAACTAGGTTCCATGTGACTTGGTCATCCTGACCTTCAACGCCCAAAACCAAATCCTTCCTGATAATGAAGGTTTGCTGCCATTATGATATAAAAATAAATGCAATTTATCATTGAACAGGCCTATTAAAACAACTGGCTTTATTTTCCTCAGATTTGCCTTCTCTTTGTTTAAGATGTCTGTCTGTCCTTAGGTACCAGAAACTGTGGAAGAGTTACGTGAAACTTCGCCACCTCCTCGCAAATAGTCCCAAAGTCAAACAAACAGACAAGCAGAAGCTGGCGCAAAGGGAGGTGGGTATTGAACCCTGTCCTTCTGTGATAAAGGATGATGTGCTTCAGGTTTATTCAAGATTGTTACATGGTGCTATACTTCTAGAATAAGATGGAAAATACTTTTTAAAAATCATACTTTAGCTCTGGCAGGTTTGGTTCAGTGGTTAGGGCGTTAGCCCATGGACCACAGAGTCAAGGTTCAATTCCGGTCAAGGGCACATACCTCGGTTGCGGTTCATCCCTGGCCCTGGTCCAGGTCACGCAGGACACAACCAGTTGATGTGTCTCTCTCATATCGATGTTTCTCTCTCTCTCTCTCTCTCTCTCTCTCTCTCTCTCTCTCTCTCTCTCCCTTCTTCCCACTTTATCTGAAGATAAATAGAAAAATATCCTCGGGTAAGGATTTTTTAAAAAGTCATACTTTACTCTCCTCCTCATATGAGTATGCTGATTGATTTTTGTTTCATCTTATTAGTGTGTAAGGAACCATTTTTCCTCCTAAAAAGGATAGTTTCTTAATGGATTGCTACCATTGGGAATAAATATATATTTTTCTAGAAATTAAAGTTTAAAACTTGCTGGATCAGTTTTTTATCGTAATTAGACTGCACATAATACAACTTTGGGTCTTATACAAATTCTTTAGTCTTAAGGTTGTAGAAGAGTGTCTTCTAGATGTCTGTCGGTTTTAGCAGGGGAAACTTATTTTGTAAGGTTTTATATTCTAAATTTCACATTTCTTTACTAATGGGTAGTATTATCCCTATATTCCAGGATCGTTTTAGTTATCATTTTAAGAGTAAATGGATTCGGTATCAAAATAGATTTGGTCTCAGTAAGCTTTTATTCTGCTTGGTGGTGTGATAGCCAGGCTTTGACCCTGGGAAAAGTGTTTGAATTCTGGCTTTGCCACTTGCTGTGACTTGAGCCACTCGGCTTCCGTGTGAAGGAGGGAGGCAGGGCTGCTCTCTCAGCCCTGGTAGATTTGGTTCAGTTTTTTTTTTTTTTATCATCTAGTTACCCAAGGCTTTGAGCATTCTGGCCTTCATTTCAAATAAATTAATTGTAATTTGGCACAAAGAGGTTTGAGTATCAGAATGTAAGGGTGATATTGAATGAATCTAGTCTGACTGACAAGTCCCTCTGTTGGTGCCCCAGGGAAAAGGAGGTTGTGTGGACATCGGAAATGCTCCATTTCACTTTCCTCCGATCAGTGGTGGAGGTGGTAGTGGTGCTTCCTTTGTTATTATGAATTCCTGTGAGATTGTTATTGAATAAGGATACAAATATAAAATTATTTTTATGATTAATTATTTGAAGGGCAGTGAAAGGAAAGAGTCAGTTCATGATATATCTTGTGGAAGTTTTGGATTGTCTTTTTTTTTTTTAAATAAAATGCACCATTGTTATAAGAGTTTTTTTTAATGGGTTGGCAAATTTGAAATCAACTTTGAGAATTATGTGGGTTGCAGGCTAAAATACTGATTACCTTTCTAAGATGTAAATGCTTGATATAAAGCTTGATTAATTATAATTTTTACATGGTGATTTCAAAGCCCAAATAATACATTTTGCTTTATATGGTTTTTTTGTTTTGTTTTGTTTTGTTTTATCAGTGAAAGGGCATTTTTTATTTGAACTTGCTAGAATGGTAGATTTGGTTTAGCTTCTTTTTTTTTTTTTTCTTTAATCATCTAGTTACCCAAGGCTTTGAGCATTCTGGCTTTCATTTCAAATAAATTATTGTGATTCGGCACGAAGAGGTTTGAGTACCAGAATGTAAGGGTGATATTGAATGAATCTAGCTCGTTTTCTAGTGCTTGCTGTTTGGCTTAATATTGCTTTAGAACCGTCAGGTTACTCATCATAATGAGTTCTTTTCTAGGAAGCACTCCAAAAAATACGACAGAAGAATACAATGAGGCGAGAAGTAACGGTGGAGTTGAGTAGCCAAGGATTCTGGAAAACTGGCATTCGTTCTGATGTCTGTCAGGTAACAGTGCTTCTGAGAACACAGTCATCCCATAAACCTCTTCCTTTAAAAGTCTCCTGGCGCTGCAGTTCTCCTAACCCTGAGAAGTTTCTACAGAACATATTACCTTGTAGCCAAATGGGACACCAACCATAAATTGTTTTGTGTCCTTGGGTTTTTGTTTTTGTTGTCAGTTTTGGTATTGTCTTGTTTAACTGTGTGTTTGCACGCGCACGCACACACACGTGCAGTGGTAGGGTGGGGGGGCACTTAGTGATGCTAAACTCTGTCTCTGCGTGTTGAGTGAAGGCAAGTCTGCTCTTCCAGTGCACCTGCCTGTTTGCAGCCCGTGTTCAGGTGCTTATCCAGAGGGTACTCCAGCACCTCTGCAGGCTGGCTCCTTGACAGACCCATGTCTCACACTTACGTTGCAGAGAACTGAAGGCATTAATGAACAGAATCAGTATAAATTTCATATTTGTCCCAAATGGATAGTATTTTTCATTAGATGAACTCAATAGAGGAAGATGTCAGATATATATACTGACTCACTAATAAGTATTTTTGTTTTCCCTTGGGTAGAATTTATACCAGATCAGAGATCTCCAAAACACAGCATACTCTTTGACTCTTCACTTGATTTTTTTTGTTATGATTGATACTGGTTGTGCTCCAGGGGAATTACAGGAAAGGAAAATGACTACACAAGCTGGGGTCAGGTAATGTAATTAGCCGTGTTCAGCCTCTCGGAAGAACTCTTTCCAGGCTCCCACTTCTCTGTTTCGACGGTGGTGTATATTGTAATAAGTTTAGATACTCTTAGGCATTCATTTAATCATAATGAGTTTCTTTGTAATCAGTGTTGGCATTTAATTATTATATTGAACAGTGGGATTTAATCCAATAATTAAAGGTATTGCTGTGCAGTTCACTTGCCATGTGATGTCCAAAGCTAAACAGTTTTGTTTGAAAATGAACTGCTGATGCAGTTCTGCCATAGAGCTCGCGAACAGCCATCCACCGTGGTAGCCAGCTGCATCCTCCCAGTCCTCAGTTACTTTGCAATTGACCAGTTCATTTTTGTTTTACTCTAAGTATCTTCAGAAGTGATTATCTTACTCTGTCGATTCTTTCTGAGGGCTACCTGAGGCCAGTTTTCCTGCTTGCTAATGTTTCTCCAAATCCAGCATGACATCATCCTGAGGTAGACACCGTAAGAACAGTGAGTGGAATGTTAAACAGTCTGCCCAAAATCTGGTGATCAGTGACGAGTGGAATTGATTATTTTTTTATTTTTATTTTTTTATCCTCACCCGAGGATATTTTTCCATTTTTTGTACAGATAGAGTGGGAGGGAGAGAGAGGAAGAGAGAGAGAGAAACATCGACGTGAAGGGACACATCGAGTGGCTGCCACCCGCACGACCAACCAGGGCCGGGGACAAACTGCAACCGAAGTACGTGCCCTTAGCGGGAACCGAACCCGGGTCTCTGCGGACCGCAGGCCGACGCTCTAACCGCTGAGCCAAACTGGCCAGGGCTGGAATTGATTATTAACAAGGGTGGGGAACGTCCAGCCCCTGGGCTGGATCAGGCCAGTGAACTCAGCACCAGCTGGCATCACAGCCTCACCCCAGAGAAGCAGTTCCAGCCTTCACATTGGGGGTGAGCATATTAAATGTTTGACCAAATAGAGCAGGCTAATTTTTAAGTTGATAATTTTGTATCACCTGCAAATGATGTTATAAATATTCAAATGGCCCTTGGCAGAAAAAAAAGGTTCCCCATCCCGGTTTAAGAGATCCTAAAATTGTGGAGCATCAAGAACTGGAAAGGACCTTAGAGATCTTCTAATTCAGTGATTTTTAAACTTGAGTTTTTTGGTTAACCCTGAAATTTTTTTTTTTTTTTTTTAACAATACCCTGTAAGACCCTAATTTGTAAAAAGATTAAACAATAACTGTCTGATTGGTTGGTGGGTGATGGGTATGGAGGGATTGTCTTGTACTTGATTTCTTTCCCTCCCCAGGTAGCAGTCCTTAAGGCAGTTGTGTTGCACTGAACAACTTCTTAAAAAGTATTGAGTCCTTTTTCCCTTTCTCGTGGTAAAACAGGGCTGCTGAACGGTCTGTTGCACTGTGGTCTTGTGTTCTTCACCATGTCACAGATGTCTTGCTCTGGCTCCTCAGCTGGCTTAGGAGTAGCTGGAGGACTAGGTTGTCTTCTCTGCACATGTATGTAGTTTTCATTCTGTTTTGAGGTTGGTAGGCAGAAGCACTCAATTACTTTCTTCCACTAACTGGTCAGAAAATATGGAACTTACACAAGGATGAATATTTCCTGATCTGATAATAGTTCCTCCCTCTGTAGGACTCCCATTCTTCCGAGAGAACTGTTATCTGTTTAGAAGCCATGCTTACTTTCAGCCAGTGGCCACTGGTGCCAACTCAGTGCCAGCAGGAATCCCCAGTTTGGGGTGTGGTGAAGAAGGATACTTTATTCAGTGTAAAACAGCTCGACGGGTGATAGAGCACAGTGGCAATGGTGGGGAGGTGGGGGGTAGGGGCTGTGGACAGTTCAAGACAAAATAAACCACGGGCTTTGGTGAAATAGTTCCTTTTGCACCAAAATCAAATCATCCTGGAGACATTCTGTAGCTCTCGACCTTAGTGAACAGATGAAGTATCTGTTTATCTTGATATATTAAATATTATTTCACCATCAGTGAATGTTCCTGGAGTTGTGAAAGTAAACTGTTACCTACAATGAACTTAAAACATCAACATATAGAAATGCTACCTTGAGAGAATTTGGAGGTGTTACTTATCAACTCATTCATTATACAGGAGCAACCCAGTTCAAATTTAAATGCAAAAACCTAAAGTAAGGTAAAAATGACTTAGGGGAGAATGACCAGAGTAAATTAATGTAACTGACTTTTAGCTCAAAATGAGTGTTTTTACAATTAATATTTTTATGTTTATTTATACTCTTCATTGTCCCAGAATGGTTTGAAAGTGGTAATTCTTAAATACAAGAGCAGTTAAACAACTTACCTCTGCAAGTGATAAGCTGCACGGTGGAAACGAGTAAGTCCATTACTCTTGTCCGTGTCGGTCACTTGCATCTCTGATGCTTGTTCTCACTTAGCTTTCTGTTAGATTGTCCCCTTGTACCCACCCAGTGGATTGGACTCTGCAGACCCCGCTCCAGTTGTGGTCACCTTGCCAGTGAATGCATGTTGTTAGTTTTGGGGTTCTTTCACCCTCAGGGCCCTCTGAAGTCCTGCTACACCCCCTTGTCTTTTCTCTCTCACAGATGATGAGACCACACGGGTCTCTTTGTCCTCATGCACCCTCATTTAGGTGTCCATGGGGGTACTTTGTCATCTAGTTTTTATGTATATATTGTTCATAGGTCAATTTTGCTATTCTAGGTGATCTATTTTTATGGGAGAATTTGAATAGATTTAAAACTACACACTGCCATTTCCTCACAATCTTCCAGGGGAACTTTTTTTTTAAATGAAAGCAGTTGCCAGGCATGGGTTAAGGAGGTGGGGAGGGGGCAAAAAGATGCCCAGTGATTGTGTGCATCTCAACATTACAGAGATTGATAATTTTAAAAAGCTGAGCTAGAGGTTATAACAGTCTTGTAGAGAGTGTTGAGACTTGGTTGTTTGGGATACAAGATGGATGTGGGTCATACCTTTCCATGATACTCACAAGAAAAGACTCGTTTAGAAAGAAGCTGGCTCTATTTGGAGCAAGTTTAGAGGAAGTGGTGAAGGGACTCAGAGCAGGTTCACGTGGGTAAAGCTTCGAGGAAACGAGACTTAGGTTAGCCAAGAGAAGGTGTGGGGGCCATGCCATTCAGTGTGTGTTTTATCTTGTCTCCAGGGGTAGACCTAGGCTCCAAGGGATAAGAAGACAGATTTGGGCTTAACGTTGTGATAATTTTCTAGTAATCAGAGGACTCTAAAGAGGGTGTTATTTTCTTGACAGGTAATGATTCCTCTCTCACTGGAGGTATTAAAAAATAAACAATGCACCAGTCTGAATTCTTTAGAAAGATGGTTACACTGCATAGCCTTCATGACCTAGCCACCTGGAGTTTTTAGCATTAACTCCCTTGAGGTCTCTGCAATGTAAATGCCTTTAAAACCATATACTTTGGGTACATGCTTCCATATATTGTATTTTTTTTTTTTTTTTTTTTTTTTAATCCTCACCCGAGGACATTTTTCCATTTTTTGTTCAGGTAGAGTGGGAGGGAGAGAGAGGAACAGAGAGAGAGAGAGAAACATCGATGCGAAAGGAACACATCGAGTGGCTGCCACCCGCACAACCGGGGACAAACTGCAACCGAGGTACATGCCCTTAGCGGGAACCGAACCCGGGTCTCTCAGGACCGCAGGCCTACGCTCTAACCGCTGAGCCAAACCGGCCAGGGCCCATATATTGTATTTTTAAATACAGCACTTGTAAAAACAAAGTGGACAAATGCTGATAATTTATATCATAATGGTATTTTTCTGGGAATCGCTTGAGGGCAAAAAGAGTGTCTGCATCTTTTTCTCTTCCACAACTCTTGTACGTCTTGCACATGGAGGTGCTCAGTATGCATTTATTGAATTGAACTGGAAAGAAAGATATTCTATTGATTAGAGATCCTATTCAGGAGAAATAATCTTTCTTTATAAGTTAACTGATTTAACTTATCTCAGGAAACTGATTTCTATAGTTTCAAGCAAATCCATTTCCATGTATTTTTAAACAACGCCAGCTTAAAATACTTCAAAGACTAAAATGATAGAAAGTATGTGTCAGTCATTCTAAGGGCTATGCCCATCCTCCAGGTTTCAATGAATAAGAATGGCTCCTTTATTCTCTTCAGTTATAGGGAAATGGTATTAAAGAAAATAGAAAGATATGCCTTTCATGAAATTATCTCCTAATGAGGAATCTATAACCAAATGAAAATTGATTGAAACAAAAAATAAAAGTTCCATGTTCTCAGGTGCCTTAACTATATTGGTGGTTTTATAAAAGTTGTCCTTGGAATGTTAGATCATTAACTGTTAAACCTGTAACAGCCTTTGAAGATCATCTGGTTGAGAAGGTCTGAGCTAAAGGATAGTGATGAGGCCCAGGGGTTTGTGAACCCATTAAGATGGCAACTTCTGCATGCTTGTGCACAGGGGCATTTTGGGGGGGAAAGAATTGTTTTCCTTAGATTCTCAAAAGTGTCTTCACCATGACAAAGTTCTAGAATTGATGAGTTCTAATTCATTCCCTGATAATTAAAGGAAGACAAGGAGACACAGAAATTCTTCTTCTTTTTTTAAATTAATTACTTTATTTTTGTTACAGATCTTTCTCCTTTTCCCCCCACTGATTCTCCCCTTTCTCTCCCTCCCCGCCCTGTCCCCAGCTTTGTTGTTTATGTCCATTGTTCATGCATTCATGCATATACGTTCTGTGGTTTGTCTCTCCCCCACCATCCCCTCTTCTGGGCATTGTCAGTCTGTACCCCACTTCCATGTCTCTGGGACTGTGACCTCCTTGAGGTTACCTCTCTGAGTACTGATGAAACCAGGGCTAGTCCTACTTAAATGAGGGTTAATGGGCCTTGTTGTAAGCAGGTTTTGTTTTTGTATTTGCTTACTTAACCCTTTAACTGTCCTTGAAAGTAGTTCTAATGATTTCCACCATTTTACAGGTGAGAAAATTGAGGCCGGGAACTAAAATAACTCCCCTCACGTCCCACAGTGAATGAGAGACAGAGCAGGATTTGGAGCCAGGCATTGTGGTTCCAGAGAATATACCCTGAACAACTAAGGTCCACCAACCTTTATAGATGATTCTCCAGGATGCCATGCAGCCAGTAAATTCTTTCAAGACACTGTGACATGGAATTTGGGATGTGAAAATGGTCATTGTTTGTTTCATTTTTAGAAGATTTTGTAGAGTTAAACACATTGAAATATTCTTTTTTTTAAGCACGCAATGATGCTACCTGTTTTGACCCATCATATTCGCTACCACCAATGCCTAATGCACCTGGACAAGTTGATAGGATATACTTTCCAAGATCGTTGTCTGTTACAGGTAAGAATTACTCTCCTATACACTCATATGATAATAAGATAGGAGTAATTCATCTTGCAGGTTTCAAATGGAGCATTGAGTTCTTTATTCTGGGAGGTGATGATATTTAGACACATAGCTCTCTCCTCTGTTCTGGTTGCCACTTTCAAACCCTCCACTCACCTTTTTTTTTTTTTTTTTTTTTTTTTTGAGGCTGTCCTAAAAGAAAAAAAAAACTAAGGCAAAAGTTTGCCTGTCAAACCTGAGTCCCTTCTTCGTTTTTCCTTCTTTATGGCTCTTCTTCTTGCCAGGTGTTGAGTATAATTCTCCTCTGAAAGATGTGGAAATGTAGATTTCTTTTTGGAAGAGGGCTTGTGCCAGAGCTCTGGAAATTTGACACTGGAGGAGATAAGGGAAAAGATCGGGGCTTAAAAATCACCTGGATAGAAGACCTCTTTTGTGTTTCATTTGGGATAATATAAAGATAGCACTTCTCTATTGGTTTTTCAAGATTGAACTTATTTCATTGAAATTTTAGCTGGCCATGACTCACCCAAGTCATCACTTAAATTTTGGAATGAATCCTGATCATGCCAGGAATTCTTTGTCTAACTGTGGAATTCGGCAGCCCAAATATGGGGATAGGAAAGTTCATCACATGCACATGCGGAAGAAAGGTATGTTTGGATCCTGCTCTCATGTTTTGGCCTGTGTTCTCGGGTGTACATTAATCTCCACCAGGGAAGTTTCCCTGCTGACTGCTTCCTCCTCTCATTCTCTAGTGCTTCTTGGCCCATACATAATGACATTCACTTTGAGCAGAGTATTGTAATAAGGGCGGATGAGTTTTTTAGAAAAATTTCTTTCTCCTGTCAAGTGTTTTAAGTAGCTAAGTTGATTGAACTTGTGTACATGCACATATCAAACTTTTAAAGTCATTTTGGGATGAGCTTGATCTCTTTTTTCATGTCATACCATGGCCCTAGAATGCTTCTAATGTATTTACTTGTGTATTTCTTTCTAAAATAGGAATTAACACCTTAATAAATATTATGTCACGCCTTGGCCAAGATGACCCAACTCCCTCAAGGTAAAGTAGACTTTTTTTTATAACAGCTTTATTGCGATATAATTCACATACCATATAATTCACCCATGTAAAGTATACAATTCAGTAGTTTTTAGTATGTTCACAGTATTGTGAAACCATGATCACCACCTGATTTAGAAACATTTCATCACCCTCAAAAGACACCTTATACCTATTAATAGTTATACTGCCCATTTCCCTCAGCCTGTTCAGCCCGAGGCAAGTACTACTTTCAATCTTTATGGATTTGCCTATTCTGGACATTTTTATTGTTGTTAATCCTCATTTGAGGATATTTTTTCATTGATTTTTAGAGAGAGTGGAAGGGAGGGAGGGGGAGAGAGAGAGAGAGAGAGAGAGAGAGAGAGAGAGAGAATAATTGATGTGAGAGAGACACATCAGTTGTTTGCCTCCTGCCCAACCCGACCACGGTGGGGGATTGAACCTGCAACCCAGGTATGTGCCCTTGACTGGAATCAAATTCATGACCCTTTGGTCCACAGGCTGATGCTCTAACAACTGAGCCAAACCGGCCAGGGCTATTCTGGACTTTTTGTATCAGTGGCATTATATTTTATGTTGTGATCCTTTGTGACTGGCTTATTTTATGTTATAGTATGTATTAGTACTTCATTTCTTTTTAATATTCCATGGTGTATGGTTATATTTTATTTAGTCATATATCATTTGATGGGCATTTGAGTTTCTATTTTTCAGTTATCGTGGATGATGTTGCTATGAATATTTGTATAGATTTTTGTGTGGAGATATATATATATATATTTTTTAATCCTCACTCAATGTGAGAGAGAAACAACGATCAGTTGCCTCCTATATGCTCCCTGACTGGGGATTGAACCCGAAACCTTGGTGTGTACCCTGACCAAGAAGTGAACCTGCCACCTTTTGGTGTATAGGACGATGCTTCAACCAACTGAGCTGCACTGGCTGGGGCTGGACATATGTTTTTATTTTTCTTGGTTTTATATCTAGGAGTGGAATTGTTGGGTCATATGGTAACTTTCTTTAACCTTTTAAGAAACTGCCAGACTGTTTTCCAGAATGGGTATACCATTCATATTTCCAGCAGCAGTACACCAGGGTTCTGAATTTTTCACATCTTTCTCAATACTTGTTATTTTCTCTTTTTTATTCTAGCCATCCTGTTGCATAAGAAATGTTGTCTCAGTATGGTTTTGTTTGAATTTCCCTGATGGCTAATGATGTTGAGCATCTTTTTCATGAGCTTATTGGCCATTTGTATTATCTTGTCTGGAGAAATATTTGTTCAGATCCTTTCCCCATTTTTAATTAGGTTATTTTTTATTATTGCATTATAATCATTTTTATATATTCTAGATACAAGTCCCTTATGAGAGACATGATTTTCAAAAATGTTTTCTCACTCCGTGCATTTTCACTTTCTTGATAATGTCCTTTAAAGCACAAAAGTCCAATTTACTATTTCTTTTGTTGTTTGTGCTTTTGATGTTATGTCTAAACAATTTTGCCTAAAGTCATAGTGGAGATTTTAGTAGGGATTGTGTTGAATCTGTAGATCAATTTGGGAACAATTACCTTCCTAATATTAAATCTTCTGATCCTTGAACATTGGGTATCTTATTATATGTTTGTCTTTTTAAATTTCTTTCAAAAATGTTTTAGTTTTCAAAGTGCACATTTTGCATATCTTTTGCTGAATTTATTCCTAGATATTTTATTCTTTTTGTTGCTGTTATAAGTGTAATTGTTTTCTTAAGTTCATTTTCAGATTGTTCATTGCAGGTGTATACAATTGATTTTTGTATATTGATCTTGTATCCTGCAACTTTGGTGAGCTCATTTGTTAGCTCTAATTGGTTTTTAGTGTATTCCTTAGGATATTTAATATATATCATCATATCACCTGCAAATAGAGATAATTTTACTTTTCTTTCAGTCTGGATGCCTTTTTTATTTACTTAACCGTGTTGCTCTGGCTAGAGCCTCTATTACAACATTAAATAGAGGTGGTGAGAACAGATACTTGTCTTTTTCCTAATCTTAAAGGGAAAGCATCCAGTCTTTCATCATTGAGTCTGATATTAGCTTTGTGTTTTTCTTAGATGCCTTTTATCAGATTGAAAAAGTTCCCTTCTATTCCAAGTTTACTTAATGTTTTTACTATGAAAGTGTGTTGAATTTTGTCAGATATTTTTTCTACATTTATTGGGATGATCATGTGGTATTTTTGTTTGTTTGTTTTTGTCATTCATTCTGTTTACATGGTGTCTTAGTATTTGCTTTTTGGGTATTAATCCAACTTTGCTTTCCTCGGGTACATCCCACTTAGTCATGGTGTATAGTCCTTTTTGTATGCTGTGAATTTAGTTTGTTAGTGTTGAGGAGTCTTGTGTCTATTTTCATAAGAGGTACAATTTTGTAGTTTTCATTTCCTGTGATGCTTTTGGCTAGTTTCACTGTTAGAATAATACTGGCCTTACATAATGGGTTGGAAAGTTTATATGTTAGCTTTCCTTATTTTATTTCCTGATTTTAAAAGATACTTTCATATTTTAATATTCTTATTTTGTGTGGCCTTGAGCCCCTGAAGAATCTGTGAAGTAAGTGGGCTAGACCTGTATAAACTTATTAACACCCCCGAAAATTAAATGAAAGCAGATGCCTAATTGCTGATAAGGTCAGGTTTAAATGATCTTTGTCTCATCTGCCCCACTACAGTTGTTGGAATGTAAATTATGTCTTCCACAGCATTTTCAAACCTCATGATTTATGTTTTCATTTGCTCTATTACAAAGGGATGGCTTACTTACTCCATGTCAAAAGGAATGATATCTGAGAACCTGTGTTCTTTCTGAATTTCCCATTTTTAAAGTGATGCCATTATCAGAGAATAAATAATTTCTTTTGTCCTTTGACTTCTGGCCATTGGTGCTTGTTTTAGAGTCGCTTGTCCAGTGTCTGATCTTTTTGCTGATACAGAGGTGACTGGAGCTTCTGTTCAGGAAGAGCCTCCTGGCCCCGTGGCCAGGCCTGCTGCTGCTCAGTGTTGCTCTCCAGCATTCCCCAGCTGGGCGCAGCCCTGGGAGCTGTGCTTGGGAGGCTTCAGACCAATGCCATTCAACAGACATTCATCCAGTTCCTTTTGAGTCCCAGGCAGTTGGTAGGTATTTTAGGTGATCCCACGGCAAGTAAGTCAGAGCTCCACTCACTAGGAGGCCTGCCTGCCTGGGGTGGGTAAGAGTGCTGTAGGCCATGAAGAACTTCGTGCCAGGGCTCTGCTCAGGGCTCCAGGGAAGGGCAAAGCAGAATGTCCGCACAAGACTGCTGTGGGCCTGAGGCGGCGCTGGCGGGTGACTGGGGACTGTAGGTCCGTTTTATACTGTGCAGTTGCATAATTGAGTTCACTTGAAACCATTTGCCCTCTCCTCGGTGTGTTTCTTATTTGCTATTATAAAATGGGATGCAGTAGTCTCTGCTTTTGGAAGTGTTTGTATATCTTTGAAGTAAACACCATCAGACTGCAAGTGTCCGTGGCTGTCCGCCCAAGCAAGCTTGCTCAAAATTAAGGGAAGAGAGGGCGGGTGAGCTAGTAAGTTGTTTGGGAAATCTGTGTCTGGCACTGGTGGCCATGGGAAGGTGATGATCAGGGTGAGCAGGGGAGAGGGCCGAGAGGAGGGGCTCTTGATGGACTTTTCCCCCTGAAACCACTCCTCCCACCCTGCTCACCCTGCAGTGCAGGTACTGACCAGCTCTGCCAGTTCCCCTTCGCTCTGCAGCCAGTCAGCTCGCTATTTCTGGAGCGTGATTCTAGTTCTTACTGGTAACCTGCGTGAAAGCTTTCTGTGACTGTCATCTTGTCACCTCAGTCGGGTGGAACCTCCCCACCTGGCAGTCCCAGAGTGTATGACTTGGCCCAGGCCACTGTCCCAGCACAGCCTTCTTTACTTGTGGCTGGCTGCACACCGGCGAGGCTGAGGCGCGTGCTGTGCTGTCAGGTGTGCTGGGCCCCTCCCCGAATCCGCAGTCAGGTGCTTACCTGAGGAGTGCCGGTCTCCCGTGACTCCTGCCCGCATCCCGCCGGCGCCTGCTTTATGGGGCCTATTCCAGGTCTCCCATGGATCATGTTTACGTGATGTGCTGATTTTCTTCTCTGTAAGCATTTTTGAAGATCTATGGTCTTACTCTATTTTTCTCTTTTTACATTTCCTTTCCCTTTGTGTCTTTCACAGAGCAGGGCCTCAGTAAATAAGTATTAAAGGAAAGAGTGCCAGTCATGATATTACTTTCCTCCCAGGTTATTTACCTGTTGGCTAGCAGTAGTAGGGCAGGGCGTAAAGAAGGTCACGGTCAGAGCCACCAGCAGAGGGTTAAAGGGCTGGTAAGACTTTACTTCATCTGGTTTGGGATCAGCTTGGATTTATAAAAAGTCACGAAAACTTAAAATTAATAGATAAAGTTCTGTCTGCCTATCAAAACTACAAAATAATTAACTTTTGTGACAGCATCATTGCAAGCAAATATACTACCCATAATTTTAAAAGTGTTACTGCTAAACCACATAAATTTCAGTTATATTTAACTCATGCAAATTGCAGTGAAATGTTACTACAGAAAGGGTCTCTGAAGGATTAGGCATTTGGTGACATTTAAGTAATCCATATATTATCAGGGAGACCTTTGGGAAAGAGAGGCCAGAAGACGGGTATGGGGAAACCGAGAGAGTCACACAGCCTTGGTTTGCTTGGTTTTGATTCGATTGGTAGAGTCATTGCTAGATAGAATGTATAAGAATCTTTTGGACCAACAGAGAGACATATATGGACTATTTATTAATGTCGGTGTGTTTAAGGAAATGATCATTGCAAAGTATATTTTAAATCAGTTATACACAAGTATTTTGCTGTAAAAACACAGTAACAATATGCATTGAATATATATGAATTCCACTGAGTGAATTTACTGACTTAAATGCTTCAAGTTAAATCCCAAATATGCTTAATCTGGGATCCATGGCTCCAGTGGGTCTCAGATCTAGTAGCCCTGTGACCTGACCTCCCCCGAGTGTTCAGGTAGAAAGATGTAATGAGTAGAAGGGACTCCTGAGACGGGTGGAAGGTTCAGCTGAGCTCCAAGCCCTTCTAGCGCTCCTTCACCAGTCATGCCTGGGGCTAGAAGGCAGAGTGAGGGCATGTTGTTCGTACTCTCACTTGAGCAGTTACCCTCGGTCTTTGCCCAAACCCAAGATGCTTTTCCATGAAGTAAAGGACATCTTACAGGAATTACTGTTACAGGGAGACTGTTGTGTTTCATAAAGTGCTTTGAATTCCTCAGACCAAATGTAATGTATAAATGTTACACTTAATCTTAATTTCATAATGCCTCTGTTGGTTCAGTTCTTAAAAACAAGTGGAGTGGTTACTGCTCAGTAAACATCTCATCTTGGAGCTTGCTGGTATTTATAATGGGGATGATTAAGAAAGAATAAACAATGGGAGAAGGAACAACAGATTTGCTACTGTTTTAGATTTTTTTAAAAATTGATTTGAGAGAGAGGAAGGGAGAGCAGAGAGAGAGAGAAACATCCATGTGAGAGAGATACATTGATTGGTTGACTTCCACATATGCCCCAACCTGGGAACTGAACCTGCAACCTGGGTTTGTGCCCTGGCCAGAAATCAAGCCCACCACCTTTTGGTACACAGGATGACACTCCAACCAACTGGCTAGGGCTTGCTACTGTTTTAGGGCCTAATGCCTGTTTTCTTCATTTCCTTTGCTTGTTTTTTTTTTTTTTTTAAGTAAACTTTTAGATTATGAATTCTTCACCATAGCCATGCATTTTTTTAAACTTCCCTTATTGGCCTGCTAGAATGCCTTTTTCATATAAATAAAGGCCATACATTGAAATGAGGGGTCAGAAATCACTTTGTTGCTCAAATATTTGCAGTTTTCTCCTACATTTGTGTTTGTTTGAAAATTTCAAAATGTGGAGGATTGGTAGGGTAGAAGAATAAACTTTCTAATGAGCTATGTGAAATAATACACATTTGAACTCAAAATGCCAAGTAGGTGATTTGGCAGCCAAGAATCGTTTAATTTACAATACTTTTAAAATTTTTTACATGTACTGAAACTGTAGGGAGGTTTTAAATGTGGAACTAAACTGGTACATGTGAAACAGACAACAACAAAAGATAGTGTGTGATCTCGTCGCACCTTGGGTGATAAATGTGGGGAGGGAGGTGTGGGTGAACTCCGGGAATTAGGGCAGGCCCCCCAGCTGACCTTAGCATGAGCAGGATTTAGGAGAGGTCACAGGCAAGGGGCTGGGGGTGCGTGTCTGGTACAGTGCCCAAGGAAGTCCTGAATTGCTGTTGAAAGCAGATAAAAATTTGGGTAGGATGGCATGAGATAAAGAATGGCCTGGAAAGGCAGACACGTTTAGACTTGAGAGCCAGCTGTTGAGTTTTTTAAGACGCTGTGGGTCGGTGTCAGAGGTCTTTCAGGAGTCAGGGAGGCCTGTTGTCATTCTTTCCGCTTCCTCGTGGTGGGAAGCCCACACCCCGTATTCCTCTCCGCATCGAGTCCTGAAACAGCACTCAGACTCTTCTCTTCTATAGCTTTAGACAACCCCTGAGTAGTCAGGTTTGTGCCTGCCACTTGCAGAGGTTCCCGTCAGGGCCCAGCTGTTCCTTCTCACCTACTGTCTTTCTTTCTTGACACCTGTTCCTCTCCTTGGCTAGAGGATGACACTGGCCTCCTCCTCTCACCTGCCTGGCCAGTCCTTCTTCCTTGCTGATTTCCCTTCTGCTGACCTCAATCATGACCTCCTCGGGCTCCGTCCGGGGACCCCTTTTCTCCAGCTGCATTCTCTTCCCTCAGTGTCATCCATTTTCATTGCCTGAAACCCCGTCTGAACCGACCACGCGTAGAGATTTATCACCAGTACCAGTATATCTCTTCATTGGGTGTTTTATGGACATTTTGAGTTAATACGTCTAAAATGCAGTGATTGCCTCTCCTCAGACCTGTTGCACTTTTGGTCTTCCTCTTGTAGTAAATGGTACCTGTTTTCGCCCAGCTGCCGAAGCCAAAATCTAGGCATTGACCTTTATTCTTGTCTTTTGCTCAGCTTCCAGCTCGTAACTCTTACAGATCAGAGAGAAGTTAGCATTTTGCTGGACCTTGAGGGATGAGTAGGCTTTTGTGTGGCTCCTTGACAGGCAGAGCGGAAGGCTCTAGGGCGGCAGAGCTGGCCTGAACAGGCCCGAGTGTGTGGGGATGCCCTTTTCAGGGGGTACTAGGCAGTTTTGAAGTAGGAGCCTGGCATATAGGTGGGAGGGTACAGCATTATGGGGCTGAAGTGGTAACGTAGGCTGGAGTTGGGGCAATGGGAAGCTGTCCTTAGAACACTGTTCCCCAGCTGAGTTTTCCGTGTTCAGTTCGAACTCTCGCTAGAATACATTCTCCTTTCTCTTGTCTACCTGACAGCAGTATAGGAAGACTCACAGTTGTTGGGGTGCTGTCTGCTCACTTAAAATCTGGTTCCCAGGGGAAGGAAGCCCCTGGGTTGGAGAGTCTGAACCCCATGGTATGAGGGAATGTCCCCCACTGGCCCATTAGGCTAAGATGGTGGTCAGTGCTCTTGATCAAGAGGTACAAGGTAGAGTGTTTTCATTATTAAAAGATCTAACCTTCCTTTGAGGAGAGAGGGAGTGAATGTAAATCAGTGCTATTTTAAGTGATGTTACATTTTTCCTATAGGATTAATCACAATGAACGGCTGGAGTTCCTGGGTGATGCTGTCGTTGAATTTCTGACCAGGTAAGGAGGCTTTTCTACTCTTCCCCATTAATGCATCTTACAGATAACACACTGAATACATTTCCTTCTTTGTGATTAACCAAACAAGCCATTGAAACGGCTTGTGTTTTGTCCTTGCTGTGGAGCCGGGAAACCACATGTCTCTGGCTCTTGCCCTGATGACTTGCACTTGCTGGTGCTGTAGTGAGCAAGGTCACAGGATGAAAGGCTGGTGTCTCTGTCCTGTCAAGTTCATGTTCAAGTTGCTGCAGCCACAAGAGATCAGCTTGCCTTGGTCTAGATGCTTCAGAGCTTATATTCAATTTGTAAAGAAAGGGATGATATTTTAAAATGTCATTTCATTTTCTAGGATTTGTCTTTGATCCTTTCTCACTCTTTCTGATCTCAGGGGAAGTAAAGCTTACAAGTAATTTTAATGTCGAGATTTTGGTGTGTGTGTGTTTTTCCCCCAGAAGTGATTTAGGGCCCTTGATTTGGAGAAGGGGTAGGAAAGTGTGTTTTGTTTTTTCATACGCACATGATTTCTCTCTTATTTTATTTTATGTATTTATTTTTATTAATTTATTTCTGTTACAGATATTTCTCCTTTTTTCCCCATTGACACCCTCTTCCTGATCCCCTCGCCCCTTCCTCCCCAGCATCGTTATCTATGTCTATTGGTTACACATACATGTATACAAGTTCTTTGGTTTATTCCGCACCCCCCCACACCATCCCCCTCTTGTGAGGTTTGTCAGTCTGTACCCTACTTCTATGTCTCTGGGTCTATTTTGTTCATCAGCTTATTTTGTTCATTATATTTCCACAAATAAGTGAGCTCATGTGATAATTGTCTTTCTCTGATTAGTTTATTTTGCTTAGCATAATACTCTATAGGCCCCTCCATGTAGTCTCAAAGGACAAGAGATCTTTCTTTCTTACAGCTGCATAGTACTCTATTGTGTATATGTACCACAGCTTTTTTATCTACACATCTATTGATGGACACTTGGGCTGTTTCCAGATATTGCCAATTGTAAATAGTGCTGCTATGAACATAGGAGTACATATATTCTTTCTGATTGGTGTTTCAGGCTTCTTAGGATATATTCCTAGAAGTGGAATCACTGGGTCAAATGGCAATTTAATTTTTAATTTTTTGAGGAAGCATTATACTGGCTGCACCAGTCTGCATTACCAACAGTATTCCAGAGTCCCCTTTTCTCCACACCCTTGCCAGCACTTGTTTGCTGATTTGTTGATGGCAGCCATTCTGATAGGTGTGAGGTGATACCTCATAGTCGTTCTAATTTGCATCTCTCTGATGATTAGTGATGTTGAGCATTTTTTCATGTCTCTTGGACATTTGTATGTCCTGTTTGGAGAGGTGTTTATTTAGGTCCTCTGTCCATTTTTCAGTTGGATTTTGTCTTCCTTTTGTTGAGTTGTATGAGTATTCTATATATTATGAAAATTAACCCCTTATCTGATGTATTGTTGGCAATTATGCTTTCTTATACAGTGGGTTCCCTTTCCATTTTGATGCTTTTTTTGATGTACAGAAGCTTTTTAGTTTGATGTAGTCCCATGTATTAATTTTTTTCTTTATTTCTCTTGCCTTAGGAGTTGTATCAGTGAAAATTCTGCTGTATGTGATGTCTGAAATTTTGTTGCCTACATTTTCTTCTAGGATTTTTATGGATTCACAGGTCACATTTAAGTCTTTTATCCATTTTGAGTTTATTCTTGTGTATGGTATAAGTTGGTGGTCTAGCTTCGTTTTTTTGTAAGTAGCTGTCCAATTTTCCTAGTACCACTTACTAAAGAGGCTGGCTTTACTCCATTGTATGCTGTTGCCACCTTTGTCAAATATTAATTGAGCACAATGTCTTAGGTCAGTTTATGGGTTCTGTCTTCTATTCCATTGATCTATATACCTGTTCTTGTGCCAGTACCAAGCTGTTTTGATTACAGTGGCTTTGTAGTATAACCTGGTATCCGGTATTGTGATCCCTCCTACTTTGTTCTCTTTCAAGATTGCTGTGGCTATTCGAGGTCTTTTTTGGTTCCATATAAACTTTTAGAGTATTTGGTTTAGTTCTTTGAAATATGTTATTGGTATTTCAATGGGGATTACATTGACTTTATAGATTGCTTTGGGTAGTATGGACATTTTAATGATGTTAATTCTTCTAATCCATGAACAAGGTATATGCTTCCACTTTTTTATATCTTCCTCTGTTTCTTTTTTCATTGTCTTGTAGTTTTCTGAGAATAGTTACTTTACTTCTTTGGTTAAGTTTATTCCTAAGTATCCTAGTTTTTTGCTGTAATGGTAAATGGGATTGCTTTTTTAGTTTCTCTTTCTGTGTGAGTTCCTTATTGGTGTATAAGAATACTGTCAATTTCTTGATGTTAATTTTGTATCCTGCTACTTTGCCAAATTAATTTATTAGCTCTAGTAGATTTTTTATGGAGTCTTAAGGGTTTTCTATGTATAATATCATGACAACTGCAAATAATGACTGTTTCACTTTCTCCTTTCCAATTTGGATCCCTTTTATTTTTTCTTCATGTCTAATTTCTATGGCTAAGACATCCAGAACTATGTAAAATAAGAGTGGCGAAAGTGGGCACATCCCTGTCTTGTTCCTAGTTTTAAGGAAAATGCTTTTAGTTTTTGCCCATTGAGTATGATATTGGCTGTAGGTTTTTCATATATGGCCTTTATTATGTCAAGATTTGATTCCTCTATTCCCACATTGCTGAGCGTTTTTATCAGAAATGGGTGCTGGATTTCGTTGAATGCTTTGTCCACATCTATTGATATGATCATATGGTTTTTATCTTTCATTTTGTTTATGTGGTGTATCACATTTATTGATTTGCAAATATTGTACCAGCCTTGCATCCCTGGGATGAATCCCACTTGGTCACGGTGAATAATTTTTTTGATGTGTCACTGGCTCTGATTTACTAACATTTTGTTAAGGCTTTTGGCATCTATGTTACTCAGGGATGTTGGCCTGTATTTTTCTTTCTTTGTAGTGTCTTTATCTGGTTTTGGAATTAGAAGTATGTTGGCCTCATAAAATGAGTTTGGAAGGCTCTCTTCCTGGATTTTTTGGAATAGTTTGAGGAGAAGGGATGTTAGATCTTCTTTGAATGTTTGGTAAAACTTTCCCTTGAAGTCATCGGGCCTGGGCTTTTGTTTGCTGAAAGTTTCTTGATTACATCTTTAATTTCCTTAGTTGTTATTGGTCTGTTTGAGTTTTCTATCTCTTCCCGGTTCAGTTTAGGAAGATTGTGTGATTCCAGAAATTGTCTGTTTCACCTAGGTTGTCCAATTTGTTGGTGTATAATTGTTCATAGTATTTTGTAACAATCCTTTGTATTTCTGTGGTGTCAGTTATTCCTTTCCTTCTCTTCTTTCATTTCTGATTTTGTTTATTTGAGTTCTCTCTTTTTGTTTCTTGGTGATTCCGGCTAAGGGTCCATCAATCTTGTTTATGTTTTCAAAGAGCCAGCTCTTTGTTTCATTGATTCTTTGAATTGTTTTTTGTTTTTTAGTTTCTATGTCATTTATTCTGCTCTGACCTTTACTTTGTGTTTCCTTCTACTTTCTCTGGGTTTTTCTTTTTGTTTATTTTCTAGTTCTTTAAGTTGTAGGGTTAGAAAGTGAATTAGAAATTTTTCTTGTTTCTTTAGGTAGGCCTGTAGTGCTATGAACTTCCCTCTTAGGACTACTTTGGCTGCGTTTCATAGATTTTGTGTTGTTGTGTGTTCATTTTTATTAATTTCCAGGATGTTTTTAATTTCTTCCTTGATCTCCTTGGTAACTCATTCATTGTTTAATAACATGCTATTTAGCCTCCATGTGTTTGAATATTTTTGCTGTAATTAATTTTTAGTTTCATGCCATTGTGATCTGAGAAGATGCTTGATATGATTTCACTCTTCTTAAACTTGTAGAGACTTAGTTTGTGTTCTCACATGTGGTCTATCTTTGAGAATGTCCCATGTGCACTTGAAAAGAATGTGAATTGTAAAGTTTTGGGGTGTAATTCTCTGTAGATATCTATTAAATCCATTTGATCCAGTGCTTCATTTAGAGTCCCTGTTTCCTTGCTCATGTTTTGTCTAGAGGATCTATCCAGTAATGTCAGCAGGGTGTTGAAGTCCCCTGCTATGATTGTATTGCTGTCAGTTTCTCCTCTGAAGTCCTCCAGAGTTTTTTAATGTATTTTGGTGCTCCTGTGTTGGGTACATGTATGTTTACCAAGGTTATATCTTCCTGTTGGATAGATCCTTTCAATATTTGGTAGTGGCCTTCTTTGTCTCTAGTTGTGGCATTCATTTTGAAGTCTATTTTATGAGTATTGCTACTCCAGCTTTTTATTTGCTTGGAAAATTTTTTTCTATCCCTTCACTTTCAGCCTATGTGAGTCTTTTGTTGTGAGGTGGGTCTCTTGTAAACAACATATATATGAGTCATTTTTTCTTATCCATTCAGCTACTCTGTGTCTTTTGATTGGAGCGTTCAATCCATTTACATTTAAGGTGATCATTGATATGTACTTATTTATTGCCATTTTTGTTTATTATGGTTATGTTTCTCTTCCTACTTTTTCTGCTTGTTACAGCAGTCCTTTTAACATTTCTTGCAGTGTTGGTTTGGTGCTAATATATTTCCTTAGTCTTTCTTTATCTGGGAAGCTCTTTATTTCACCTTTTGTTTTGAATGATAGCCTTGCTGGATAAAGTAGTCTTGGGTTCAGATCCTTGTTTTTTATTACCTCGAATACTTCATGCCATTCCCTTCTGGCCTGTAGTGTTTCAGTTGAGAAGTCAGCAGATAGCTTTATGGGTGTTCCTTTGTAGGTGACCTGTTGCTTATGTCTTGCTGTCTTTAAGATTCTCTCTGTCTTTAATCTCTGGCATTTTAATTAAATGTGTCTTGGTGTGGGCTTCTTTGGGTTCTTCTTACTTGGGGCACTCTATGCTTCTTGAACTGGTATGCCCTTTTTCTTTCACCAAGTTAGGGAAGTTTTCTGTTACTATTTCTTCAAATATGTTCTCTAATCCTTGCTCATTTTCTTCTTCTGGCACTCCTATGATGCAGATGTTGTTACATTTCATTTTGTCCCACATTTTTCTTGGGCTATCTTCCTGTTTTATAATTGTTTTTTCTTTTTGGTTCTCTGATTGGGTGATTTTTTTCTACCCTGTCTTCTAATTCACTGATCTGATCCGTGGCCTCTTCTATTCTGCTTGTTATCCCTTCCAATGTGTTGTTTATTTGTGCTATATCATTCGTAATTTTCAATTGGTTGGTTTTCAGTGTTTCTATATCTTTTCTCATGCGGTTGAGCTCTTTACTCATGCTGTTGAGCTCTTTATTTATGCTGTTGAGCTTCCTCATAATTATTTCTCTGAACTCTACCTCTGCTATCTTGCTTAGTTCCATTTCATTTATCTCTTCCGTAGAATTCTTTTGTTCTTTCATTTGGAATTTGTTTCATTGTTTCACCATTTTTGCTGTCTCAGTGTATTTTGAAGCCTGCCAAATTTTCCCTGTGGATGTTGGTGTTCCGCTGGTTGTGGCCCCCTCTACTGAGTTTGGATGAGTGTGGGAGGACCCACATTAAACACCACTGTCAAGTCTTACTTTCCTGGGTAGATTTGCATGCAAGGAAATGTTCAGTTATCTTCTAGCGTTTGCCCAGGTGCTATTAGTCTCATTTACTTGCTGAGCCTGAATTTGTAGCCCTCAACTGAATGAAAAATGCCTCAGATGTAAGAGGATTTTCTTCGGGTGAGGCACTTGCTTGCTGTCAGACTCCATATGTTAATGAGCCTCAGTTTGCATTTCTCTGGCTTGACCTGGTGGTGTTGAATTCTTGAGGCAGGGGCCATTGCTTTTCCCTGGGGCTCTGGGAAGGGGTTCTTTGAGTAACATAGCTACTATCCTATGAGGGAGTGATTCAGCACAAAACTCCCGGTGTCCTCCCCTCTAGCTCTCTCCTCAGTCAGGAGCCCTGGACTCTCTCCACTTAGTTCCAGTCCAGTTCACCCTCCTTCTGCTGGAGCCCAAGGTGAGTAGTTGTAGATTATTTGGTGCTTTTTAAAACTCCTGCTTTCTCAGCAGGGACTACTCACATCTAAAATAGTCCTCTGCTGCTGTCATGGGCTTCCAGTCTGCCCTCTCGCACCACAGTTGCTACCAGGCTTGGTTTGGCATCCTCTTTCTGTCCCTGGTTATACAGGTTCTCTCCAACTGCTTTCTAGTTTTTTTTTTCCCGATGATTTGTCTTTATTTTAATTGTAATTCTAGTTTGGTTCTGGGAGACAGTCTGTGTAGCTTCCATTTACTCCACTGCCATTTTTCCTCTCCCCATGATTTCCTTTTAAAGGGAGATAACATGTGCTTTTCTTGGAACTGTCTTGAGCTATTTTTATTCTTTTTAGGTCATTTATTTTCCCAAGAAGGACATACTGAGCCAAAGGGGCTGCTCTCTGAGCCTGCTTTCACCAGACACAATAGACTAAACAAGCTTAGTGGATCTAAAACCTGGTATGAGATTAGGGAGACATCAGTTGCTGTTGTGGCCCAAACTGGTGTTCCGTGTGGCCTTCTTCCCAGCCTGCACTTCCCCAATCAGCCCCTTTAGACTTGTTCTTACAGCACAGCCAGCCGGGGTGCCACTCTCAGGTCCATTCCTGTCCCTGTTCGTCCTTGTGAATAATGTGCCTCCACTGCTGCCCTGCTTGAGGCTCCCCAGGCTTTCCTTTGGGGGCCGCTGAAAGCCACCCTGAGAAAAGTTTTTGTCTCCAGGCCCAGTTGTGAGGGTCAGATAGGTTTGCTCATAAGCCGTGTGTGACATTGTTTAGGTCTTTGTTGGCATCAGATTTCAGAGGAACCTTTTGACAGAAATAAATGTGGAAGTATTTGTGAATGGTGCCTTTTGGGTGCTTCCTATTTAACTTTCAAAGACTTCCTGTCAAACACTTCAGTTTCGTTCAATGCAGCTGCTGTCTCCTGCGCAGATCCTTTGCCTGGCCTGTTTTTGTTACTCAGAGCCACACACAAAATGTTGTGATGCATATTTATTTATGTGCTTTTTTTTATTTATGTGCTTTTTTTTTTTTTTTTTTTTTTTTTTGCAGTGTCCATTTGTACTACTTGTTTCCTAGTCTGGAAGAAGGAGGGTTAGCAACTTATCGGACTGCCATTGTTCAAAATCAACACCTCGCCATGCTAGCAAAGGTATCTCAGTCATCTGCACACTGGAGTGAAGTCTTGCGTTCTCTCTTCTGTCCCTGCATAATTTTGCATTTGAATAAGAACCTCTTTAGTGTGTATTAAGGGTTTAATATTTTATAGACCAGGAAGGAGTTTTTTGTTTGGGTTTTAAGGTTTCAGCCTTATTAGTTCAGTTACCTTTGTGAGTTTCAGCAGCAGTTAATGAACTCCACAGTGAGGTAACTTGATAACAGAAGGGGAAGAATTAGACAGATGTGCAGGAACAGAGTTAAACATTTGGGGAAAAGGAACATGAGAACAGAGAAAAATGTTAATTATTTTTTGTGATTTTCCTTTGTGTAATATTTTTGTATTACATTTGTTTTTAATTTATTTTAACAAGCAGAATTATAGCTTTGAATAGAATACTCTAGGCCATTTATATCCATAGGAGATACTTTACAGATCTTTGAGAATCCCCCCAAATTACAAATCTCATTGATTAAGATTTAGGCTGTCCAGCTAGCCACCTCCACTGACCTGAATGATTCAAAACCTTTTCTCTATTTAGAATCATGGTTGACCTATTACTTCGTTATCTCATTTGATGTTTCTGTCTCTGTGTGGTCTCATTGTAGTAAATCATAACAGACAGATCACGGGCACTTCATTTGCCCTAAGATTGCAGTCCGCGCCTCTCCTCTGACAGACTGGGGGCCACGGCATATTCTCATCTGCACAATGGAGACGGCATTAGCACCTGCCGCACAGAGTAGCTGTGAGAACTACATGACATTATCATTTGAGTTTTAATGATTCCGTTTATAAAGGGCTTGGCACAATGCCTGTTCATCATAGTAATCACCCAAACATGTAAATGAAATAGAAGGAGTTACATGTTTTTATTGCTGGTACCACTATTCTAATTATAAATCTTTACATTTTATACACCTGTGGACTTATTCAATTGGGGGGGGGGGGGCTGTTGCTCTTAAATCCCAAACACTGATGATCCACTGAGAAAGCTTTTGTGAGGTTTCCTTGATTTCCGCCTTAAGTCATTATTATTGTTTTCTTTATTTTGATGTAAGCATTGGAATTTGATAGAAATGACTACATAAAACCCATTCTTGTTTTATGACTGACTTCTTAATTTGATCTTGCCAAGGCGTTAATTACATTCAAAGTGTGGTTAATTCCATCCCGCGGTGTTGGTGTTAGCAAGAGTGCGCTGTGTACTTTCTGTAGCAGCATCCTCTTCTCCCCACAGCAGAGTCTTTGACCCAGTTTCAGTGGCATTTGAGAGTGGAAGTAACGATGCCTCAGTGAAAAACTAGGCAACAGTATGCTAACTTGGTTTTAGCAGCCTCACAATGACTAGAATTCCACACACGAAGTAAAACATCTTCAGTGTTCAGTTGGTTAAACTGTCGGGCTGCTTCCTGGTAGGCCACTAATATATGCCCACTGGAAATATAAGTTAATGAATAGATTGTCACCCCTCCATTTTTCTCTCTAGTTTCAGATATAATGGAATTGCATAATTATTTTTCAAACAATTTTAGGGGAGCTGTTTACAAAGTATGGGAAATTACCGTAGCGTGAGAACAGAAGCTGTGGTCTGACACGTGGGTGCTTCACAAAGCCATGAGTCCTGAGGGGTGGCCAGTTTCTCCCTCAGGGTTTCTTGTGACCTCCCCCACACCCGTGTCCAGCGTTCCTGTAGCCCTCAGCTGCTGCCTGCTCCAGCTGGAGGCCTGGGGTCTCGCTCTTCTGTCCAGCCCGCTGGTTCCTGACCATTTGGGAGGGGGGCTTGATGGAGGATGGCTGTCCCCTCCGAGAATTTAGTGAAAGCTGAAAGTCAGCTCTGCAGACAAATGAACCTTTAACACATGCACAACTGAACATTGCTCCTTTCTAAGAGTTTACTAATGCCTACATAAAGGAAGAAGGATACAGAGCAGGGATTATGAGAAGTTGGGAAATGGAGAGTATTCGAGAAAAGTTATTTATAATATAAAATATGGTTGCAGTCTGTTCTCAAGCAGGGCTCCAGAGATAGCAAACAATTGGATTTTCCCAGTGAAGTTGTGAAACAGATCTAATTTACATATTCTGGTATAAACTTTTGCACTTGGGGATCAGTTTTTTAAGAGGTGTTTTCTGCTGTTGCATTTGTGGTAGTCGAAACTCTCATTTGCGTATATTTTGTACTCATGAATTCCTAGTAATACAAAATACTGATAGCATATATGTCTTGTTTTTTTTTTATTCTCACCCGAGGACATTTTTTCATTTTTTGTTCAGATAGAGTGGGAGGGAGAGAGAAGAAGAGAGAGAGAAACATTGACGTGAAAGGGACACATCGAGTGGCTGCCACCCGCAGGACCCAATGAGGGCCAGGGACAAACTGCAACTGAGATACGTGCCCTTAGCGGGAACCGAACCCAGGTCTCTCTGAACCGCAGGCCGGCGTTCTAACCACTGAGCCAAACCGGCCAGGGCTATGTCTTGTTTTTATCGTCTCTGTCTTTTTCCAATATAAACAGATACAGATATTTTTACATATGTACTGAAATACACAAAATCTGAGTATCTTTAATCTGAGCCTCATATTGTCCTAGGTTGTTCATTGACTTGTGTCTTGTTCCGTATTACATGGCACATTATTGCTTAGTAAGTATTTATTGGATTGAATTACATGGTAATGGAAACACATTTAGTGCATGCTTATGCAATGTTGTATCTCCTTGTATGGAAAGAATTATGATTTCTATTAATTCAGTCTCAGGAGTTTTATTTAAAAAGTACATCCTCTGTCTAGTTCTAACAGTACTTGAATTGATTTGTATATTGTAATACAATAGGATAAGAAATAAGTAGGTACTGAACTCAAAGAGAAAATATGGATGTCAGTAAGATGAAGTCAGTGGTAAAGTTAGTATACACAGGTGTATTCTAAGTCCTACACAGTTTCTAGGACTGGGCCCCAAATTTGGCTTCACACTCTTCTGAGGCTGAATAAAAAGGAAAACCTAATTCATTACAAACAATGTTCCCAGAGCCCATGAAATAAATCCAACCCATTGCTAAGAGGATCTTACTGAGCCTTCAAAAAAAGGTGAGTGTGGAGACCTCATAAAGGGGACACAGGTATAAAGATATAGGGACCCACAAATCCTTATCAAATTCAAAAGAAAAGAATTAGAGATATAGGCATTTTGAAGTCTACCGAGGGTCCCCATTTACTCTCCCACATAAAAATCTATTCTGTATGGTACCAGCATCGTCAGTACCACTTACTTCTGGAGGTTAACTTTGGGTTTGGGTGTGTGTCTCCCTAGACACACTGGGTGAATCCAGGGGCCCATGGTCTTTTAGTGAAGTCTTATTCTAGCTTGGGCTAGTGCTTGGTCTGAACTTGGAACAGAGTTTGTGGAAAAATCAAGATTTGTCAGAGCTGAACCATATGTAAGGACGCCTAATGAACAGTAGATTCAACTTTGTTAATATACTGTCATAGGCCAGTAAATTGGTAACCATAACCCTTTACCCCAAGGAGTTGTTGAGTTATTACAGTTATGATTTTGCCAAATTCTTTCTTACTTTTTGTCACTTTGAATTTTGTAGAAACTTGAATTGGATCGATTTATGCTTTATGCCCATGGACCTGACCTTTGTAGAGAATCAGACCTTCGACACGCAATGGCTAATTGTTTTGAAGCATTAATAGGTAATTTCTTTTTCTACAATCTAGTTTCTTGCATGTCTGAAATATCTGGAGAACACATACAATTTATTGTGGAGACTTGAGACAGATGACTTGTTCCCAAAGCACATGAGCCCCCAGTGTCATACCCCTTGGTGTGGTGTCGTTGACGTTCTCAGGGCAGAGCCGTGGTCCTCACGTTCCCAGTGCCTGCAAGGGTCTGATGCCGTGTACATGCTTAGATTTGTATACTGAGTTGAACTGAAGTGAATTAATATGGAGATGGATTACTTTCCAGATTTGATTCAGGATCACATCCATAATTAAACAGTAACTTGGTTGCTGGTGAGGCTATCCTAATATTGTTTTTTTATTACATTTTAAAGTATTTACAAGATTTTTGGGGTTTAAACATCTTGAAAACATGGCACTTTTAAAACCCCAGGGCTTGAGTCTGTACCGCTATTATTTATTCTCTCGAAGCAAGACATGCAGACACTCTGCTTCCTCAGTTTCTTTTTTACTGTAACCAGATGCAGTAGCGGTGGGTGCAGGAAAGTTGTGAAGTGTTAATTAGCTGGTGATGGCAAGTATGCTTTACAATGAGACGTTACAGTAGATTGACAATTCCTTGATTTTTTTTTTAGGTGAATGATTGAGTACATTTTATTTTTCAAAGGCCTTTGTACTTCCTTATCATTTTTGCCCTCTTGCTTTGAAAATGAACATAAAAGCTTCCCATTATAGTTTCGTGCTGATGATGGTGGCAAGAGGATGTTGAATAATTACCCCGTCTTTTCACAGCTATGTCTCTTTTGCACAGATGTGTCTTATTTTCAGGGTTTGTCACATGGAATTCCTGTCCTCTGTACATATAACATTTTTGACAGTTAGTGTTACAGTTGGCCCCAGGGCCAGGCAGACATGATTCAAGACCTTCCTGAATCATTTTTTCAGCTCCGTGTCTTCGCCAAGTTATCGAATCTCTCTGAGCTTCAGTTTTCTCATCTATGACGTGGAGATAGTATTACTTACTCCACAGTTATTGCAAGGAGCTTCATGTCCAGTCCTGGCGGCATTTAGTCCAGAGCAAAGTGGCATATACCCTACCTCAGATCACCTACTATGAGCCTAAAGCCTGGAATTCCTTTGTAACACCCTCTTACTGAGGCCCCCAGGAAAGTGGAGATATGCATGGGGAACGGTTTGCATAGTGCGAGGGCATGAGTGCCCCAAACCCCACCACATAAAAATCCATTCTCAGTATAAACAGGTATTTGGGAATTTCCTCTTTAATGATCGAAGAGATTTTTTTTTTCAACAGGCTAAAAACATGCTTTATTATTCTGGCAAATATGGTTTTTGTAACTGTACACTTCCAGTTAGGGGAAGATGAAGTCGGGGGTGGAGAGAGAGTGTTACTGATACCAATTTGACACGAAGACAGCTTCAGGTCCCAAAAACGTTGGCTGATTCGTCCCATCCATTTGTCTGGTGGTGCAGTCACTTAGATCCAAGCCCCATCCTCCCTGCTCTGCCGTCCTCCCCTTGAGATCAGAGCTCCAGCAGGGTCTGTCCCGCCACTGCGATCGTTGTTGTTGTTATTATTACTATAAGTATTAATAGATAATAAATGTATTTAGTTATCAAAAGCTCTAGTGACTAAGTGTCTTAATATTTTACATTAAAAATTGCCTTTCTGAAGACATTTATAAAAATATGATTTCAAGACTATATGACTACCCTACTCCAGAGTTATTTGATATGCAATTAAAATGTTACTATAGTACTTACTGGTTATGATTAATGGTAAATGTGTGTATGCAGTGCTTAATTATTTCAAAAACTTATTTATAAAATAAATAATTATTTTAAATGAAAGATAAAGCTTGTCTTGATTACTTGGGTTTTACTTGTGGTCTGAAACATAAATAATATAGAAAATGAAACATAACATTTTTGTAAAGTCACGTATTTGTGCATAGTAAGGTTCACACCCATACCTTTTATGGTAGTTCATATTTGTCCTCTTTTACGTAATATTAGATTTAGATTTTAGTAAATTGAATTTTGTAATTTAGTCTCATTTATTACACGAAGCACAGCCAAAAGAGGAAAAATGCTACACTTAAAAAATAGTTTCTGATCTTGTCTATTATTTCTGTGAGTGGGTTCTGGCTTGCCTCTTTGCTTTTTATGGAGATATGTAATTTTCTCTGAATATTAATGCAGCCTTCCTCTGGGCATTCTCTTCCTTTTATCTAGGAGCTGTTTACTTGGAGGGAAGCCTGGAGGAAGCCAAACAGTTATTTGGACGCTTACTCTTTAATGATCCGGTATTTATCTCGACTCATTTGATTTTTCTCAGTTACATATCATTACAGAAGATTTCATATCAATTAGTCTTTGTGTTTTAAAGAACGTGTAGGAGCAGCAAGTACCAAAAATAGCATATTCAACTCTGCTGCAGATGGGAGAGGTCTGGGGACCTTTACCGAGGAGTGTCTCCTCCACTGTCTTCCCTCCTGGCCACGTGTACATGAGATGTGAATATAAGTAGAGTAGGACTTTGCTTCGTTTTGAAATGTCTTGGAGTTAATGATTTTCTGTTTTATCGTCATTGGGTACCTACCCTATGCAGGCTTAGTTGAAGCTCTAGCCTTTTGGCTTTTTGTTAATGATTTGTTTTTATGTAAGTTATGTAGACTAGATAAATGTATATTTAAGGAAGTCCATTCATAGGGAGTTTCTGATAGGGCTATGAGTGAAGAATATGGAAGTACTTTTTTTTAAAGCAAATTATAGTTTAAGAAAAGTGATAGATTCTGAAATAGTTTCTGTTATCACTAAAGTACTAAGCTGTGAATATGGCTAGAGCTCCCTTTTTCATCCTGCATGTAATAGAGCACACTGGATGCTTTTTGTGCCAAAACAAGTCAGTTTACCATTTAAAGGGAGAGGCAGCTCTGTGTTCTAAATTGAAATGTCATTATAATTGAATGAAATAGCCCTCGCGGAGCAATAAAGAACACAGGAAGCCAGTGTTTTCAGCTTTTGTGCAACCTTCAGCGTAAGTGGCTGTCATATGTTATTACTGTGTTACTTAGGGTCGTTTAAAAAAAAAGAATCAGTAGTTCTAAATAATGGGACCTGAATGATATTCTTATCTGAAGATACGATTTTTTAAAAATCTGTTTTTATAGATATGTGATGATTTTATATGTTTGAATTTCCTCCTGATGGGAAAATTATGTACAGCTGTTTCATGTCCCTGTTTTGTCCTACACCCATAAACAAGTGTGCATCTTGATTTATGTCCGTAGCCGACGGCATGCGTTTGAAGTCTTTTTCTCAAATCTGAAAATATCTTTGTTCTGGCCTTTCTCTTTTGTTGGCGATTGCAGACACCTCTGTGTTTCGTTTCCTCCCTCCAGTCTTGTCTCTGTGTGCCCGTCTCTTCGTGAACTCGTCCCCCTCCCCCAGCTACCCCCCCTCCCATCTTACCTGCATTTCGCATCCACTCCATTCCTGTTTGCCTGAGTTAAATGCAGCTTTACACTTTGTGTGCTTAATTGCATCAGTTTTTGTTTAGATTCTTTCTCCTTTAAACTGCTTCTCCCCCTCGTCTCCTTAGCAGCTTACCTTCCCTCTCCAGCACCGCGTGCCGTGACGGCATGTGCGGTGTTAATAAAGATTTGTTCGAGGAGTGAAGTGAATAAATGACTAAATGAAGGAGCAGAGTCTGAACATTATCTTACACATGGCATGGCTGAGATTTAGAAGCCATGTAGTGTGCCTTTATGAAACAGGACAGGGCTTGGTCACACAGGGCCCTTGCACTGTGGCCTCTGCCAGCGCGCCCCCGGGCTTCTGACTCACGGGACACCTGCATGTTGGTGTGCATTCATCAGCTGTGGTATGTGAGAGATGCTAGCGAGCCTCTGTACTCTTTTTGAGTAATGGTATTGTGCAGGTCCAATCTGCCCAAGACAGACAGGGACAGACCTGCAGGCTGACAGAGCTGGAAGTACTGACTCCATGCTGGGAGGGAGGGAAGAGGGATGGCTGAGCCTGGGCTGGGGCATGTCGAAGAGGGCCAGAGAGGCAGGGATCCATTCTTGGTTGGTTACCCTGTCGGAAGCCAGATTAGAAAAGGCAAGGGGTTAATTTGGGATTGGGTGCTGTCAGGAGCCAAGGGAAGCTGAGCAATCGAGTGTCGCCAGTATTTATTTCGGGGGTAAGACGAGGCAAAGCAGGTCAGAGGGCAGCACTGGCAGGACAGCAGTAGCCACTGAAAGAGGGGTCGCCCAGCATTACCGCTGCTGCCAGACCTCAAGGGAAACGTGGTTTCCTGCGAACCTTGCAGCTGGCTTTGTCTGTGTCGTCCTCCCAGCCTGAAATAGCAGGGCTGCTTTCTTTCTCTCAGCTGAGCTGGTGTGTACTCTTCCAGCCCCAGACATTTGTCGGTTCTGTGCTTCCTGGTTTGTGTCACCCTTCACGGTTTACCTAGTCCATGCAGAGTTTCAATCTGACCATCCCGGTGGCCCTCTTAGAAAGATAGGAGCGGTGACTGTGGACAGGTTCCTGTTCTCCCTCCCTGTCCTTTTGTCTTGACACAGCTGTCCCAGTATCCTGAAACTGGAAAAAGTGTCTTCAGATTGCCTCTGGGTAGATTCATGTAGCTGTCTCATAGACACTCATTTCAGCAGGTTCAGTGTTTGAACTCGTCACCTTAGCCCCCAAACATACTCCTCCTCCTTTGTTTTTATGATCTAAACCAGAAGCCTGAGGATTTTCTTTTATCCTGAAGCTTTTTTGTTCCCTGTATCCATTCAGTTCAACTTCTCTCAGTTCTGTTCCTAATGTCCCTTGACTGGGCTCCCTCTCGGCCGTCCTGCTGCTTTGGTGTTTGTCCTCGTCGCTCCGTGTAGGTCGAGCTCTTGTCTCCCCCACCTCTCCTTCCTGCTGCATTCAGTGTGTGTTTTTTTTGTTTTGGTGTTTTGTTTTGTTTTGTTTTGTTTTGGTACACGCCTATAGTGGGAGCCGAACCCGGGACTCTCTGGTCTGCAGGCTGCAGCTCCAGCCGCTGAGCCTATCCGGCTAGGGCCAGTGTGTCTTCTTTTTAACGCACAGAGTTGGTCATGGTCTTTCGGGCTTAAAATCTTTGGTTTCTTCACTGCCTACCAAAGTCTGCACTGCACAGCATGGTGTCTAATGGTTTTCATAATTTGACTCCTGCCTGTTTTTTCAGTCTTCGTTCTTTTTACTCCCTCTGTGCCATTCCAGGAATTACCTTTTTTTTAAAAAATTTTTTTAAAGAGCAGTTTATGTTCACAGTAATATTGAGAGGAAGACACCGAAATTCACTGTATTTTCTTTGCCCCACACATGCCCAGCCTCCCCCATCGTGTCAGGATCCCCATCGGAGTGGTGCATTTGTTGTAGTCAGGGAACACTGACACACAGAATCTGGCAGACGCCGTGGTTTACGTCAGGGCTCACTCTTCGCTGTTGTACATCCTGTGGGTTTGGAAAAATGTGTAATGATATGTATCCGGCATTTTAGTGTCATGCAGAGTGTGTTCACTGCCCTGAGATCCTCTGCGCTCTGCCGGTTAGGAGCTACCTGTTGTGCCTGCACACTGCTTACTTGTGCACTTGTGGGGCCCTGTTTTTAATCCCTTCCCTCTGCTGTTTGCTAATTCCCCGAGTTCTGAAGCTTTATCTGACACCCCCAGGCAGCATTTCCTAGCACTTAGTGTGTATCGCTGTCACAGAGCTCATCCGGGTTGATTACATCGTACCCACCTTTATTCCTCCCCACTCGGCTCTGAGGACAGGGATAGGGTCTGACTCATCTTAGTCAGCTAATACCTACCGGGTTTTCGGTAAAACTATATATGAACACATGTCCCAGCAGTCAACATTTTCCAAAGGAGCAAGCTGAAGGTAGAGGCGTTACCTACAAGCTGGAAAGGATAGACTGGCATTCCAGTCTAGATCTTTTCCAGAAATTTCCCTCTGACACCGAGGTGCAACAGAACCTCATCTCCATGTGCGGGGTAGATGGAAGGGAACCGACATGGTGAAAATAGTCTTGTTGTGAGGGGCAAGCTGTTACACCAAGATGGGTAGCAGCAGACATCAACAAGAAACCAGTGTTTTTTCGTGTGAAATACACAAGAGAAAGGAGAACGATGAGTCAGAAGGTCTCTGAGAATGTTGAGCTTTGGAGATTGGAGTTGGATGGAAGAGACAGCTGTTTGTCATGACTGCTAACACCCCCGCTGTTGACAGAGGTGTTTTCTGTGTGCCAGCTCATCGGCATCAGAGGGCCCTTCGCAGGAGCTACTGACACCGCCTGTCTTGTGCTGGAGGAGAGGGAGGCTCAGGGAGGTTAAGGAATCGCCAACGTGAATTAGGGTTGCGCCCGGGCTGCCTGACTCCTGCAGGCTTCCCCAACACTGGGCTCCCCGGGTTAAGGAAAGGTGAAAGGGTATTATTCGGTTCATTTGGGTGTGAGGTAAAAGGTGCTCATTCAGACACCCAGTGTTATGGACCGGTAGCTTGGAGGAGAGGTCCCGCTGCTGCCGATGAACAAGTCATCCAAACTGAAGCAGTGGGCGTGGGGAGCTCTCCAGAGGAGCCGGTCAGGCTGGGTCAGGAGGGAGGCCGAAGTCCGGAACATGTCCCTCTGGGTGTAGCAGGAGGGAAGAGGCAGCGGGAGAACAGGAGGAAGTTGCAGGGAGGGGGTGACGTTCAGTGTAATTCAGGCCCCAGAGAATTCAAGGAAAGGTTACTGAGTTGGTTAAGAGAAGTCCTTTAAAATGTCTTAAAAGAACAGTTTGATATTTAAGCATTTTTTAAATATTGGCCAAAAAAACCTAGGTTTATTTTTTTAAGATGCAAGTTGTACAGAAGTATCAGGTATTTTATTTCACTTTGTCATCATATCTTATGTTGTTACAAATGATAGTAAATTTTCCTATACTTCTTCCCATCCCCAAATTTAAAAAAAAAAAGACATATTTTTTCCTCTTAAAAAAATCTTTCATTATTCATTTCAAAAACCTAACATCAAGGTCAAAATGTGATTCAGCCAGAGGCTCCCTAGAGTCTCAAAGTGGAGGAAAACCGCTTCGCTCCTGAGGACGTGCCGGTTATCGCTGCCCCAGATCTAACCCAGCGGGTGAAACCGTGGGCTGGGCTTTCCCACAGAACGCTCTCATTGCCTGTCCCAAGGAAGCATTTGTAGGGACTCAAGTAGAGTGTGGCCTTACTGACCTCAGAGTTTAGAACTGGAAGTGGGATGTTCTCAGCCATCTGAAAGCAGCTCATAGGATAATGAATGGGCACCTCAAATAGAGGACATTTGAGATGAGTTTTAATTACAGGAGGCACAGCTGATGCACGTTTCTGGGGAATGGTGAGCTAAACAATGTGATTAAAGCAGCAGCTTGATCCAATGTATTAGGTTAAGCAAATGTGTAACTTAGTTTCAAAAAGTATCTTCGACTCCTGGGGATGGGGTGGCTCTTTTCCTCCCCAGCTTAATAGGCTAATTAGAGTCACTATAGGCAGTTTGAGTGGTGAGTACAGTTAAAAAAAAATTAGTTTGCTTGCACTATTGAATTTGCAATAAGAGGAGTCAGCATCAGAAATAGTTTAGTATTTCACATAATGGCATTTTATTTAGTACTCCAGAGCATGCTAAATGGCTCCCATAAGTACTAAAGGCATCACTCCATTTTCCAGGACCTGCGCGAAGTCTGGCTCAATTACCCTCTCCACCCACTCCAGGTAAGTGTGGCCTCTGGTCTGCAGTGGGCTTTATAACTGCCGGTATTCCTGTTACTTTCCTTTGCTTTATTTCCCTCCTGACTCTATCCTTGCATTCCCTCCAGTGTCGTTATGACTTTAAGCTGGGATGTCAGAACTGGAAAACTTTGGAGCAAATAGTAAAACAATCCCAATACGTTGCATTTTCATGGTCTGGGGTGAGGTGGGGACTGGGACGTGTCTCCCCTTACAAGGCAGGAGGACTATTTGTGTGGTTGTGGTTTGGTCCCTCTGCTTCCCCCAAAAGTGATATTCAAGCATATATTGACTCCAGTTTATCCACGTGCCTGCTCTTATAGAGAGAATATGGAAGCAGGTCTGGGCTTGTTACAAGGTGAAACAAACACTAAATTAACATTGCTAAATTATAACCTAATTTGGAACTTAGAAATTATAGGCTTTGACTTAGACTGCATAAAACATATTATAAATTAAAACCTTAGTACAGTGCAATAACTTTTTACTCAAGGTTTTAGAATTTTACATATTGTGACAGCCTTTTCCCCAGTTGGTTTAAAAATTTACACAATGGAATACTATGCAGCTATATAAAAAAAAAAAAAGGATCTCACCCTGGCCAGTTTGGCTCAGTGATAGAGTGTCGGCCCTCGGACCAATGAGTCACAGGTTCGATTCCTGTCAAGAGCACGTACCTTGGTTGCAGTTTGTCCCCAGCCCTGATTGGGGTCGTGTGGGAGCAACCAGTCAATGTGTGCCTGTCACATCGATGTTTTTCTCTCTCTCTCTACCACTCTGTCTGAAGATAAATAGAAAAATATCATCAGGTGAGGATTAAAACAATAAATAATAACAAAAAAGAAGGATCTCTTACCCTTTGAGACAGCATGGAGGGACCTGGAGATATGGTAAGCAAAATAAGCCAGTCAGAGAAAGACAAGTATCACATGATCTCACTTATATGTGGAATCTAATGAACAAAATACACTCATGTGTAAAATAGAACCAGAAGCGTGGAAACATGGAACAGACTGATGAATCTCAGGGGGGGGGGGGGGGGGGAAGGCATGGGAAGAGATTAACCAAAGAACTTATATGCATATATGCATTGCCCATGGACACAGACAATAGGGTATGAAGGCCTGGGTTGGGGCGGGAGCCATGTGGAAGGGAACAATGGGAGAGAGGGGGTGGTATTTATTTATTTATTTATCTTTTGCTTTTATTTCTATTTTACTCTGGAGATATACATATGCGTGTATATATTTATACATATATATACATATATACGTATTGTTCTACATGCTTATATATATATATAAAATAAGAATAATCACTAGTGACTGAACTGTCTCATAAGAAGCTTTACAGTAATAAATGGTATTAATTTAAAGTACTTTAGAAATATTTCATTAGTGTGAAATTGGCCAAAGTCATTGGAAATGTTCATTTCAATTACACTTTTCATATTTGCTCTCTGTCAGTTGTCAAAAACTCATTATTATGTTGAGCACCTGCCTAGTGACATGATGTTCTCCGTTGTAAGCCGAGTCCAGTTTCAGTGATGCTCATTTGCCAAAATAGGCTGGTCCCTGGAAGACACGCAGTGGTCAAGTTACTCTAATACAGTGGTTCTCAAAGGGCAATCCCCAGACCAGCAGCATCTGTGTCACCAGGGAACTCTTAGGAAGGCCAGTTTCCGGTCCTCACCCCAGGCATACTTCCTCATCCCAGGCATACTTCCTCATCCCAGGCATACTGAATCCGAAACTTGGGCGTAGGGCCTGGCCACGTGCATGAAGAAGCCCTGCAAGGGCTCTGCTGAGTGCTAACCTCTGAGACCCACTGCATCACTAGATATATATATATTCTCTACCAGCAACTCTGCAGCTTGCCTCTTCCTTGGAGAGTTAGTATAATACTTGGGATTTTGAACTATCTGTGTACAGTACTTGGCCTTGAAATTTGATAGAAGATTGGAAAATATTATTTGAACCTTCTTTAAATATTAGGTTTGTTTGCCCTTCTAAGGGATGAGAAAGAAGCTTCCATGTTTTATTGGCCTTTCAGAAATTTCTGCCCATGGGAGAAGGAATTTGCAAAACATTATCCTAGAATTGATAATTACTCTTGTAACCAAAAACTGTACGTGATTTTTAATTTATTTCTTTTTTCCTGTAGCTACAAGAGCCAAATACTGATCGACAACTTATTGAGACTTCTCCAGTTCTACAGAAACTTACTGAGTTTGAAGAAGCAATTGGAGTAATTTTTACTCACGTTCGACTTCTGGCCAGAGCATTCACGTTGAGAACCGTGGGATTTAACCACCTGACCTTGTGAGTTAAAATTACCCATGTAGTCCCATTGTGACCATTTAAACAGGCAGCCCTAAGCCTTTGCCACACGTTCCCTTCAAAGAAATCAGGGTTTCAAATATATTTCTAGGAAATCATGAGATGGCTAAGTAGCCAGGCCCTGGCTTGGACCAGAGAATATGCTCCAGTACAGCTATTTTTGGTTTCATTGTCATGCATCTAATTCTTTCATAAAGTATAAAAGAAGTGTGAAGGAAGTAAACACTTTTCTGTAGATGGATAGATATGAAATATTTTGGGTTTTATAGGCCATGTGGTCTGTCTCAATGATTTGATTCTGCAATAGTAGTGTAAAAGCAACCACAGAATAAATATAAATAGATGAACATGGCTGAGTCCCTATTAAACTTTGTTTACAGAAGCAGGGCATGGGCTGAATGTGGCACTCCAACCCTTGCTCTAGATGAGTGACTTGAAGATGAGCTGGTATAATAATAAAGAAAATAACCAAAATGTTATTTCTTTGCATGCTGTTTTTTATTCCGTTTTGGATCCCTTCCCTCAAATCAAATTGTCACAACTCTCTTTAAACTAAAGATGAAAGAATCTTGTCAGTTTTTTTTGTATTCTTAAACCAGATTCCAGATTCGATTAATGTAATGTATAGAGGAGTGGGCAAGAGTAGGTCTAGAGTTGCTCTTATGGGAAAATACAAAATAGTAAATAACAATACAAGAATAAACTCTGTTTTGCATACTCACAACTATAAATCTACTTTTGCTCACCCCGTATTTCAATAAAGATGTAAAGATTTAGCCTGGCCTGTGTGGCTCAGTGGTTGAGCATCAACCCATGCACCAAGAGGTTGCTGGTTCGATTCCGGCCAGGGCACATGCCCAGGTCGTGGGCCCAATCCCCAATGGGGGCATGCAGGAGGCGGCCAGTCGATGTTCTCTCTTATTGATGTTTCTGTCTCTCTCTCTCTCTCACTTCCTTTCTCTCTCCAAAATCAGTTAAGGGGAAAAAAAAAAAAAACAATGTAAAGATTTAGCAATGAAAATTCTTGGACCTTTTTGCTTTGTTTTATCTGTATAGATTGTGCAAAATTGTTTTCTTTACTGTACTTTATCTTTCAGTTGGTCCTCCTCAGCTTCTGGTCTGGCAGCATGTATACTGGCCTTTATTTAGCAGAGGTTCTTAGTGCTCCCTGCACTCTGTTTGAAATCTCAACCTGGGTTGACTGAGATCTCTTCTCACTGAGGAGTGTGAGGGAATTGCATTTACTTTTGTGCTTTAAAGCGAGATGAAAAAATACATTGCCTATTAAAATGTCTATTTTAAAAATTCTGTTTTTTTGAAATTTATAAATACTTATTGATCTCTTTACATTGATGTTTCTTTATTCAGAGGCCACAACCAGAGGATGGAATTCCTAGGTGACTCTATAATGCAACTGGTAGCCACAGAGTACTTATTTATTCACTTCCCAGATCATCATGAAGGACACTTAACTGTGAGTTTGTGTTAAATCACTCCCTCCAGTAAGATTGATGTACAATAGAGAGCCAAATATCTATTCATGTAACTGATGACTGACTTCTTGGTGACTTTAGCATGCACATCATATGCTTTTATTCATTTCTTTATGCAAATCGTGTACAAAGCAATGTATGGTAAGAATTTATTTTATACCACTTCATTTAATGATTACTTTGTGCAAAAACATTGAGCTAGGTTCATGGGAGGAGCAAATGTTAGTTGACACCTAGTTCGTCCATAAGGAGTTTAAAAACTATTAGAAGTTAAAGATATAAGTAAATAACTACAAATTCTATCTATCTATCATCTACCTATATATCTATAGTGTGTATATGTGCACACATACATGTACACTATACAAGGTATAAATAAGTAAGATAAATACAAGGGAGAACCATCTTAGGTATTACAAAGAGGCATAGGTAAAATGCTCACTTGTGCTGTTTAGGAAACAATAAGGTTTCATTTGGATGTGGAATTCTAAGGAAGCTTCATGGATGTGATGATGTTGATGGGTAGTATTTGGCCATTGGAAGTTAGAGGGACGAAATTTCTGTGTAATGACATTCCATACATTGGGACTGCGGACATAAGTGCATAGCATGGGAAATGACAAGGTGGAGAGGCAACAGGGACTCAGTGATTTACTGACCATGGGAATGGAAGGGACTCACAGAGACAAGGTCTGATTTGTGGACAAAGTGAAACGGTCCCCATTCCGCTCACTTTGTCTCATTTTATAAAGCTTTATTGAGCTTTTTTATTTGCTGTGTACTTTTACTCTGTGAAAATGGTCAATAATATAACTGGAACAGTGAACCAAACTTCTCTGCTAACTAGTCATGATCTTTCAGGAACAAGGAATAACAGTCCCTCTAGAACTGGGCAGAGAAAGCAAATGCTTTTATTGGGCAAAAGAAAAGGACATAGTCCCCCCTTGTCTGTGGTTTCACTTTCTGCAGTTTCCATTACCTGTGATCAGCCACAGTCTGAACATATTAAACGGAAAATTCCAATAAACAATTCATAAGTTTTAAATTGCTTGCAGTTCTGAGTTGTGTGATGAAATCTTGTGCCGTTCCACTCCTGCCTGGGCTGTGAATCATCCCTTTGTCTGGTGTGTTTCTACTGTTTTTGCTACCTGCCTATTAGTCACTCAGGAGATCGACTGTCACGGCATCGCAGTGCTTGTGTTCAGGTCGCCCTCATTGTACTTTATAATGGCCCAGAGCGCACGAGTAGTGATGCGGCAATTCAGATATGCCAGAGAGAAGCCGTGAAGTGCTTCCTTTAAGTGGGGAGGTGAATCCAGCACAATAAGATATTTTGAGAGAGAGAACATATTCATGTAATTTTTATTACAGTATATTGTTATGATTTTTATTGTTAGTCATTGTTGTTAATCTCTTACTGTGCCTCATTTATAAATTAAACTTTATCACAGATATGTATGTATAGGAACACAGTGTGTGTATATATATAATAGCTTTGGGTACTTTTTGCAGTTTGAGGCATCCACTAGGGTTCTTGAAGTGTCCCCTTTTAAGGACTGCTGCAGTAGAGCACTAGGATATAGGTCGTTCGTGCAGACTTTTTCATTATGCTTGAAGCAAATAGAAAGTCTTTTGTACTTTGCATTTCTACAAATTTTATGCATGTTTTGCTTTGAATATAATTGGATCTTATCTCTGCAACTGTGAACCTTGGAATAGTTTGTATGAGACACAAACATTAGAATTAAAGAGAATACAGTGATTTGGCTATGTTTACATGTGATTTTTCAGCAGAATTTCTAAGCCCAACAAAACACTGTCCTTTCACTTACTCAATGAATATTTATTGTGCTTCTACTCTATCCCATGTGTCATTCATTATGTGGGAAATCAGCAGTGCTGTTATTTTAAATTTAATTTAAAATGAACAGTTTGATTACAAAAGTTAACTGCTTTTAGATGGAAAAAATTTTCCTCTTGAATTAATATTAAATTCTTAAGAACATATAAGCATATACCAGAGATAAACTAGTGTCTAGAATCTTTCTCCATGTTAGGGAATCAATAAATGCTCGTTTAGTATCTTCCATTAGGGAATAGACTTCATAGCTGTCAGAATGTCTGGTTGGTCTGAGAAATGGCCAAACCAAACCAAAGGGCTTGAAGTAGTAATTCATTGTATGGCCATATAGAGGCCCCTGTTGAAAATGTGAGACTTAAGTGCACACATTACCCCTGTACTCCCACAAAGCTATATGTGAGCTCCAAGATTTTGTGGGGGTGGGCTGTCACAGACCAAGGTCACTGCTTCCTGTCACTGCAGCCACCCCCCCCCCCCCCCCCACACACACACACACACACTGAACAGAGGAGAAACCAGAACTCGGCAAGTGCTGTCCCAGGTCTGAAGGCAGCCCAGGCTGCAACAGGAACTCGTGCCGTGTTCTTTCCGAAATCATTGCAATGCTATAACTGTAATTCTATCCAAAACTACATCTGCTGTCTTAAAATTAGTCAGTTAAGGAGAGCTTATTAAAAAGATGTTAACAAATGACAATGTTATTATATGATGGTTTTTATTAACTATATTCACAGAAAGCTTTGGTAAAAATCAATAGGACCAACAGATCTGCTGGCAAAACAAAGATGATCTATCATCAGTTAAATACATATTTCAAAAGATATTAACTCTCAGTGGTATGAATGGTTGCTTCCTTTCTCCTTCCTGAACCCTTGTCTTGCTTTGGCTTCTATCACGCTGCACTTTCTTGGTTTTCCTGTCACCTCTTCAGCTACTGTTTTTTTAGCCTCCTTTGCAGGCTTTTTTATCCTATGTAACTGATGAATATTCTAGTCTAAAAGGCTCACTCACTCCTACGTCATTTTCTCTTCTTTCTAGGGTCTGTCCTAGGCAGTCTCTTCTGTGTCTACCATGCTTCACTCTGTAGACAGACCACTTTGAAGCAGATCTCTTCAGTCCATTTCTTCTCTGAGCTCCCCTCCCAGCTGCCCTCTCAGCATCTCTCATGCTCAGGACTGAACTTCCAGCTTCTCCCATCTGGTCCTCTCCCAGTGTTCCCGACCGACTGAGTAGCAGCATCGCTTACCCAGTGCTGCAAGCCAGAAACCTAGGCATCATCTTTGATTCTTCCCGGTCCCTCCCTCCCCTATATTCTAGATCATTCACAAGTCCTGACAGTACAGCCTTTGAGTAGCCACCCCCTCTGGGTCACCCAGAGCTCTCCGGCTCACGGCCTGGACGGCCCTACCAGTCCTGCACAGCTCCCAGTGTTACGGGAATACGACTGACAGGAGACCCGTTAGCAGGGGTGGCGTTTATGAAATTGCAAAGGATAGGAATCTTCAGTTTGTGTTTATGCAAAGTACTGGCAATGTAGCATGCTCAGATTTCCCCCTGGGATGTAGGCTGCTATTTGAAAGCTGGCCTTTGCCATTCTCGTGGGCATTTTTGACTCTGCCCTGATGTACGCTGTTTCAGGCGGAAGCCGGTCCGCAGGCCCAGGTCTCAGCCTGCTGGACAGTGCTGCAGCTTCCCGCACTGGTCTCCTGCATTAGCTCTCGCTCCCGTCCAGCCTGTTTACATGCTCAGCAGGTGGGGTTTTCCACCGCAGATCTCCTGTGACCTCACAGCCCCTTCGTCTGCAGACCGGTCGGTGGTTCTTCTCTCCCCGGCCTCTTCCTATTGGAGTGTCCCGGTTCTCAGACCCCTCTTCCTTTCTCTGAGTTCCTCGCATGCGTGGTGTCATGGCTTTGATGACGTCTAGGCACTGCTTCCTGACTTATGTCTTCAGCCTTTACTTCTACCCCTGACTCCAGGCTCGGATCTCTGTGTGCCATCTGTAGATGTACTCGGATATCTAGATGAACAGATGTACTGGAATCCCTCGTTGGACTTCTGTTAGGCATCTCCAACCTAACATGTCCAAATCAAAACTGATCTTCACCCCCAAACCTGCTTTCCTAGGTGTTCTCTGTATCAGTAAGGACGGTTACATTCTGCTTGCTCAGGCTAGAGCCGTGAGCATAGCCTATGGATTGTACCTTGAAAGCTTGCCCGCAGTGTGACTACTTTCACCAGCTCCACTGTGACCTTTCCCCTAAGTTATGGCCTTCGCCTTCCAGCTAGTCATCCCCACCCCCACCCCCATTCCTCGAGATGTGTTCAGCGCATCATCTAGAGAAATCGTTTTCCTACAGAAGTCAGATTACAGCCCTTCCCTCTGTAGACCAGAGATCTCCCATCTCAAGGGCGGAAGACAGTGTTCTTACCTACAAGACCTGCCTCCCCACATCCTCTGCCCTTGTCTCCTAGACTGTGCACATTGACCTCTGTGGGATTCCTCAGGGTGCTGAGCAAGCCTTTGCCTTACGCCTTTGCACATGCTACGGCCAGATGATCTCTCTCCTCCTTCAGGTCTCTGTTCAGTGTTATCTTAGCGGGAGACCTTCTTTAACCTCCCCTCTTAAATAGTAACCTCTTCCCCATGTCCCTAGCCCCCATACCGAGCCTGGAGCTTCATCTCCATTTTGTCCTTAGCACATACTATATATTTCACTTGTTTACCGTGCATCTTCTCTCATCGAAGTGTAAACTCCATGGAGGGCAAGGCCTTTTGTCTGTTTTCTTCAGTCCTGATACCCCAGGTCCTTGGAGAGTTCCCGGTGTGTCTGTGTGAATGACGGTTGCTATAGGCCAGTCTAATGCTCTTCAGTTGTTCTTTGGATAGTGACTAAAGAAGCAGCAAGGCCCTGAGTGGACTGGCCTGCCCACCTGCCTGGCCTTGCGTTGCCTCTTTTTTTCTTTTCTTGTTTTTATCCTCACCCAAGGGCATTTTTGCATTTTATCTTTAGATAGAGCAGGAGGGAGACAGGGAGGAAGAGAAAGAGAAACATCTGTGTGAGAGAGACACATCGACTAGTTGCCACCCACACAACCCCAACTGGGGCCGGGGACAAACCG